CACCTTTTACGGCGTTCCTTTGCAAAATATCAATTAAAATTCCTCTAAACACGTATCAAAAGCGTGACTTTTGAACTTGTACACACAGCACTTTGTAAATTGTGAATCTGAAAACAAATACAACACAAAATAATCTCATAGTGGGAGTTTTCAATGTGGCGTCGCGGAATCAAGTGTCAAAAAAATGACATATTTTTGTTTTTTTTTAATTACGTAAACGCAAAGGTGATTGGAATATACATGCATGTTATAAATATTAAATTGAACCCGGATATTTGTAAAAAGAATCAGTGTTGAATAAAATGGTAAGTGAATTAGTGTAAATTTAAATGTAAAACGATTTTTAGAAATGCAATTTTTTTTCTGTTTTTCTTTTTGTTTTGTTTCTAAAGACATGATTGGAATTGAGATTTTTTATTTTTTTTTTATTTGGACTAATTACAAAACGCACAGATAACATAGAAAAAAAAGGCGAGTATACGTGTTTTTTTTGTTTTTTTTTTTAAATTGCACGTCTGTAAAAACGCAAGATTAAGTGTTTTATAAGCACGATTTTGTAGAAAAAACGATTGTTTTCTCAAATTTTTATCATGTCTTGGAAATATAAATGAATTTTAATAATAATGATAAACAAAAAAAAAAGATATATTATAAATTTAATGTATGATTTAATTATGTAATTAATGATAATTGAATCCACACGTGCAGTGTGAGGTTTGTGTATGTTGTTTTTTTTTAAAGTAAATTAATAGTTAATATTTTTTTTTTTCATAAAATCGTGATTTTTTTTTAGAGAACAGTTATTTTTCCTGTNCAGTGTGAGGTTTGTGTATGTTGTTTTTTTTTAAAGTAAATTAATAGTTAATATTTTTTTTTTTCATAAAATCGTGATTTTTTTTTAGAGAACAGTTATTTTTCCTGTCGATGTAATGTTTATACTTACATAAATAGTTATTATATTAAATTATTGGTTGTTTTATTTTGGGCCTTCGATCCGAATGATTTCCCCAGAAGTCGTATAGAGAGGCGTATCATCACTACATAGTATAAAACAAAGTCGCTTTCTCTGTCCCTATATCTGTTCCTGTGTATGCTTAAATCTTTAATACTACGCAACGGATTTTGATGCGGTTTTCTTTAATAGATAGAGTGATTGAAGAGGAAGGTTTATATGTATAATAACATCCATTAAATAGTGGAGAAATCGATAATAAATTACAGTTTCCGAAGCGAAGCGAGGGCGGGTCGCTAGTTATATTATAATAAGTAATTGGGAACAAATCACGCACGGTCGTAGAGCTTAGATGGGTGTACGAGCTCACAGCCAACCTGGTGTTAAGCGGTTCCTGGAGCCCATAGACATCGACAATGCCGCCACCCGGTCGCTAGTTGTCGAATATATTGAGGTTTCAAAGGCTATTTGGTTTAAGCGACATTTCTCTTTGTTCCTGTTTTTTATTGCTTAGATGGGTAGACGAGCTCACAGCCCACCTGGTGTTAAGTGGTTACTGGAGCCCATAGACATATACAACGTAAATGCGCTACCTACCTTGAGTTCTAAGGTTATAGTTATAACGGCTGCCCCACCCTTCAAACCGTAACGCATTACTGCTTCACGGCAGAAATAGGCGGGGTGTTGGACCCGTGCGGACTCAAGAGTAATTAAAGGTGTGTATTATTTGGTACCCACTAGCGTCAACAGTTCGATGATTTTAATTGAACTTCAATTGAGTTTAGCCCATTGAAATAGCTGAAGAAGTTTTTTTTTTGAATAATTAGTTTTGGTTCCAAATTTTAACCTATAAATTGCTCTCATGTAAAGTTTCAAAAAAGTCGCCTTCACCTTGAACTTTTCACCCTTCGATATGATATTAGGTCTGGTTATAATATTAGCTCATGAGGCACCACAGATAGTATCCAACCACCACCACCCTGCCTATTTGTACCGTGAAGAAGTAATCGGCTGCAAGGGCTGGGCAACCATTGTCCTTTAAATAACAGACCTTAGAACTCTTGTCTCGAGGTGGGTTGCCGCATTTGAGTCGTCGTGGCCTAAAGGATAAGATGTCCAGTGCATTCGTGTTGAGCGATGCACCGGTGTTCGAATCCCGCAGGCGGGTACCAATTTTTATAATGAAATACGTACTCAACAAATGTTCACGATTGACTGCCACGATGAAGGAAAAACATTGTGTAATAAAAATCAAACCCGCAAAATTATAATTTGCGTAATTACTGGTGGTAGGACCTCTTGTGAGTCCGCGGCGGTAGGTACCACCGCCCTGCCTATTTATGCCGTGAAGCAGTAATGCGTTTCGGCTTGAAGGGCGGGGCAGCCGTTGTAATATAGGCAGACCTTAGAACTTTATCTCAAGGTGGGTGGCGCATTTACGTCGTAGATGTCTACGGGTACCAGTAACCACTTCACAAAAGGTTAAAAAAAAATTGTATAGGTACGTCTATGAGCTCCGATAACCACGTAACACCAGGTGGGCTGTGAGCTCGTCGACACATCTATGCAACAAAAATAATATACGATTCCTTTCGATTCGTTGTTACGTCTTCAAAAGGTTACACACGTATTTCGTGACGGTAAAAAAGCTTCACTTCCTATGTATCGAACGCTCCTCACGTCATCCTAATGTACCTACCCCTTTGGTCGCATGTCTAAGAAGCCATATGCGAGCTTTCTCACGTAACAAGAAATCTAAGCCCTTAGATTAATTCAATATTCATAACGAGTACACTTGAGCACAGAATAGCTTATTTTTTTTAAGGGATTTTATGACCTGGTAACTGAGACCTTTAGGTCATGTCTTATTTTAATTTTTAATCTTATTTTTATGAAAAATGATAAAATGTAGTGAATTGAAGATGATTAATTTGAGACATTAATCAACTGGGATAAAATTAAATGTAGTGAGATGAGATGATATGGGATGAAATAATATAATCTCAATAAAATGGTGGCCATTTACTGAGATTTTTTCAGTGGACTTTTTGGAGGACCCCGAGAAGCTACGTCCAGCGGCTTTGTTTTATTTTCCCACATTTGTACACTTTCACTGATATTAAACAGTTAATAAACCACCGTTATTACACATTTAAACCTGAAGAAACACTATATAGACAAAATAAAACAAATCACACGACTTCACTCCTCGCGTTCCCGCCAAAAAGTCCAAAATAACCTAAATTATTACTACGAATACGAAGGTATCCCGAATGTGAATATGGCATTCTTGATTTAAACGACTATCTCCTATGGTGACAGCAAGAAAATATTCACAGCCAAAATTAGGGTATCCCGGTCATGACAGTTCCACAACAAAATTCCTTTATAAGACTCGACAGCATGCGGTCTAACCCTCAGACACAGCCCACTGAGTTTCTCGCCGAATCTTCTCAGTGGGTCGCGTTTTCGATCCGGTGCTAGATTCTGCGAAGCACAGCTCTTGCTAGGGTTAGGGTTAGTAAATTCTCTCAGGTTGAGCCCCGTGAGCTCACCTACTTGTTAGGTTGCGTTGATATAGCTTCTCAAGGCAATTAGCTTAGGCAGGGAAAAAAAAAGATAAATATTTGCGTATTATTTTAAACTTTCGCAAGAAACTACACAATAATTCAGCGTAAAAGGTAAGTTTAAGATGTGTACAATAATTTATTTAATAGAATTGTTCTGGACTACGCACTAGGGTAGACCGGCGATAGGCTTATTAAATGAAAGAGTGGACTGTGATACGATAGATATATTATTTGATTAATTTACAAAACCAAGTGTCCGTTTCCAATCTATTTCCTTTAGTATCTCTCAGGTGCGGGGACTTGGTAGGAGGTCATGCCGCCGACCCGATAATAAAGCCCATGGACATCAACAATGTTAATTCCGCCACCTACTGTGAGTTCGAAATCTCAGTTTTTACAGTCTAACCGCCGCCCCACCCACGAAATGGCTGATTCGCGAAGGAAAAAGGCGTGATAGTAACACCGACCGTCATGATAATAGCCTTATCGTCACCGCCGCTGACTACTCCCCGAATCCTGATTACGCAGAAGCCAGACACCGTCGATGCCCTAGACACGTCCTTACGGATCCATCAGATCCAATAACCCTTGCATTAGACGCCTTCAGCTCTAAAACTAGGAGCAGGCTTAGGGACCCCGGTAACCTTACTCGTCGAACTCAAGAAAGAGTTCGACGTGCAACTTAACCCATGAATCAGCTCGCTGAGTTTCTTGCCAGATCTTCTCAGCGGATCGCGATTCCGATCCGGTAGTAGATTCATTTGCAAAGCAACTGCTCTTGAGTTGTTAGGTCTCCTTTGGAGGCGCTCGGGCAGCTGTTAGCAAATCCCGCCACTTCTGGCTGAGCCTTTGCTCGCCCACCTGTCCTGGTGAAACTGGAAAGGCCAGCGAGCCACCAGTAATCAATCCTTCAATCATAAAAAAATTCCTACTACCAGTTTTAATAATTATTGGTTCGACAATAACTATGTAATATCACTTTTCCGCGCGATTTCACCACGCATCGCTAACCTTCCAACCGCAGAACTACCCCTCAAGCATTATTCAATGCACAATTACGATTCGTGACATGAATAATTGAGTCTAACCTCAAAACTGACTAAACATTTACGTCAAATGTCTATTTTTCGGGCGGTTTTCATACGAAACGGCGGGAAATTAAAATTTATTATGGTTCTATTGTCAAACACTATTATATTTCGATAATATAATCACAGTATTCGCCAAAACTGCACTATAGGTCAATAATATTAAAGACCAACAATATTAATCTATTTTCAATTCGACCACAGACTTTAAACAAATATAATAAACAAAAGTTTCCCAATTTACAGTAAACAAAGAGTATATTTTTATGTATGTGTTGTGTCACATACATGGTAGTGTGTGTAATTTTTTCTTTATTGATTACAGTATCTATTGTGCATTATTTAAAAAAAAATATTAGCATTGTGCACTCCTTCTCTATATTCTCTATAAGTGTGAGAAATTTTATACTCCTCCGTCCGCGCAATTTTCGTAAAAAGGGGTAAAATTTTTTTTGCTTCACGTATTAATATCTAGATATTTCACGAATGCAAATTGATTCGAAGTTAGTGTTTTAATAATTGCCCTAGTACGACGACCAGGCGAGGTCTAGCATTGTGATGTTTGAAAAAATACGAATAATATTTTACATATTCCTCGCAGTTTTCATTCCGTATTTGCTACAAGAATACATTACGGCCATATTATTGAACAAAATCAAACGGTGCGAGTGTAATAATTGTTGAAGATGCGTTTTGCTTGCGCGTTTTTCTTCGTTCTGGCTGATTTCTTAGGCGTGTTCGCCGAAATCTATTTGCGGCTTGTGTTCATTGTCGAGCGACACGAGCCGGAGTTGTTCAGGATGATTGGTGAGGCCGCTAAGCACGCAGAAGACCTGAAGCAGCTCGCATTGGACGACTCGATCGTGTCGCTAGACCGTGAGAATGAAGACGAAGCCCGCGGGAAACGTAAGTGTCGTAATTTTAAATCGTTTTTGATATGAATTCGTACAATAAATATAATAATAACTAAATCAACAGGGAACCAATTACGTACGGTCAAAAAATGGCCAAAAGAATGCCAATGGTTGTCTTACTGGTGGTAGGACCTCTTGTGAGTCCGCGCGGGTAGGTACCACCGCCCTGCCTATTTCTGCCGTGAAGCAGTAATGCGTTTCGGTTTGAAGGGCGGGGCAGCCGTTGTAACTATACCTGAGACCTTAGAACTTGTATCTCAAGGTGGGTTGCGCATTTACGTCGCAGATGTCTATGGGCTCCAGTAACCACTTAACACCAGGTGGGCTGTGAGCTCGTCCACACATCTAGGCAATAAAAAAAAAGTCCAAACTTGGTGCACGCCAAAGAAGTTAAACTTATTTTTCGATGTGTAGTAGATAAACATAAATTAGTTATAGATAAGCAACTCAAGCACTCAACAAAAATGTTTACGGGTGTCGGCCACTAGATGGCTTCGCTTCGATTAGTTTCTCATTGCTCTTATAGACGTCAGTAACATATTAACTATCCTATATTTTATTTTAGTACCTAATGTAGGTTTTTGTAAATTTTCAGAAACCACAAATTGATGAAAATTTAGTCAATTTGTCTATAACAAATAAAGACTTGTATGATTTTTTTATTTTTTTATTTTCCGTGTTTAGTTCTACAATAATTAAATGCCTGATAGTCCAAGATCTCAGGGCCACCAGACGTCACGTATTTTCTGATGAACAAGATGTGGCTGATTGCGTAGTTAGTATGTGCTAAGTAAGAACGCATGCCTACCTGCTAGCTTGCTTAGACAGCCAATTTTTAGGTATCAGGTACTCAAGGTACATAAAATCATTACGTACTTCACGTAAATTCTGAAAGCTGATTTTTACGTATATTTTAGACAATATCCTTAAAAGCAAGTAGCCAATACTCTCAGACACTTTCCTTCCGGCCGAATTGCTTTGCAGACTCTTTAAAGCTCCCTTTTAAATATGTCCACCAGACAACTATTTTAAAACCTCTTACAAAAAGAAAGACTCATATCAACCAATTATTAATATTAAAAGAAAATCAGTTAAAAATTAAATAATCAGGTAAATAATTAATGCATAAAACTGCGATACTTTAATACAAAAAAAATGTATTAAAGTATCGCAGTTTCAGAGATCTGGTACAGGAGATGTTTTATTCGCAGTATGCTCCGAGTTATCTAAGGGAGTGTCAGCCCTCATTGACCTGTCCTGGTCACCGTGGGACGAAGCAGAGCATCTCGCTTCGGAAGCCGGTGTGCCCATCATCAGAATTACGCTAGGACCTCAGCCCTTCGTTGCCGCTATCGACAGATACTTGGAGTCAAGGAACGCCACTGACGCCGCCATTTTGTTGGAGAGTGAAATTGGTGGGGGAATATTTACGTTCTGGCCAATAGCAGTTAAGGCGAAGCGTGGGAAGGCATTTTTATTGTTGTGGCGGATTATTGGTGACCCCGACCTGATTCTGAGCTATGGAGTCTGTGCTTATACAGGGTGTCCCAGAAAGAATGGATAATCTTGAAACACCTCATAGTAGAGCTATTCATCATCTTAGGCCTTACAGCCCAGGGTGGGCCTTAGCCTGGTCCAGTATGTCTCTCCAGACTGCTCTGTTCAGAGCTTTCTCCTTCCAGTTCTTGACACCTATAGCTTTGAGGTCGCGCTACACGACATCTAACCATCGAAGTTTAGGTCTGCCACGACTTCTGCGGCCCTCTGGTTTGCCATAGAGCAGTTGTCTCGGCATTCTGGTATTTTCCATTCGAACCACATGTCCTGCCTATCGTAGGCGTCCAATTATTATAGTTATATTAGGATATTTGCAAATATCATACAACTCGTGGTTATAGCGCGTCCTCCATATCTCGTTTTCCTGCACAGCACCGAATATCCGTCTTAGGATGTTACGCTCGAACACAAGTAGACGGTTCTCATCCTTTTTGCTGAGTACCCATGTCTCTGAGCCATAAATAAGAATGGGTCTCAGTAGGGTTTTATATAAAATAATTTTGATATTTCGAAAAATGTTTCTTAGTTAGTTGTATGTATTAGTTATATGTACCCAAATTAAAAATAAAGTAAAATACCAAATTTCATGATTAAAATTTAAGTTCAGATTAACTTTAAAAAAATATATACTAGCTACTCACACGATTTCCTGCATATTCCTTAGTATATAGTCAATGTAGAATATTATAACAACAATAATATTCTATGTTATGTTAAATATTGTTGAGTTTGGTCATAGAGTTGATTTGAAACTTTTTCGTCTGTGTGTTGCATGTCGCGTGACGGTCGGCCGCGGAGTAGGGATAAAGTGAAAGGCGCTCGTCAGAGCAGCCAAGGCCACTATGTCGGCGCCTATAGTTCGCAGCAGCTGACCGTGTAGTGTATAGACTATTACTCATTTGTGCCAGTGCTCCACGCTATATTGTTTGTTTATGTTAGTGTTTATTGTAAACGTTGTTTGTCAGAGTTAAATGTCTATAATGTGAAAAAAAGTTTCACTTTTACCGTGGTTTCATAGAACCACACAATCCTTTTTTTTGTTGTAGACGTCGACAAAGTCTTGTACGAGCTATTGGGTCGATCCAACACGCGCATTTGGGTGCATGCCGGCCTCACGCGGGACTCCGCCAGGGCTCTGAAGACGATGAGGCCTGACCCAAGCTTCTACGTGCTGGTCGGTGGAAGTGGCTTCGTGATGGAAACGTACAAACGGGTTAGGGACGGTTCTATGTGCCCTTGACAGGGGTGTAGCGAGCTTAACTTTTTTTATAATTTTTTTATTGCTTAGATGGGGGGACGAGCTCACACTGCTCACAGGCCTGATGTTAAATGGTTACTGAATCCCATAGACATCTACAACGTAAATGCGCTACCCACCTTGGGATATAAGTTCTAAGGTCTCAGTACAGTTACAACGGCCGCCCCGCCCTTCAAACCGAAACGCATTACTGCTTCACGGCAGAAATAGGCGGGGTGGTGGTACCTACCCGCGCGTACTCACAAGAGGTCCTACCACCAGTAATTACGCAAATTATAATTTTGCGGGTTTCAGTTTTATTACACGACTAGCGACCCACCCTCGCTTCGCTTCGGAAACATGAAACCAAAAAAAATAAATAAATAAAAAATTAAAAAAAGTAGCCTATGTTCATCAGGGACAATGTCGGCTTCTAATGGAAAAAGAATTTTTCAAATCGGTCCAGTAGTTTCGGAGCCTATTCGAAACAAACAAACAAACAAATCTTTCCTCTTTATAATATTAGTTTAGAGTATAGATATAGATATTATTTCTTCACCGTAGAAGTCAATCGTGAACATTTGTTGAGTATGAGTACGTAATTCATTAGAAAAATTTGTACCCGCCTGCGGGATTCGAACACAGGTGCATCGCTCAACACGAATGCACCGGACGTCTTATCTCTTAGGCCACGACGACTTCAAAGCTTTTGGCACAATGCAAGACTGGTGCTCGGAGTAAAGCACCGCGAGTGGATGAAGACAATCCGAAATGACGTGTGTAGTTTGCACATACATAATATGCAAGTTTCGAAGTCCTTCACGCGGCCAGTGATCGGAAACTCTGGAAAGATATTACAAAAATGAAAATTCTGTCTAAGCATGATTTTTATTTTGCCTACCTATGCTGATAGCCTTGAGAGGCTATTTCAGATTCGCCCTAACGTGTAGGTGAGCTCACGGGGCTCAAACCTGAGTGTTGCTAACACTGGCCCTAGCAAGAGCCGTGCTTCGCAGAATCTACCACCGGATCGGAAACGCGACCCACTGAGAAGATCCGGCGAGAAACTCAGTGGGCTGTGTCTATGAGTTAATTCGTTCGTCGAGTCCTTCGTCGACGGGAGAACGGTGACCGGGAACATGATGGTCACGACCCTCAGTAGTGAGGAAACGAGGAGGAGGATATAAGTCCCGAAATCATTCCGAGCGTCGATCTACCAAGAACTTTCCCTGCTCACGAATCTTCCCTTAGAGGGAGTCTAAGAGGGTTTTGGTTCCTGTGGACACGTGGTACATCCTGACCCTCGCTTCTTGTGTTCAGGCCGTGAAGGAGAAGCTGGTGCGTCGTGTCTACCGCTGGAATCTGGTCTTCACCGACTACCTCGATCTGTCCGCCCTGGATCTGAGTTCCGTGGTACAGCCTGCGATGATCCTACAGGCACACCCCGAGGATTGTTGCAGGATCATCGCCTCGAAGGATTGCACTTGTTCCGATAGTTTTGAGGTGAGGTTTTTATGAAAACGTTTTTTTTTGTTATATTGATTGGTGATTGGAACATAAATATAGACCTCATGTCTCAAGCGTGGGTGGTGGTGTTCTGGTCATCTGTCTATGCAATGAAAAGCAATGCCAACGGGTACGTCACTATTCCAGTCGGTATTACTGCTTCATGGCAGAAATAGGCAGGGCACCTACCCGTGCGAACTTTATTACACAATGTTATTCCTTCACCGTGGAAGTCAACGTGAACATTTGTTGAGTACGTAATTCATTAGAAAAATTGGTACCCGCCTGAGATTCGAACACCGGTACATCGCTCAACACGAATGCACCGGACGTCTCATCCGTTAGGCCACGACGACTTCCAAACCTTGTCCTGTTGAAACTGGAAAGGCCTCCGGGCTACCAGTAATCCCCCAATCTTAAAAAATAATAGATATTATAATAAAACAATTGGTACCCTCCAGCCAGATTTGAACATAGCCCACAGTCGTGTTTCACTCGATATTAGCGCACCAAGCGTTTTATCTTATAGGTCACAACGACTTCGTTTGTGTTATTTTACATTAGTATACAAAGAAGCATACTTCATTAAACTCTACTCTATATACCTAAGAGTATACTCTACCTACTACTACTACTACTACCTACTACCTACTCTATATATCTCTAATCACATCTGCCAGTTCAATACAATTAAGAACTTCGTCTATTCTAGAAGACTCAGGCCACATTGAACTCTCTGATTGCTTATCTGGTGGATGCTTTTGGGAGAATCGATGGCACGTTCATGGTTAAAGCCAGGGTCGACTGCGGGAACATCCATAGTGATATGAGCGATACCAAAGAGGCATTGCACAGGATATTCGTCGAAGACATAGATAACAACGAAACTGTATTTTATTGGGATCAGGAAAGGTTGGTATTCCGGTGACAGAGTCTCTAAGTGACTGGTAAGCATGATGGCAATAGAAAAAAAGCATGCGACTTTTCTGGAGCAATTATCAATAATTTTTGTGAGTAGACTACATCGTGAAACTTTTTAGTAACCTGAAAGTTTCCAACTACCTTGAGACTTGAAAAATTTAAAATAAGAAGTCGTCGCGGCCTAAATGATAAGACGGCCGGTGCGTTCGTATCTAGTGAAATGACTGTGCCGGTGTTCGAATCCCGCCGACGGGTAACAATTTTTAAAGTAGAACTTTTATTACATCGTCTTAAACTTTTTCGTCTGTGTGTTGCATGTCGCGTGACGGTCGGCCGCGGAGTTGGGATAAAGTGAAAGGCGCTCGTCAGAGCAGCCGAGGCCAATATGGCGGCGCCTATAGTTTACAGCAGCAGACCGTGTAGTGTATAGACTATTACTCATTTGTGCCAGTGCTCCACGTTATTTTGTTTGTGTTTTTCAGTGTTTGATGTAAATGTTGTTTGTCAGAGTTAAATGTCTATAATGTGAAAAAAAGTTTCACTTCTACTGTGGTTCCATAAAACCACACAATCCTTTTTCAAATTGAAATGCGTGGGTATTTTGAGGTCGAACGAAGTGGGATTCGAACATCAACACAGACGCATCGCTCGCATGCACCGGGCGTCTTATGCTTTAGGGCTTCGCGATTGGACCACTTCTTAAAAATCATATACGACTGATTATTTTCTCCTCCGTCTTCAAGGTACGGATTGTTCTTGCGCCATCGCTACGTTCTGTCTTCATACAAGCCTGATTCCGGTCTGGAAGCCGTCGCGGTTTGGTCAGCGAACCAAGAGTACAGGCTGCTTCCGGGAGTGACACTGGAACCCTTGAAGCACTTCTTTAGAGTCGGGACTTCGCCGGTAACCTTTCGGATAAGCACTAGCCCGGTTCAGCCCGAGGAGACGGCTCTCAAAGTTTTTTAAAGCGCACTATACGAACTCGCGACAAATGCATGCAATTTTTTTTTTGATCACGCTCTTTATTTAGGTTTTACATTTAAAAATGAATGCTGGAATAATCTATCAAACTTACGTCTAGTGAACAATTTCATGTTTACCCTGTATGCACCCCAGAGATGTACTCGTCGAACTCGGCAAAGAGTTCGAAGTGCGACTTAATCTAAACATCAGCACGCTGAGTTTCTCGCCGGATCATATCAGCGGGTCGCGATTCTGATCCTGTAGTAGATTCATACGTGAAGCAGCTGCTCTTGAGTTGTTAGGTCTCTTTCGGAGGCGCTCGGGCAGCTGTTTGCAAATACCAACCTTCCAGGCTGAGCCCTTACTAGCCCACCTGTCCTGGTGAAACTGGAAAGGCCTCTGGGCCACCAGTAATTCTTCAATCATAAAAAAAGATGCTATTCTTCGTGGAGCTCTTTATGTATTAATTTTGTTAATATTAGTCAAAATATAGGTAAACTAAACAAACAAAAAAAAAAAAAACTAACACTAAACTACGCTCTTTTGAAAGTGTTTATGAGAAGAATATTGGTGATAGATACCAAATGATTCCGCATATTAACTCAATTTCAAATATTTTTGAAAATTGTACACTTTTAATGCGAAGAGACGAAATGTGTATAACTTCGGTTCCCATAGCAAAGGGGATCGTAGTGTTGTACCCAGGGGACCGGGTGTGACTTATCGCCGGTTATTACTATTTACAGGCCGTACCGTGGACCCTGCCGAAGCTCGACCCTGAGACCGGGGACCCGCTGTACAATGAAGACGGCCAACCGATCTACGAGGGATACTGCGTGGATCTAATACAGAAATTATCAGAGGTACGTTATTACTCGCCTCTGATATACTGGTGGTGGGCCCTCTTGTGAGTCCGCACGGGCAGGTACCACCGCCCTGCCTGTTTCTGCCGTGAAGCAGTAATGCGTTTCAGTTTGAAGGGCGGGGCAGCCGTTGTAGCTATACTGAGTCCTTAGAACTTATATCTCAAGGTGGGTGGCGCATTTACGTTGTAGATGTCTATGGGCTCCAGTAACCATTTAACACCAGGCTGTGAGCTCGTCCACCCATCTAAGCAATAAAAAGAATACCTTGTCTTGCCATAAATACTGAAGACAAAGGAAAAAACAAAAATTTCTATTGCAAATAACATTTATTACTTTTACAGTGTGTTAGTATAATACATAAATATAAAACAATTTAAAGTATAAAAATCTTATTCGAAGTGGTCTCCATTGGCTGCAATACAGTCCTTTAAACGATGAGGCCAGTTATCAACAGAAGCACGCACTCTTTCCATGTTAAAATTTTTCACTGCCAATCGTACGGATTGTTTTAGGGATTCCAAATTATCATGGCGTTTAGAGCAAGCCGTACTCTCTAAAACTGACTATAAATCATAACCCAGCGGATTAAGATCGGGAGTAGACGACGGCCAGTCTTCAGCTCTGATGAAGTCCGAAACGGTTGTTTTCAACCAAGACTACGTAGACCGAGCTTTATGACCTGGCGCCGAGTCTTGCTGGAAGGACCATTCTTGATTATTGAACATGGTGTTGTTAAGGGGCTTCACCACCTCCTCAAGAATGGTATCTTGATACACTTGTGCTGATGTTTTGATACCTTTTTCACAAAAGTATGGCTCGGTCACTCCTTCATAGCTAATACCCCACCAAACCATCATTGAAGTCGGATAGTGCCCACGTTGCACTCTGTCGACTAATTGGGAAGCTTCCTCAGAGCTTTGAGCATAAATACGGTCATTTTGTTTGTTAAAACGTTGCTCAATTGTAAGAATTTTCTCATCCGTAAACAAAAAATTTCTATGACCTCCCTTTGCGTGCCGCTTCAGTAGTTGTCTCGATTTTACCACCCTATTCTCTTTTAAATTATCAGTTAAAAAATGACCAGTACGTCTCTTATAGGCTGCAAGTCCTAAGTCATCTTTTAAAATACGCGACTTGGTTCTAGGTGCTATCTTCATCTCCCGAGATAAAATCTTTTGCTTTCGGACAGGATTTCTTCGAATTCTTTCCCTTACTGCTTTGACCACCTTTTTCGTACGAACACTAAGTACGTGGACGGCCAGATCTTTTTCTGTCACAAACAGAGGAGGTCTCATTGCACCTATTAATAGCCCGGTACACAAACATTTTACTAATACCAAGCGTATGGAGAGTTTTAAAAATTGCATTTGGCTCCATACCTACTTTGTGAAATGCAATCACAGCGAATCGGTTCTCTTTATCACCCCACTCCATTTTAATATCGCAAAATATTGTACAATGTATTGGCGCCAAAATGAGAAAACTCAATGAGCAATATATTATGTGTATAATCTATGATGAGCAATCATATAAAAATGACAGATTCCAAATTCAAATGTAATATTTTGTTTATTTTTAATTGTAACAGTATTTATAGCCCGACTAAGTACACATCACAGAGCAAATCGGTTCTAATTTATTTAATACTAGCGACCCGCCCTCGCTTCGCTTCGGAAACATTAAAACACACATGAAACCAAAAAAAAAAAATAAAAAAAAATAAAAAAAAGTAGCCTATGTTCATCAGGGACAATGTCGGCTTCTAATGGAAAAAGAATTTTTCAAATCGGTCCAGTAGTTTCGGAGCCTATTCGAAACAAACAAACAAACAAATCTTTCCTCTTTATAATATTAGTATAGATTAATCACAGATTTCGCCAAGACTACACTTTAGACAAATATTAATAACTAGCGACCCGCCCTCGCTTCGCTTCGGAAACATTAAAACACACATGAAACCAAAAAAAAAAAATAAAAAAAAATAAAAAAAAGTAGCCTATGTTCATCAGGGACAATGTCGGCTTCTAATGGAAAAAGAATTTTTCAAATCGGTCCAGTAGTTTCGGAGCCTATTCGAAACAAACAAACAAACAAATCTTTCCTCTTTATAATATTAGTATAGATATGTGGCATAATGTTTGGTACATGAGTCCTTAGTGGGCGTTTTACTTTAGGGAACGTTGAAATATTTAGACTCTAGTGTCGAGTTGACATTATTTTAATTAAATCGACAGTTAATTGGCTTAAACCATAAAGGATTGCAATCTTAATTTGTGATTAAGAGAAGTTGTAATGATTTGACGTTCGTCCGCCATGACAGATGCAACTCCGTCCGGTGTTGCCCGCTCTGAGCTAAAGTTACCGTTTAGTAGAATAGAAAATAACATAATAATATACCAAAGAATAAAATAATAACAAAATATTATTATACTAGCGATCCGCCCTCGCTTGGCTTCGGGAACTGTAATTTATTAACGATCTTATTGAATTTTCTTTTATACAAATCTGGTCCTGACAGTAACAAACAAAAAATGTAATCTTTCCTCTACTTATATTCATGGTTCACTATTGTGGCGATAAAAAAATTTAGATATTAAAAATTAAATAAATAAATAAAAATGCCCTGCCTGTTTCTGCCGTGAAGCAGTAATGCGTTTCGGTTTGAAGGGTGGGGCAGCCGTTATAGCTATACTGAGATCTTAGAACTTATATCTGAAGGTGGGTGGCGCATTTGCGTTGTAGATGTCTATGGGCTCCAGTGACCACTTAACACCGGGTGGGCTGTGAGCTAGTCCACCCATCGAAGCAATAAAAAGAAACACTGATGTTTAGGTTATGTATTATATGTATTATGTTACCGGGGTCCCTAGTCCTAGTGTTAGAGCTAAAGGCGTTTAATGCAACAGTTATTGGATCTGATGGATCCGTAAGGACGTGATTAAAGATTCATATTACATTGTAAAGGACAAACCCGAAATCCATACAAACTTGGGCCTGGCGTTACAGTGCTAGAATTTGGGCATAAGTTACAATACCTAAGAAGGTTTCATGAGCCCAATTTTCAGGTCTCCCAGCAATGGCCAAATTGGTAAAATCAGACAATGTTTACATTTTAGGTTATGTTTATTGTTCGAGATATTTTAATAAAAACGATATTTTTGAGGCTGTTTCCTACTAAAGATGAGTAATTTTTTACGAAACCTGTTGCAGCAACAGGTTGCTTTAAAATAAAAATGGATCCTGTTACGAAAAATCGCGTGTTAGGTTGTTTACGAAAACGAACGAAAGCCAAAAATTAAAAACAAAGTAATGCGAAGCGCGCTGCGCACGAAATGATTTTTTAAGGGATTTTATGACCTGGTAACTAAGACCTTTAGGTCAGTCTTATTTTAATTTTAATGAAAACTTTTTTATATGAAAAACTATATATTTTATATGATAACTTTTTTATATAAACTAAAAATCATTACGTGCTCCCATATTATCTCATCACATTTCATTTCATTTTATTTCATGCCTTTTTTATTTTTATTTTTTATTGCTTAGATACCCATCGACGAGCTCACAGCCCACCTGATGTTAAGTGGTTACTGGAGCTCATAGACATCTACGACGTAAATGCGCCACCCACCTTGAGATATAAGTTCTAAGGTCTCAGTATAGTTACAACGGCTGCCCCGCCCTTCAAACCGAAACGCGTTACTGCTTTACGGCAAAAATAGGCGGGCGGGAGGGGCGGACTCACAAGAGATCCTACCACCAGTAAAATTATTAATGTAACTACACCATAGAAAAACTCAAAGTACCAAATCGACTTTTTCATGTTATATTTAAGATTGCCAGTTGAAAATATTTTGAATTGCCGCAGTTGCCGACATGATTTCGTGTCATAACTAAATGGCACAGTTATTTTTTTCTTTTAATGATTTTTGTTAGTAGATTTTGGTGCTTTACGTTACGTTATTCAATGAGATTAAGTTTATAGTCTGGCCAGCGAATCATGGCACAACTAAATAGCGGCAATCCAAAATATCTTCAGTTGGCAACATTAAAGATAACATAACACGATTTGATACATTTGTGTTTTTCTATGGCGTAGTCACATTAATATTAAAAATGCAAAACTACCCTTTTATGCTATATTTAATGTTGTCAGTTGTAGATATTTTGAATTGCCGCCATTGTAAGTAGTTGTGTCACGATTCGATGGCCATACTCTATTTACATTGATTAAAATACCTATAAAAACAGTCATTTATTCTAAAGCAAAAGAGTATTATATATTAATTATTTTTTACACTCGATTTCCACTAAATCGATCCTATTTTATGGATGCTCTAATTCTAATCCGCACGTTTGTGGAGCTAGTTACGTATAAGTGTTGCAGATGTTTACAAAGATTGTTTAAAACAAAAAATTTAATTCAACTTATTTTCTATACTTGGCCATTGTCAATGAAGCTAAGATTTCAATAGGTTAATCAAGCAAAATAGACGAATTTTTTGGTACATATCCCATTCGTGTAACGCTTAGGCCCAAAATGGGCTTTCTCCTTTAATACCGAAACGCATTTCTTAGGCCATGAACTTTGACTACGAGATCGTTTCACCGAGGAGCGGGGGATTCGGAAGGAGGCTACCTAATGGCTCCTGGGACGGTGTCGTCGGTGACCTCACTACGGGGGTAAGTTGGAGGTCTTAATTAATTTAGGCGCTGCGAAAACATTTTTCAATACTTGATTTATGAAAAATATGTATTTTTTTTTGTCTCAGATGTCTGGACGATCTTATCGTCTATATGGTGTTAAGTGGTTACCGGAGTCCGTGGACATATACAACGTAAATGCAACCACCCACCTTGAGATATAAGTTCGAAGGTCTCAGTACAGTTACAACGGCTGCCCCGCCCTTCAAACCGAAACGCATTACTGCTTCACGGCAGAACTAGACAGGGCGGTAGTACCTACCCGCGCGGACTCACAAGACGTCCTACCAGTAAAGACAAGTCTCAACAGCTCTACAATATCTTTTAGGAGACCGACATAGCCGTCGCTGCGTTGACCATGACGGCTGAGAGGGAGGAAGTCATAGATTTCGTGGCGCCATACTTCGAACAGACAGGAATATTGATAGGTTTGTAGCGTGCAACACTGGTACATCTTATTCGGGTATCTTCGGACGCGATCGGGATTCCCGAACGCGCAGCTGTCACTAGACGTCAGTCGACAAGATTCGCGCGCTAATTTAATGTTTCTCACAAAAATTATAACCTACTAGCCTACCCGGCAGACTTCGTAGTGTCTCAATCGATAAATAAAATACACATCAAGGGGACACATCAAAGGAAAAACAAAATTGTTTGTTATTATATTATTATACCGAGCTTTTTTATAGTTTCTCACCTTTTAAACCTTACCTGGACTTCCACGAATAATTCGAGACCAAAATTAGTCAAATCAGTCCAGCCGTTCTCGAGTCTTAGCGAGACTAACGAACAGCAATTCATTTTTTAAAATAGAGATATTGACTTTTTGGCGGGTACGCGAAGAGTGAAGTTGTGTGATTTGTTTTATTTTGTCTATTTAGTGTTTCTTTTGGTTTAAATGTGTAATAACGGTGGTTTATTAACAGCTGTTTCATATCTGTGGAAGTGCACAAATGTGGGAAAATGAATCAAAGCCGCTGGACGTAACTTCTCGGGATCCTCCAAAAAGTCCACTGAAAAAATCTCAGTAAATTACCACCATTTTACTGAGATTATATTTCATCCCATATCATCTCATTTCATTTAATTTCATCCCAGTTGATTAATGTCTCAAATTAATCATCTTAATTTCATTTCATTTCACTCCCTTTTATCATTTTTCATAAAAATAAGAATATAAATTAAAATAAGACATAACCTAAAGGTCTTAGTTATCGGGTCATAAAATCGCTTAAAAAAAAAACTTCCAACTGTCATTGCGCGCGCGTTTGGGTCATGCCGTGGTCATGCCTCACTTGTGCTGTTGACTGCATGACGAAGGCCCTTGATGACCCAGCTAAACGTGAACATTATTTCCATCAGCGATTAGGAAGCCAATACGGAAGACGTCCCTCTTCAAGTTCATGACGGTACTCCGCACTGAGGTTTGGCTCAGCATCGTGGCGGCTCTCGTTCTAACCGGCTTCATGATTTGGCTGCTGGAGAAGTATTCCCCTTACTCGGCGAAGAACAATCCGGGGGCCTACCCGTATCCTTGCAGGTATACGTATAGGTTATAGGCATTACGTTATGTATTATCATTCATTCATTAGGCATTTGAAGTCGTCGTGGCCTAAAGGATAAGACGTCCGGTGTTCGAATCCCGCAGGCGGGTCCCAATTGTTCTAATGAAATACGTACTTGATATTCACGATTGACTTCCACGATGAAGGAATAAAATCGTGTAATAAAAATCAAACCCGCAAAATTATAATTTGCGTAATTACCGGTGATATGACCTCTTGTGAGTCCGCACGGGTCTGCCTATTTCTGCCGTGAAGCAATAATACGTTTTGGTTTGAAGGGCGGGGCAGCCGTTGTGACCATACTGAGACCTTAGAACTTATATCTCAAGGTGGGTGGCGCATTTACGTTGTAGATGTCTATGGGCTCCAGTAACCACTTAACACCAGATGGGCTGTGAGCTCGTCCATCCATCTAAGAAATAAATAAAAAAAACCTGGTGTACATAGAAGATAAATAAAATGCTTTATTTCCTGAAGTACTTCATAGGGATATAGCCAGGAAATATGAAGACAATGAATGGAAAATAGAAGGGACAAGATCGCAGGACTAGATCTGCACCACCCTTGATTCCATATGCTCCCAGTGGTCATCCCCATACATGAGCAGCACGAGTGAGGAAGAAGGTTCATAAAATTGTTAGTTAGTTTGATAAATCACCTCTGATAACGCGATGGATTCTATCAACGGAGCCCATAGACTGACATTGAAAGAACGAATGATTGATTGTATGATTAATTGAATGATTGATTGATATAATAATTGATTGATAAATTGATTGAACAAAGAACGAATGATTGATTGATTGAATGAATAAATGAATGCATAAATAAATAAATTACCTCCAGATTGTCTTCCTTCATTGTGAAAGTCATCATGAGTAAATACATTGTTGTTACCGATAGAATATCTTGTTTAAATATCTAATCGGCCCCAAACCACAAAGCCACAGCGGTAGGCTGGTTGGAAAGCAGCGCCTTTGCTGTACCCCTGGCATTGCTGACGTCCATGAACGACGATAACCACTTACCATCATGTGAACAGTATGCTCGTCTGCTTATAAAGACAATAAAAAAAACCAAAGAGTACATGAGCGTCTTCAATTACCTGATTTTTCAGAGATTTTACACTGAAAGAGAGCTTCTGGTTCGCCCTGACCTCGTTCACTCCTCAAGGCGGCGGAGAAGCTCCGAAAGCCCTCTCAGGCAGGACCCTCGTGGCTGCCTACTGGTTATTCGTGGTGCTGATGCTGGCCACATTCACGGCGAACCTGGCTGCTTTCCTCACGGTCGAGAGGATGCAGGTTTGTCATCTTGGCTCTCAATTGTGGGAACTTCCTGTTAGAATTGTATAATTCCTAAACGCATCTTTATATTAACACAATAACTACCGTGTACGTCAGCGGTGCCCTACGTGACGCATTAAAGTAATTATGTCGATTTCTGTCTTCGATCTTCTTACTAAGGCGCCTCTAGTAGACTCTAGGAAAGACGAATCCGAAGATACTAAGATACATAGATTAAAAATAAAATAAAAAAAGTTAAGCAATTCCGGTGCTCAGTAACAGAAATCGACATAATTACTTCAGTGCGCCGCGTAGGGCACCGGTGACCTACACGGCAGTCAACCGGAGCCCATAGACATCTACAATGTAAATGCGCCACCCACCTTGAGATATAAGTTCTAAGGTCTTAGTAGCTATAACGGCTGCCCCGCCCTTCAAACCAAAAAGCATTACTGCTTCACGGCAGAAATAGGCAGGGTGGTGGTATCTACCCGTGCGGGCCACCACTAAATCTGTCTGCTGAATGTCAAGGAATTGATTTTAAAATTTTCCCGACCAGACTCCGGTGTCATCTTTAGAGCAATTGGCGCGTCAATCCCGCATCAATTATACGGTCGTCGAAGGTTCTAGCACGCATCAATACTTCATCAATATGAAGTTCGCCGAAGATACGCTATATAGGTATGCATTTTGACTGACGCGTTATTTGGAATTTCCACTACCGTTCGAAATATATCTGTATCTTAATACGTGATGCAAAAACTTTGTACCCTTTTTTACGAAAATTGCGCGGACGGAGGAGTATGAATATAACATACACTACCATGTATTTGACACACACATGCATGCTTAAAGTCTGTGGTCAAATTGAGAATAAATTATTACTAGAGGTCCCACAGTAGTCGAAATTCGACTATAATTAATTGGAATTGTAAGTTTGTACACATACCATNTTAATACGTGATGCAAAAACTTTGTACCCTTTTTTACGAAAATTGCGCGGACGGAGGAGTATGAATATAACATACACTACCATGTATTTGACACACACATGCATGCTTAAAGTCTGTGGTCAAATTGAGAATAAATTATTACTAGAGGTCCCACAGTAGTCGAAATTCGACTATAATTAATTGGAATTGTAAGTTTGTACACATACCATAATCACAAATTTCGCCAAGGCTACACTATAAAAAAATATTAATAAAGACAAACAATATTTAATCTATTCTCAATTTGACAACAGATGTCAAGAACAAAAGTTTGACAATAAATAGTATGCATGCGTGTGTGCGTCAAATACATGGTATGTAGTGTGTGTAATGTTTTCTTTATTGATTTGATGTATCTTTTATGTATTATTTTAAAAAAATATTAGCATTGTGCACTTCTTCTCTATATTCTCTATAAGTGTGGAAAATTTCATACTCCTCCATCCGCGCAATTTTCGTAAAAAGGGATACAAAGTTTTTGCTTCACGTATTAATATAAAGATTGTCTGTATTAATATTTGTCTATAGTGTAGTCTCGGCGAAATCTGTGATTATAGAAGAAAAGTCTTTGACAATAGGACCATAATAATTTTCAAATTTATAATTTCAATTAATTATAGTTGAATTTCGACTACTGGGAGATCATTAGTAGTTATAAATAGAAGCAATCATAGGGTTTTCAGATTTCTTTTCTGCCTCAAAAGATATCCTCAGTAGGTCGCGATTTCGATCTGGTGGTAGCTTCAGCGAAGCACTACTTCTTGCGAGGGCCGGTTTTAGCGAAGTCTCTACGGCTAAATCCGAAGCATGTGTATACCAGTTGGGTAAGACCAGACCCTTAAAGGCTACTGGTGTTTAAGAAGGCAACCTTTATTACTTTTGATTGGACGATGCATCTAATGGTGAGTGGTTTCCGACATTCATAAGATGGAGTGGTTTTCAATGGTGCTTTCAAGCTTCACCAGAACCTTTCTCAGACCTCGTTTGAAGACAATACCGCTCAGCTTAGTTTAGAAGTTTATTCTAGAACCAGCTAGTACCAGAGAAAAATTGTCTTTAGTGCGTAAAAGGGAGTAGTGGTTTTCATATTCCATCTCAAGCACTTCCCCATTGCACCTTTTGCTTAGATGTGTGGACGAGCTCACAGCCCACCTGGTGTTAAGTGGTTACTGGAGCCCATAGACATCTAAAACGTAAATGCGTCACACACCTTGGAATATAAGTTATAAGGTCTCAGTATAGTTACAACGGCTGCTCCACCCTTCAAACCGAAACGCATTACTGCTTCACGGCAGAAACAGGCAGGGTGGTGGTGCCTACCCGTGCGGACTCACAAGAGGTCCTACCACCAGTAAAAAACCTTCCGATACCAGAGCACTTTCTAGGCCAGGCTCCAAGCGATCCTGGCCTAAGAAGCCATATAGTCACACGTGCTCTTTCCAGGGTGTGGAAGGAGATAACCCTCAACGCCACATCGGATCAAGCCCAGTATCGGGTGTGGGACTACCCCATCCGGGAGCAGTATGGACATATCCTTCTGGCCATTAACGCTTCAGGTTTCTTTATTGATTTTTTATTTATTTTATTGCTTAGATGGGTGGACGAACTCACAGCCCACCTGGTGTTAAGTGGTTACTGGAGCCCATAGACATCTAGGACGTATATGCGCCACCCACTTTGAGATATCAGTTCTAAGGTCTCAGTGTAGTTACAACAGCTGCCCCACCCTTCCAACCGAAACACATTACTGCTTCACGGCAGAAATAGGCAGAGCGGTGGTACCTACCCGCGCGGATTTACAAGAGGTCCTACCACGAGTGAAGTTCTTTATCACAGAATACTATTTTGATTGCCCCAGTCGAGAAGCATGCTAGCTTCTCATTAGATGTTAAGAGGTTACTGTCTTTAGTGCCAGTTTCCTTGAGACACTAGATTGAAGCCTCAAATGCGTCACGTAATGTGGTCCAAGGCAATGACTGCCTCTCTGTAATAGGGGTGGTGCCAACCCTTGTTGCGAATTTCCCCCATCACCAGTTTGCTATAATTTGGCGTTTCAAATAAATTAATCGAAAGAGATAGAAGTGAAACTTCTGTGGCGGGGATTCGGTAATCGAGAAGTGCAATAGAATTTTGAGTATTTTTTTAGGGTAGACACTTTTCGTTTCATGAGTGAGAGGTAAGATATGATATACATTCAAAACGAAAGAGAGCGATATATTTAGACATTATGCAAGTGGACCGAAAGACTTATGTTATTATATAAGGATACAAAGCGAATTTAATAATCCTAAGTAAAAAGGCTGTTTATTATTGACATTGACAACACATTGACAGTGTCAACTATGGTACAATCCGTAAGAGATTACAATTACAATTCGTATTCTGTCGTAAGTCTACTGGAAAATTCGACCTCACGTCTCAAACCGGTTTTTACTTTGAGGTCAGAGTATCACTTACCATCAGAAGCGTGTGCGTCTCTGGCCCAAAGTTCGCTGACTTACGATCAGGTGAGGCATCTGCTCGTCCAATTAGAACGAAGCGACGCGTCTAAATATCTTAAAAAGTACCAGGATCGCATAAATGTGGGAAGCTCTCTTTGAATTCGTCCTACAAATTTTTACTAACAGCCCTGAGTCTACTAAAATATTCGACCTCACGTCACGTATTTTGAGGTAAGAGTATCAATTACCATCAGAGGGGTGCGTCTCTGGCCCAAAGTTTGCTGACTTAGAATCAGGTAAGGTGTCTGCTCGTCCAATTAGAACGATGCGACGCGTCTAAATATCTTAAAAAAAGTAGTAGGGTCGCATAAATGTGGGAAGCTCTCTTTGAATTCGTCCTACAAATTTTTACTAATAGCCCTGAGTCTACTATACCTATAATATTCGCCCGCACGTCTCAAACCAGTGTTTTGAGGTAAGAGTATCACTTGCCATCAGAAGCGTGCGCGTCTCTGGCACAAATTTCGTTTCATTTACGTTGTAGATGTCCATGGGCTCCAGTAGCCACTTAACCCCAGGTGGGCTGTGTGCTTGTTCACCCACCTTTTTTTTTTTTTTTTTTTTTTTTTCGGGTAGAGGGCCGAACCTCCTACGAGGTCCCCGCGCAAAAGGGGCGCGCGGGGTATGTGAGACTCAACGATCTGCATGGTGTTGTGAGCAGACCGCGGGCCCAAGGATTTTAGAGCCCACCCACTAAACGACTCCTCTGCACTCTTACACCCGACGTCCGATCCCCTCCGAGGTCAGAACCCGGATGAGGTAGGGGGGCTACCGCGGTCAACACTACAACCAGACGGCGCGGCTCACCCCAAGGACGCCCAGCCGACGGAGCCTTCGAGGCGAATCGAAGGCTCTGAAACGTCGGCCGTCTCGGTACAGCAGCCCGTCGGGCCGCCCAGACGGTGCCGCTGGTGTCCCGGAATACCCCGCTGGACCAGAACCAGCCTGCCGGGTCGGGACGCGATACACCGTCGACCGGTCGCTCTATTCACTCCACGGCAGCGCGCTAGAGTGCTGGTAGCGCGCCGCGCGGCCTCACCCCCTCAGGTCGCCCCTTGACCTTCACCGGGGGGAGGCCGCCACCTACAGGGGCCGGGACGTACGGGCGTATTCCCGCCTCCGGCCCCCGGCTCGACGGCGACGGATCGGTGCGGAAAGGGAAGAGCTCTCCCTCTCTCGCTCCGCCGCCTCCTTCTGCGAGATGGTGGACTCGCAGAAGTCGAGCATCGCCTTCCAGGACGCGTCGCTGCCGAGCATCGTAGCCACGACGCGCGGCAGCGAGAGGTCCTCTCCTATGACCGCGACGAGGGCGGCGCGTTGCTCGTCGAATCCAGAGCAACGCGCCAATGTGTGTTCCGCTGTGTCTTCCTCGTCGCGGTCCGCGCAGTGGTGGCACTGCGCCGTCGGTTCCCTTCCGGCTATCTTGTGCAAGTACCGGCCGAAACAACCATGGCCGGTAAGCATCTGCGTTAGCCGGAAGGTGAGGCATCCGCGGTCGCGGCCCACCCAGTCCGCGAGAACCGGGCGGACCGCCTCGACGGTTCGGAGGCCGGCCGACGGGTCCGCCAAGCGGCGAGACCACGCCTCCAGCACGGGCCGCCGAGCTTGTTCACCCACCTAAGCAGTGAATTTTTTTTTTAAAAGTTGTGTGATAGAAACCTTCATTCTACTGCCATGCGTTTCGCCCGCGTGATTTTAAGTGTGGTCCGCCCAAAATCGTTGATATACGCATCCGTCTAAACCTCCAGGTCCAGTGGCAGACGCGGAAACTGGCTTCAAACAAGTCAACGACCACACAGACGCCGACTTTGCTTTCATCCACGATTCAGCGGAGATAAAGTAAGAAAATCATTCTCTATCCCTTAATTAACTAATGATATCAACGCTTGAAAGGCAAACGTGACTAAGCGACAATAACCGCTTTGTACATAAATGATAGGCAATAACCATATTCGATGCGCAAAAAATATATATTTCTAGGTCTATTAAAATCACTTCAATCCTACAGCTAGATTCGTTAAAATAGAATTTTTCCAGGTATTTCTCAGGTATATTTAAAATTAATTTCAACTTTAAATTAGTCTACTGTAAAGTTCACGCATTGTCGCTTAGTCACGTTTGCCTTTCAAGCGTCGAATAATAAAATTACTTTCTCTTAATTAAACGGTGGTCAGAAAGAAATCGCTTTTAACGATAAGACCGCCTATTCTACTGTTCGTAATGACGTGCTTAGGATGACGTCGACTGTTTACCATTCGGTCCACAGGATCGGGTATGGGGCAAGTAGGTACCAATTTTTTTATGAAATACGTATTAGCGAATGTTCACTATTAACTTCCACGGTGAAACACGGACGATAGTTTTACGTGATAACGTCAGTAGCGGAACTGCTAGCTCTGACGTCACGCGAGAAGAGAGATATGTGTGTCACAAGCCAACGCTTGGGCCGATCGTGGCTCTCTATCGCTTGTTCCGCGCTCTCGCTTGCACGCTCAGGCGGAACGTGACACTTTTTCGTGCGTGCAGGCGGTGTGTGTGTTTTTTTTATTGCTTAGCTGGGTGGACGAGCTCACAGCCCACCTGGTGTGAAGTGGTTACTGGAACCCATAGACATATACGACGTAAATGCGCCACCCACCTTGAGATAGTTCTAGGGTCTCAAATATAATTACAACGGCTGAGCTACCCTTCAGCCCGAAACGCATGACTGCTTCACGGTAGAAATAGACAGGGCGGTGGTACCCGTGCGGACTCAGAAGAGGTCCTACCACCGGTAATCTCACCAGTGTTCTGTTTTGAAAAAGATACGAGGTGACCAGGAACTGTAATCTGACCGAAGTCGGGGAGTTGTTCGCCGAGCAGCCTTACGCCATAGCCGTCCAGCAGGGCTCCAGGCTACAGGAGGACATCTCCAGAGCCCTGCTGGAGTTACAAAAGGAACGATTTCTGGAACAGCTGGCTTCCAAGTAAGTGTCGTCCCGCGGAATCGACGCTCAGAGATGTTCATGTAAGTTGCGTGTGCGGGAATGTCATCGGGTAAATGATTACCCGTCCTTGTCACTCGCCTGCGATCCACCCCTCTCTCTGTCTCTGTCATAGACTGAAGGTCGCCGAGGAAACGATAACCCGTCCTTTTCACTCGCCTGCGACCCGCCCCTCTCTCTGTCTCTGTCATAGATTGAACGGCACCGAGGAAATGACTACCTGTCTTTTTCGCTCAACCGTGATCGCCATATCCCTGTGTCTGTCCTAGCGTTTTGGCGGGACCGCGAGAAGTGTTTCAGTGTTCGAAAACATTCATTATTGGTGCTCCGCTTGTATTGGTGTNACGATAACCCGTCCTTTTCACTCGCCTGCGACCCGCCCCTCTCTCTGTCTCTGTCATAGATTGAACGGCACCGAGGAAATGACTACCTGTCTTTTTCGCTCAACCGTGATCGCCATATCCCTGTGTCTGTCCTAGCGTTTTGGCGGGACCGCGAGAAGTGTTTCAGTGTTCGAAAACATTCATTATTGGTGCTCCGCTTGTATTGGTCTTAGCGTGATGTTATATAGCCTATAGCCTTCCTCGATAAATGGGCTATCTGACACTGAAAGAATTTTTCAAATCGGACCAGTAGTTCCTGAGATTAGCACGTTCAAGCAAACAAACTCTTCAGCTTTATAATATTGGTATAGATATTCGCCGAAGTAATCTCCCTACCTCTCCTGCTTCCCTCTCCCCTTCTTTAACGCTTAAGCGAGAGGCAAAAGCGGCTTAGATTAATATATATATATAATAGATTAATATATTTAATTTAGCACTATTGGTTTCCAGATATTGGAACGAAACGCTAAGACAGTCCTGCTCTGATGCCGATGAATCTGAAGGCATCACCCTGGAGAGCTTAGGTGAGCTTTTTACGACAAGGTACACCCGAGTACAATCTGTGAAGGGATCGGACGTGCGGAGTCTTCGAGAGGACTGAGTGGGTCTTGGAGTTAAACATGGCCCGGCTTGATCCCCCCATGTGTCGGATATCCGTAAATTAGATTACCTAAAAAAGGGAGCTCTTACGAAACCTCTGAACCAACATAAAATGATCGTCGGACGTCCAAGAGTCATGATATAATAAATTAAATTAAAGTAAATTTAGTTAAGCTACAAGTTCAGAGAGATATAATTCTGTAACAATAATATAATAAATAATTACATGAAATAGCAAACCGAAGTAACAATTAATGTGATCCTTTGTTCGTCATGCCAATGCCGATCAGGGATATTAAAGCGAAGATACAAAGCTATAGTATGGTCATCGGTCCTTGACGCGCGTGCGAATTGTCAAGTTGATTGGACGACTTGGAGTCGGTGGAAATGGCGATCAAAGATTCCGTTACACGTGTATATACCGAGCTGATGATAGCGTGTTAAAAAACACCAAATTACAGTACTGCTCTCGGTGCTGTCGAAGTACCCACTGCCTCTCGGCGATGCCGAAGTTCCCACTGCCTGAATCTTCGCAATCTGTGTGCTTAGGGCTTGCGCACAAAACTGCGATGCGATGTCGCATCGCAAGAACTTGCGAATTGATTCGCATCGCGCATTCCTGCGATGTTAAAGGAAGTTGGAATTGAACGCCAGTTGTGGAAAGGAAACGCCTTGCCGCATGAAATCGCATTGCAGCAATTCGTGTCGCAGTTATGTGTGTTGCGAATTCGCATCGCGCTGATTCGCAGGTTTGTGTACAAACCCGTGCGAGTTATTTAACTTTCTCGATAGCGTAAAAGTGAACTCAAATTTGTATGCAGTTGGAACGTTTGCCTACGTTTGCCGCTAGGGGCGCTGTTCCGACTGCATACAAATTTGAGCTAACTTTTACGCTATCTAGATCGTTAAAAAACTCACACTAAGCATACGGGTCTCTATCGTGAAGAAATCACTCGTACTAGTTTCAAAGATACGAGCTGTCGTCATCCTGACATGGGGCTCAGTAAAGTAGCCACCTACTGCGCACTAAGTTTCTCGCCGGATGCTCTCAGTGGGTCGCGATTCCAATCCGGTGGTAGATTCTGCGAAGCACTGCTCTCACTAGGGCTAGTGTTAGCAAGTTTCCCAGGTCGAGCTCGTGAGCTCACCTACTTGTACCCGAGAAGCATGAATAACCCCATGATCTGTAAGCGGAGTAAAATGTCTCTTCGGAACAAGGTGACACTTTACAAAACTTGCATAAGGCCCGTCATGACTTACGCGAGTGTGGTGTTCGCTCACGCGGCCCGCACACAGATAGGCACCCTCCAATCCCTACAATCCCGCTTTTGCAGGTTAGCCGTCGGGGATCCGTGATTCATGAGGAACGTTGACCTACACGACGACCTGGGCCTCGAATCAATTCGGAAATACATGTAGTCAGCGTCGGATAGGTACTTCGATAAGCCTATGCGTCATGATAATCGCCTTATCGTTGCCGCCGCTGACTACTCCCCGAATCCTGATCATGCAGGAGCCAGTCGCCGTCGACGTCCTAGACACGTCCTTACGGATCCATCAGATCCAATAACCTTTGCATTAGACGCCTTCAGCTCTAATACTAGGAGCAGGCTTAGGGACCCCGGTAACCGTACTCATCGAACTCGAAAAAGAGGTCGACGTGCAACCTAACCCATGCATCAGCCCGCTGAGTTTCTCGTCGGATCTTCTCAGCGGGTCGCGATTCCGATCCGGTGGTAGATTCATTCGCGAAGCAATTGCTCTTGAGTTGTTAGGTCTCCTTCAGAGGCGCTCGGGCAGTTGTTAGCAAATCCCACCCCTCCTGGCTGAGCCTTTGCTCGCCCACCTGTCCTGGTGAAACTGGAAAGGCCTTCGGGCCACCAGTAATCTTTCAATCATAAAAAAAAGCACGAATAGCCCGTGAAGCTACCAGCAAATAGGCAGGGAAAAAACCGGCCTATCAACAGTGACGCACCACACGGTTTGAAGTCGCCGTGTCCTAAAGAATAAGATGTACGGTGCATATGTGTTGAGCGATGCACCGGTGTTCGAATCTCAGGCGGGTACCAATTTTTCTAATGAAATACGTACTCAACAAATGTTCACGATTTACTTCCACGGTGAAATAATAACACCGTGTAATAAAAATAGAACCTTTAATTTGCGTATTTACTGGTGGTAGGACCTTTTGTTAGTCCGCGCGGGTAGGTACCACAACCATGCCTATTTCTGCCGTGAAGCAGTAATGCGTTTCGGTTCGAAGGCTGGGGCAGCCGTTGTAATTATACGTGAGACCTTAGAACTTATATCTCAAGGTGGGTGGCGTATTTACGTGTAGATGTTTATGGGCTCCAGTAACCACTTAACACCAGGTGGGCTGTGAGCTCCTCCACCCATCTATGCAATAAACAAAAACACGGTTTTTCCAGGTGGTGTCTTCATAGCAACGCTGTTTGGCTTGGGTCTAGCGATGATAACTTTGGCCTGGGAGGTGTTTTATTACAAGCGCAAAGAGAAAAATAAGGTGCAGTCGAAAAAAGAGAACGTTGAGAGGCCGCCAATCAAGAGCGCTAAGCTCGGAGGGAAAATGGCCGTCGGCGTTGCCAGACTACGGAAGAGAGCTACCAAAATAGGGAAAAAGAAAAACGTCACTATAGGCGATAGTTTTAAGCCGTCCGTTTCATATATAAGCGTTTATCCCAAAGGCGATTATCGTCCTTGAACTAAATTTAATAAATACTGTTAAGCGCTGGGGTTCGGGATAAATAAAATTTCACCAACGTACAACTTAAAACTGTATTCAACACTTAGAAAACTTAAACACTTTAAAACTCTCAATTCGCTTGTTTCGCTTCGCATCAAGTGATCCTTTCGCTGTTTCGCATCGAGTAGTTCCGATTACTGACTGACTGCGTGCCATCTCTGCAACGCTTTTATAGTCGATACCACATCCCTAGAATTATCGAGAATATTCCACACATCTCTAGTAGTAGTTTCCGCTATCTGACAATAGATGGAGATGTACTTCTCGAGCGTTCTAGGTGCTACTAGATGCTTCGATATTAGTTCGACTATTCGGCGATAGATGGCGTTACTCTTAATGGCGTAACAGTACAATGGTAGATCGAATTATCTTTTCTGAAGCTATTCACTGTTTTTAGTAGTACTTGCTTTAGTAGAACCAGTTTAGGTAAGCCCTTGTTTCTTCATTGCTTACACGGGGGACGAGTTCACGACTGAACAGGTGTCATGTGGTTATCGGAGCCGATAAACATTAATGTGAGAAACGGAACGTTGACACTGAAAGGGATGGATGTATGAGTTAGAATGGGACGGAGGATAAAAGGCAAGATGGCGATCGGGCATTATAAAGTGAACAACGAAAACGTGTGCTGAAAGAATATATTTAGTTGCTTTTCCAAAAACTGGGTTTGTTTGACTTTGAGCTTCTCCCACATTAACAATGTAAATGCTGCTACTCACTTTGAGATTATAAATCCGCCCCATCCTTGGACGCATTACTGCTTCGCGGCAGAAATAGGCGGAGTGGTGGTACCTAGTCGCGCTGGCTTTTAATACCTAGAGTAATGTCAATTTTTTTTTAGGACATTTTGAATTGAGACTTAGAAATCGTATCTCAAGATGAGTTGTTGATGTCTGTGCGAGAAAATAATGAAAATATGCAAAATTATGTACAGTTTCTTGGTTTTTAATATTATCCAATTTTTTTTGTTCGACATTACACCGCATAATGTGTTATAATAGAGAATCCAATTTATGTATACACTGTAAATTTTTTTCAATAAAACACGTTTTGAATGTTAATATTGTGAGTGCTTTTATTTGGGAAATTATATTTTGTTTCAGCGCACGCGTAGGTATATTTCGGCGGAGCACTGCTAAATATTTAGTTAACTACCTACGATGGGTTAAAGATAATCGTTTCCTTGATTTTAAAATTGTTGGTAACTATTTCATGTCCAATGCGTGTAAACAATTGCTTAAGACGGTATTCAGGAGAATTCATAAGCAAGCCATTGATACCATCATATCGTCCATACTACCTGGAGCCCCTGCGTTCATGCACAGTGCGTTTCCAGAGATCATTTTGCCACGTACCATCCGGCTTTGGAATGAGCTCCCCTCAACGGTGTTTCCCGGGCGCTATGACATGTCCTTCTTCCAACGAGGTTTGTGGAGAGTATTTAATAGGAGGCAGCGGTTTGGCTCTGCCCCTGGAATTGCTGAGGTCCATGGTCGTCGGTAACCACTCACCGTGGGCCATATGCTCGTCTGCCTACACGGGCAATAAACAAAACTATCCTCACTTTTCTACCATAAATACGAGTGGCACAACACTAACCCTCAAACACGGCCCACTGAGTTTCTCACCGGATCTTCTCAGCGGGTCGCGATTCCGATCCGGTGGTAGATTCAGCGAAGCACTGTTCATGTTAGTGCTAGTGTTAGCTAATTCGCCAGGCTAGAGCCCCGTGACCTCACCTACTCGTCCGGTGAATCTAGTATGACTCCTCGAGGTCATTAGAATATTGTTACGCCGGTAAGAGTAAGCGTTACTATCTATCGCCGAATAGTCGAACGAATATCGAAGAATCTAGTAGCACTTAGAACGCTTGAGAAGTACAACACCATCTATTGTCAGATAGCGGAAACACAACACTAGAGATGTGTGGAATATTCTCGGAAATACTCGAAGCGAAACAGCGAACGGATCACCTGAAGCGAAGCGGAAGAAGCGAATTGCGAAATTTATAGTGTTTGTGAAGTGTTTTAAGCGTTCTAAGTGCTAATACAGTGTTAGCTTGTAATTCGGTAGAATTTTATTTATCCCGAACCCCAGCGCGTAGCACTATAATAACCGATGTACTTTATTTGCAAAAAAAAAGGTGGCAACCCTAGACGTGATGGTCAGCAGTCAATGTCAATATTTTCAATGCCTTCCAAAAAGACATAGGTACCTGCCTATTACTTAGAATAAACGAACCAGATCTTATATAATATTATACCATAGATTATATTATTATACTTAATAATTGCGAGACAAAAAACGAACAGACTGTTGAGTTTTAGTGTATCAATAACCTCACTTCGTAATTTATTACTGTATTCAATATTATGTTAACTTGCATCAATGATTTATGGTTGTCGAGTAAATTCTTATATATGACATTAAGTTGGTAATATGTATAAAATTATTTTTCTTGTTGGTGAAGTCTGTGATGTTTTAAGCATTTTTTTATTGCTGAGGTGGGTGGATAAGTTCACGGTCCACCTGGCTACCGGAGTCCATGGACATTAACAACGTAAATGGCGCCACCCGTGCGGATTCACAAGACTCATAAGAAATTAATTAGATTAATTAAAATCCCTACTACATTGGAGTAAATTGTTTAATTAATATTTGTGTAAAATAAATACAGGCTTGTAAAATGGACATTCGCGTTTATTCTGATTTTAATTAAATTACAATTTGCCATGCACGGAGTTAAAAGGCAGGAACGGAAGATTTGGCTCATGGCAACCCTTGCCTTGAGCAATAAAATTAGCTAACTTAGCACTTAGGTGCTACCATTACAAACTTACAATAAAACTCTAATGTTTATATTTTGATTGAACATAATGGTTTGGGCCAGGGTCAGAAAAAACAATATGAAGAAATGAAATAATAAGTACATGAGCACTGTATGGTAGTGCTAACTCTATTTTAAACTATACTTTTATATAAAAATGAATTGCTGTTCGTTAGTCTATGGTTAGTCTCGCTAAAACTCGAGAACGGCTGGACCGATTTGGCTAATTTTGGTCTTGAATTATTTGTGGAAGTCCAGAGAAGGTTTAAAAGGTAATTAAATGAGAAAATGCTCGGAATTAAATAAAAATAATAATTTTGTTTTACCTTTGACGTGTCCCCCGTCGGACGGATTCCTTTTGTTTGTTTTAAGTTTATTTTATACAAAACTTTAGGTCTTTTATTTAGCAATTGAGGCACTAAGAAGTCTGCCGGGTCAGCTAGTATTTTTATAAAAACATAGATATATATTTAAAGAAATTATTCTTATTATTATTATTTTATTTTTTTATTGCTTAGATGGATGGACGAGCTCACAGCCCACCTGGTGTTAAGTGGTTACTGGAGCCCATAGACATCTACAACGTAAATGCGCCACCCACCTCGAGATATAAGTTCTAAGGTCTCAGTATAGTTACAATGGCTACCCCACCCTTCGAACCGAAACGCATTACTGCTTCACGGCGGAAATAGGCGGGGTGGTGGTACCTACCCGTGCGGACTCCCAAGAGGTCCTACCACCAGTGATTACGCAAATTATAATTTTGCGGGTTTGGTTTTTATTACACGATGTTATTCCTTCACCGTGGAAGTCAATCGTGAACATTTGTTGAGTACGTATTTCATTAGAAAAATTGGTACCCGCCTGCGGGATTCGAACATCGGTGCACCGCTACATACGAATGCACCGGGAGTCTTATCCTTTAGGCCACGACGACTAAAATGGAGTTAAGAAGCTGTAATTAAAAAAGGATTATTAAAAAAAGGTAAGTCCAGTAGAGCAAAAGAATGAATTTCTTAATAAATGCAACCTAGATTAAGACGGAAATAAATTAAGCACTTAATTACAATAATGGAGTTATAATAAAAAGTACATAATGGAATTGTTCTCAAGGTAGAACAGAAATTTGAATCTCTTAAAATAAGAGGGAAATTAAATTTACCTAAACAGACATTTATGACGTCAACAAAGAAACACAATTAAGTTTTTTTCTATACAGAATGGATCATAGTTTATTTTTTTATTTTTTTATTGCTTATATGGGTGGACGAGCTCACAGCCCACCTGGTGTTAAGTGGTTACTGGAGCCCATAGACATCTACAACGTAAATGCGCCACCCACCTTGAGACATGAGTTCTAAGGTTACAGTTGCAACGGCTGCTCTGCCCTTTAAACTGAAACGCATTACTGCTTCACGGCAGAAATAGGCCGGGTGGTGGCATCTACCCGCGCGGACTCACAATAGGTCCTACCACCAGTAAACGTAATTAACAGGTGGGAGACTTAATTTTCTTTAAGACCTTGTATAAGTTTTATTGCTTATTCTGACATCGACCACTCGCACTCTACCTTCAGAGCCAGGGATTTTTTTTACAATTCGGACCATAGGTCAGCTCAATGGAGCAGTACTAAACGGTCGAAGTTGACGGCGTGCCGCTGGTCACGTACACCCTCGTTCCTTTTCTTTTCCAATTCTTGTCAAGTCTCTGTCTTAGTCTGTGTCTATGTCTAGTCGTTGTAGGACTTATGTCCTGTCAAAGAGGTTGCACGCCACAAGTACTGTCTGATCTTACTATGACCAGATCCCCCACCTGTAAATCTAAATAAGCATTAGTTCACTCGGGTCTGTTCTGCGGAATTGACACCGAAAGACGGTAGGAGGCATTTTTTTGGGGGCGAATCTTGTACAAGGTCTTCGGGTCTAGGGGGCGCGTGAAGTATGTGGAAATCGGACGTAGGGCTCACCCAATAGAGGCCTTGATGGAGCTTTCGATGCGTGAAGGGGGGGGGGGGCGAATCATGTACAAGGTCTTCGCGTCTAGGGGGCGCGTGAAGTATGTGGAAATCGGACGTAGGGCTCACCCCAATGAGGCCCTTCGATGCGTAAAAAGAGAAAACCCCATTTTTAATGCGTACGAGAGTGAAAAAACTGTTACCGATCCTCATAGGTGAGGCGAACACGGCATCTACCACAATAGTTCGAAGTCCCAGTCGCATTGGAGATCGGCTGTCATTTAAATTGCTTTAACGTCGCGGTCATAGCAGACGAGAATTTGGCTCCTACCTGTTGGGGATTATACTACATCCGCCGAAAAACAAGAAGATTTCCACCGATTTTTATTTTTCTCACATCACGATGGGAGCTACTCCTGCTGGTACATAAGCCTACTGAGTGTCTCGCGGGACCTTAGAATAGATCTTAGAATAGCCTCTTACGCTACCACCGAATAGTTAGAGAGAAACAAATAATAACGTTAGAAATATTTTATCGAAGAGAGAAGATCTGGCGATCTGGTTTTCCGGCGTGTGGATTTGAGAGCCAGTTCCATTCCTTCCCTTTCCTCTTCCTTGTCGGGGGTGAGCCTTGGTGATACTTGAAATATGCGGAGCAGAAGGTGCGTGCGAGCTCGTGGAACGTGACTGTTTGACGGGGGAGGGAGGAGAGGAATTAGGAGGGAGACCCAGTGAAAAGGTGTTCGCCGCCGCCCACTGGTCAGTAGGGGATCTGAACCCAGGTGTCACTACTAATCTCCGCCCCGGGAAGCTGTCCCGTCAACAGGTTTAAAATCCTGTCGTGCGGTCGTCGTGCCGGAGTCGGAGACCGGAGTGGATCCCGGTGATCGTACGCAGGGTGGACTGGGGGCCCTTCCAAAAGGGTTTCACAGGTGGATTCCCCATTCCACGTTTGATGTGGATTTCAGCAATGTCAGGGGCCTACATAGCAACCTTGATGCCGTACACCACCATCTTGAGGCGGCGCAGCCTGCCCTGCTTTTTTTAACGGTGTCGCAGATATCTGGATGATACCTCGTATCTTGAATATCCCAGCTACGTATTGGAGCACAACTTCCTGCATAAAGCCAGGGTGTGCGTATTCCTCCGGGTTGATGTCTGTTGTCGCCGTCTACGGGGTCTCGAACAACGGGACATGTCCCTCTTGTGGCTGTGCATAGATCACGGGGGTTATACCCGAATCTACGCCTGCCTGTACAGGTCCCACAGCAGTGACACAGGTTCAGCTCTGATTGAGCACGTGCAAGAGGGGACTAACCGCGTGCTTAAGCAGTGCCCATTTGCGGAGGTGGTAGTTTTTGGAGACTTTAACGCTTACTACCAAGAGCGGTTGGGGTCCAGAACCACTGACCTCCCGGGTCGGGTTGCCTACGATTTTGCCTTGGCCTACGGCTTCTTCCAGCTAGTGACACAGCCCACCATACCCATAGGGGCGGGTCTGCTTTTCCTCTGGTGATCCCGACGTTTGTGCGGACCGTCTTAAAGACGAGGTGTTCCCGGGGATGGAGTAGCCAGTAATAATGCCAGTAGGGATCCTGTACACCTCAAGTGGTCCGCATACGCGGCCTGGAGTGATGCCAGGAGACGTCGAGATCTGATCGTCTCAGAGGAAATGCGGAAATATAACGCCGCCTCCAGGTCCTACAAAAGGGCTATTGCCAAGACGACGTTGGAAGAAATTTCTCGAATTGGCGAGAATGGACTAGAGCGACTTAAGAGCTATCCCTCCTTTCTTCTTTCTTTCTTTTTGGTCGCTCGCCAAAGCTGCAGAAAGCCGGTCTAGTTTCGCACCACTGCGCAAGTCCGATGACAGTCTGGCCCATAGTGCCACAGAGAATCATTGTGGCCAGGGATGGCGTAAGGCGACTAAAGAATCCAACACAGAACGGACAAGACCTTGTCTGAGCTCTGTACTGACTTCTAGTGTTGGCGGAGCGAGTATTGTGATCAGTCACGTCGCGACATCACATTTAATATCTGGTGGAAAACAAGTGCAGCCGCGGGCGCCGCTAGTGCTTCCAACAATATTAATACAAACAAAAATGGAATTTAAATTTTAAATTTCCTTTATTGCATTCATTCAGCCAATAGCAAGCGATTCAATAACACGTAAAGTCCGAGTTTTATAATAAATTTAGAAGTGATTACAAAATTTTAAAACCACTTGTTTCGTGTTTTGCAATGGTGAGTTCGATGCGTGGATATAGTTTGAAGGGCATTAGCCTTATTGACACGTTTTTATTAGCTTGGTCGTTTGTGTGTAATGGAATCATTCAACAGCATTTCCATCAACTCCAAGACGTCAGATCAACTTGGCAATTCGCACGTGCGTCAAGGACCGATAACTGTACTATTACATTGGAAAAATCGGTCCTGATTTATTCGCATCGGGAACCTCTGTAGAGCAGTTCCCAAAAGCACATATTTGAGTGGTGTTCAAGGATATATCAATGATAGAACAAGAACCACCAACTTGCGCCAGTAGGTGCCAACATCAATAAGTTGTAATTAGGAGGGTGGAGCAGCCGTGATATATACATATATAATATACATTCACATTGTCTACTTAGGGTCTCCAATAAACACTTAATATCCGGTGGATTGTAAGCGATGTCACGATTCCAGGCGCCCTCGAATGAAGACCGCGATGACGTTTTCTCTGAAGAGGAGACACGATTGGAGAAGCTGATCGCCCCTCAAGCAGAGCCCAGGGAGTTCAAAGTGGTGTATAGGAATATAATAGTGCTTCTTTACTACCACATGGCCGGAATATACGGCCTATACCTTGGACTGACCGCAGCTAAATGGGCCACAGTAATTTCAGGTATCAGTTTTGGTCTTAAAAATTTTGATGTTGCGTTTAGTAATGCGTCGGTGGTCACACACCACCAGACAGAGGGATGTTGGGGGTAGGGTGCTCCTTTATTTGATAAAGCAGTAGAAATGGTCAACGCCACTAAAGATTTATTTTCCAAGTGATGCTAGCAAATCAATAGTTATTAGAGTCCAACGTATCTGAGTTACGTGCGCATTTCCTGATAACTGGATCGGTAGTGGCACTGTATGGACATGCGGCTAGATTCATAATCTTCCAGAAGCGATTAAAAGATCCAATAGACGCCTTCAGTATTTCTTGATGGCTTGGTGTATCGAAGAATGTGGCCGTTAACTGGCGACAGGGCGTCATGTGATCCTCCTGCCTATTTCTGCCGTGAAGCAGTAATGTGTTTCGCTTGGGATAACCGTTGCACTATAAAACTGAGGCTTAGATCTCAAGGGGAGTGGAGGCATTTACGTTGTCGATGTCCATGGACTCCGACAGCCCGTTAGCACGTAGACCGTGTGCTTGCTGATCAGAAACTTCTCATGTCCTTTTACAGCATTCATTACTTACTGCATTAGTGGTATTGGAGTGACGGCAGGAAGTCACCGACTCTGGTCCCACAAGTCGTATAAAGCAACAAAACCACTGCAGCTATTCCTGATGCTGTGTCAGTCGGTGGCCAACCAACATTCGGTGGCGTATTGGGTCATGGTCCATAGATTACACCATAAATACAGCGATACCGACGCTGATCCGCACAACGCGACCCGTGGGTTCTTTTACTCCCACATGGGATGGCTGATGGTGAGGAAGCACCCTGAAATAGAAAAAAGGGGGAAGCTGCTGGATTTGTCCGATATTTACGGAAATCCCTACCTCAAATTCCAGGACACGTAAGTGAAGTTATGAATTAATTAAGATTGGTATAATTACTTGTTTGCCCATCAAATAAATAATAAAAATAGTGTAAGCAAAAATGGTTTTATTGTTAAAAAAAGCGTGGCGTGCATGGGATCAGTAGTTATAAATAGTTTATGAACAGATATGAGTAGAATGATTATTTTGATAATATCCTGAAAAGCATCCCACGCTTTTTTACAATAAAATCATTTTTGTTCTTACACTATTTTTAATTCAAATTTATTAAAATTTATTTTCTACTTTTTAGTGGGATTTTCTATAAAAGCGTATTTTGTTAGTTTTTTTTTTAATTTTTTAAGAATTTTTTTATTCAATTTCTTTTTATATTGTATTGTCATCGGTCCTTATTAAGTATACCAAAGGACAATGCCCATTTTCTATGGGCGTTTGGGCCCCTAAAAAGTTATCGTGTGATGATGGTTTTAACTTGATTTGATAGACAAAGAAATATCGTTTCATATTCAGAAAACGATTTTGATATTCTTACCCAGGTTTAAGAGAAATCTGTTTTTTCTGCAGCTAAAATTAAGTTGTTAATTGTTTTCTTCGAAATCAATAATTGCTCTCATCATTATTTACAGTATTAAATAAGTTAATTGTGGTTAATGTTGCTAGAAATAAGCCCTTACGTACATTTTATTATTATTATATCCTCATAATAATAATAAAATGAAATNAAGCCTCATCCCAATTTGGAGTCACTCAAGACATCCTTGATTAAGGCAGCCGCCGATATTGACATGGACCTCGTTCGTGCTGCGATAGACGACTGGCCGCGCAGATTGAAGGTCTGTATTCAAAATCACGGAGGTCATTTTGAATAAACTTTAGTGTCATAAGAATCTATGTTTTGTTAAGTTCATTTTGGTATATAAAGGGTTACATAATAAATAAACTTGTTTCAACTATTTTACATTAAACATGTGACAGAATTTATGACCTGACTAGGTAGTTTGAAGGGCATTAGCCTTATTGACACGTTTTTATTAGCTTGGTCGTTTGTGTGTAATGGAATCATTCAACATCATTTCCATCAACTCCAAGACGTCAGATCAACTTGGCAATTCGCACGCGCGTCAAGGACCGACAACTGTACTATTACATTGGAAAAATTGGTACCCGCCTGCGGGATTCGAACACCGGTGCATCGCTATACACGAATGCACCGGACGTCTTTTCCTTTAGGCCTCGACGACTACAAATGCTCTCATAAGTCCTGATTTATTCGCATCGGGAATATCTGTAGGGCAGTTCCCAAAAGCACATATTTGAGTGGTGTTCAAGGATGCTCAATGATAGAACAGGAACCACCAACTTGCGCCAGTAGGTGCTAACATCAATAAGTTGTAATAAGTAGGGTGGGGCAGCCATGATATATACATATTATTATATAATATACATTCATAAGCATTCACATTGTCTACTTAGGGTCTCCAATAAACACTTACTATCCGGTGGATTGTAAGCGATGTCACGATTCCAGGCGCCCTCGAACGAAGACCGCGATGACGTTTTCTCTGAAGAGGAGACACGATTGGAGAAGCCGATCGCCCCTCAAGCAGAGCCCAGGGAGCTCAAATTGGTGTATAGGAATATAATAGTGCTTCTTTACTACCACATGGCCGGAATATACGGCCTATACCTTGGACTGACCGCAGCTAAATGGGCCACAGTAATTTCAGGTATCAGTTTTGGTCTTAAAAATTTTGATGTTGCGTTTAGTAATGCGTCGGTGGTCACACACCACCAGACTGAGCGATGTTGGGGGTAGGATGCTCCTTTACTTGATAAAGCAGTAGAAATGGTCAACGCCACTAAATATTTATTTTCCAAGTGATGCTAGCAAATCAATAGTTGTTAGAGTCCAACGTATCTGAGTTACGTGTGCATTTCCTGATAACTGGATCGGTAGTGGCTCTGTATGGACATGCGGCTAGATTCATAATCTTCCAGAAGCGATTAAAAGATCCAATAGACGCCTTCAGTATTTCTTGATGGCTTGGTCTATCGAAGAATGTGGCCGTTAACTGGCGACAGGGCGTCATGTGATCCTCCTGCCTATTTCTGCCGTGAAGCAGTAATGTGTTTCGCTTGGGATAACCGTTGCACTATAAAACTGAGGCTTAGATCTCAAGGGGAGTGGAGCCATTTACGTTGTCGATGTCCATGGACTCCGACAGCCCGTTAGCACGTAGACCGTGTGCTTGCTGATCAGAGACTTCTCATGTCCTTTTACAGCATTCATTACTTACTGCATTAGTGGTATTGGAGTGACAGCAGGAAGTCACCGACTCTGGTCCCACAAGTCGTATAAAGCAACAAAACCACTGCAGCTATTCCTGATGCTGTGTCAGTCGGTGTCCAACCAACATTCGGTGGCGTATTGGGTCATGGTCCATAGACTACACCATAAATATAGCGATACCGACGCTGATCCGCACAACGCGACCCGTGGGTTCTTTTACTCCCACATGGGATGGCTGATGGTGAGGAAGCACCCTGAAATAGAAAAAAGGGGGAAACTGCTGGATTTGTCCGATATTTATGGAAATCCCTACCTCAAATTCCAGGACACGTAAGTGAAGTTATGAATTAATTAAGATTGGTTCAATTACTTGTTTTCCCATCAAATAAATAATAAAAATAGTGTAAGCAAAAATGGTTTTATTGTAAAAAAAAGCGTGGCGTGCATGGTATCAGTAGTTATAAATATTTTATGAACAGATATGAGTAGAATGATTATTTTGATAATATCCTGAAAAGCATCCCACGCTTTTTTACAATAAAATCATTTTTTCTTACACTATTTTTAATTCAAATATATTAAAATTTATTTTCTACTTTTTAGTTGGATTTTCTATAAAAAGAGTATTTTGTTAGTTTTTTTAAACCATTCTTTATTTTTAAATTTTTAGTTGAATTTCAATATTTTAAATAATTTATTTTATTCAACTTTTGTTTTTAAACATTGAATCGTCATCTGTCCTTAATAAGTATACCAAATTTCGAGTTAATCCTACGTTTTGAAGGGGGTCAAAATCATGTTCAAAGATTCCATTACAAACATACATTGTATACGTCTGAAACTAATAAAAGCGTATTAATAAAAATATTACTCGTCATATTAAAATAAATGGATAGTATATTTTATTCACGAACAATTTCAGAGATGAAGGCGTGTCATGTGCCAAATAGCAAAGCTGGCTAATTATAATTTTACATGATACTTTAGAGGGTTTTCCGTGCTATTACTTTTATGTTGGCAATGTCAATATCTATGTCACCATCAACTATCCGGAGGACTCGTAAGTGATATGACACCACTGTAAAGCAAATTTTGTTTCAGGCATTACTATTGGTTCCTTCCGCTAATATCGTTCTTATTGCCAACGATCATTCCTATGTACTTCTGGGGGGAGAGCTGCAGCGTCGCGTGGAACGTCAACATGTGCAGATACGTCATGAACCTTAACGCCATTTTTCTGGTGAACAGCGTGGCCCATATATGGGGATACAAGCCTTACGACAAGAACATTGCCCCTTCACAGAACCTTTCGGTGTCTGTGTTGAGCCTGGGCGAGGGCTTTCACAACTACCACCATGTCTTCCCTTGGGACTATAAGTGCGATGAATTGAGCTCGTTCAGGACCAACCCTACCACTGTATTTATAGAGCTGTGCGCGAAATTGGGGCTGGCGTATGATCTGAGGAGCGCTTCGGATGACTTGATCGAGGGTAGAGCCAAGCGGACCGGCGATGGAAGTTATCTGACCCTAAAAAAAAGCAGATAGACAAGCGTTTTTAATCTCACACGATATATATATGTATATATATTTTATTGCTTAGATGTGTGGACGAGCTCACAGCTTACCTGATGTTAAGTGATTACTGGAGCCCATAGACATCTACAACGTAAATGCGCCACACACCTTGAGATATAAGTTCTAAGGTCTCAAGTATAGTTACAACACTTCAAACCCCACACTTCAAACCGAAACGCATTACTGCTTCATGGCAGAAATAAGCGGGGCGGTGGTACCTACCCGTACGGACTCACGATACACACACAAGGTAATTGCCCACTGAGTTTCTCGCCGGATCTTCTCAGTGGGTCGCGATTCCGATCCGGTAGTAGATTCTGCGAAGCAGTGCTCTTGCTAGGGCTAGTGTTAGCAAATTCTCTCAGGTTGAACCCGTGAGCTCATCTTATCATCCGGGTGTAGCTAAAAAGTCCCTTAGGCTAAAAACGAGTGGGTAGGGGAAAAAAAAGGATAATTCATAAAAATAAAATATTATCTTCAAACCTTTTGCAAATACAGTTACTTGGTTTGATTGATTGATTTATAAATGTGTTCGATTACCGATACTTACGGACTCCCGGTTACGTTATCCGGGTTATGTCAGACTCTGGCTTATCCAGAGAAGAAGAGGGGGAAGAGGAGGACCGAGATCCTCCACCTCCCCTCCCCCAGTTCCTCGCAGGAGACCACACCTTGAAAAAAGCGCTCGAGGTACGCATCCCGCAAAACCGTCTACCGCCTAAAATAATGTATGACAAAATTGTTCCCCTTTAAAAGTTCTAAAAAAAGTCCGCTACAGCATAATTATGTATATATTTTAAGGTAGGCTCACTATAAAGTTTTATAAGCTAATCAAATTTGTTCTAAAGTAAAGCATTATCTGTGAAGGTGTTTCTAGAAAGATGATATTCATCCTTATCCAAATAAATACGTTATTCTTTAAAAGTATTTAATTTTAATAAAAATTGCCCTTTACGTCATTTGATTTTATCTAATACTAGCTGACCCGGCAGACTTCGTAGTGCCTCAATCGAGAAATAAAAGACCTAAAATTTTGTATAAAATAAACTTAAAACAAACAAAAGGAATCCGTCGGACGCGGGGCACATCAAAGGAAAAACAAAATTGTTATTTTTATTGAATTCCGAGCATTTTCATATTTATCTACCTTTTAAGCCTTCTCTGGACTTCCACAAATAATTTAAGACCAAAATTAGCCAAATCGGTCCGGTCGTTCTCGGGTTTAGCGAGATTAACGAAAAGCAATTCATTTTTATATACATAGTCTGGCCATAAATACTGTTACAAAGGAAAACAAAAAAAATCTATGGCAGATAACATTTATTACTTTTACAGTGTGTTAGTTTAATACATAAATATAAAACAATTTAAAGTATAAAAAGCTTATTCGAAGTGGCTGCAATACAGTCCTTTAAACGTTGAGGCCAGTTATCAATAGAAGTACGCATTCTTTCCACGGGAAAATTTTTCACTGCCAATCGTACGGATTGTTTTAGGGACTCCAAATTATCATGGCGTTTAGAGCAAGCCGTACTCTCTAAAACTGACCATAAATCATAATCCAGCGGATTAAGTCGGGACTAGACGACGACCAGTCTTCAGCTCTGATGAAGTCCGAAACGTTCGTTTCCAACCAAGACTGCGTAGACCGAGCTTTATGACCTAGCGCCGAGTCTTACTGGAAGGACCATTCTTGATTATTGAACATAGTGTTGTTAAGGGGCTTCACTACCTTCTCAAGAATGGTATCTTGATACACTTGTGCTGATGTTTTGATACCTTTTTCACAAAAGTATGGCTCGCTCACTCCTTCATAGCTAATACCCCACCAAACCATCACTGAAGTCGGATAGTGCCCACGTTGCACTCTGTCGACTAATTGGGAAGCTTCTTTAGAGCTTTCAGCATAAATACGGTCATTTTGTTTGTTAAAATGTTGCTCAATTGTAAGAATTTTCTCATCCGTAAACAAAATTTTTCTATGACCTCCCTTTGCGTGCCGCTTCAGTAGTTGTCTCGATTTTACCACCTTATTCTTTTTTAAATTATCAGTTAAAAAATGACCAGTACATCTTTTATAGGCTGCAAGTCCTAAGTCATCTTTTAAAATACGCAACATGGTTCTAGGTGCTATCTTCATCTCCCGAGATAAAATCTTTTGCTTTCGGACAGGATTTCCTCGAATTCTTTCCCTTACTGCTTTGACCACCTTTTTCGTACGAACACTACGTGGACGACCAGATCTTTTTCTGTCACAAACAGAGGAGGTCTCATTGCACCTATTAATAGCCCGGTAGACAAACATTTTACTAATACCAAGCGTATGGAGAGTTTTAAAAATTGCATTTGGCTCCATACCTACTTTGTGTATTGCAATCACAGCGATTCGGTTCTCTTTATCACTCCACTCCATTTTAATATCGCAAAATATTGTACAATGTATTGGCGCCAAAATGAGAAAACTCAATGAGCAATCATATAAAAATTACAGATTCTAAATTCAAATGTAATATTTTGTTTATTTTTAATTGTAACAGTATTTATGGCCAGACTAAATATATATCGTCAGATTTGAGCTCCCGAGTTCACCTACTAGTTAAGGCTATCAGCATAGGTAGGGAAAAAAAGCACCTAAATGCAGAACATGTTTATTCCATTCAGTCGTATACAAATCCTAAAAACGGCCAAGAAATTACCAAAGTAAATTCTCTACCTGTTTTTGCTCATTTCTCAGTGTTGCCTTCGTTGTATGGTGTCTGCATTCGGGTTATCAAATAACTTTCGTCAGCAATAATCATTTACAGCAACGGATAGTAAATAATTCTTTCAACCACCAAGATGGCGATATCATTTGATTGTAATGTGATGGTTGAATTGGCATACGGCATTGATACATCGAGTTACCAGATGTTCTACGTTAACAAATATTAATTAAAGTAATTTAAGATATGTATTTTCCAATAGACACAGCCCACTGAGTTTCTGACCGGATCTTCTCAGTGGGTCGCGTTTCCGAGCCGGTGGTAGATTCGGTTTGAACCCCGAGAGCTCACCTACACGCTAGGGTAAAGCTGAAATAGCCTCTCAAGGCTATCAGCATAGGTAGGGAAAAAAGTATGTAAGTATTCATATAGTACTCAAAGTGATTTTTTTCCCTACCTCTTTTAATAGCCTTGAGGAGTTATTCTAGATTCACCGAATTAGTAGGTGAGCTCACGAGGCTCAAACCTGACGACGTTGCTAATACTAGCCCTAGCAAGAGCAACGCTTCGCAGAATCTACCACCGGATCGGAAACGTGAGCTACTGAGAAGATCCGGCGAGAAATTCAGGTGGTGACGCAATAAACTTTGAATTTATTTATTGCATAAGTTGGTGGACGAGCTCACAGCCCACCTGATGTTAAATGGTTACTAAAGCCTATAGACATCTACAACGTAAATGTGGCCACCCACATTGAGATATAAGTTCTAAGGTCTCTCAGTACAGTACAACGGCTGCCCCGGCCCTCAAACCGAAACACATTACTGGTTCACGGTAGAAATAGGCTACTCGTGTGGACTCACAAGAGGTCATTGTAAAACCTCCGATCCCATTCTAATTAAGCCCCAAGGCCCGATTAAGGGTTGGGGGCTTCCAAAAACACTTAAATCGTTTTCTTTTTAGCAATATTTTTTGTAGAAAAGACGCTAATACTAACTTACATGCTAGAGATTAAATATGAGGGATATAATATTGAAAACTTATGTCTAGACTACATTCTACGAACAGCTAAACTATTACGGGGACATTTAACCGTACTGGGAGAAAAGTGATAGCGCGATTCAGAAGAAATGTTCAGTGACATCTGTCGATGGCTTAGTTAAATTGATTTCACGATAGTATTAAATAAAATTTTTATAACAGCGCCATCTGTTGACTTTTAAATGGTATTTTAACGAGGTCTAGACGCCACGTTACAGCGCCATCTCGTAGTACTTGACCTGGTACCTAAGACCTTTAAGTCAGGTCTTATTTTAATTTATATTCTTATTTTTATGAAAAATCTAAAATGCAGTGAAATGAAATGAAATGAAGGTGATGAATTTGAGATTAAATGGGATGAAATTAAATGAAATGAGATATGATATGATATGGGATGAAATATAATCTCAGTATAATGGTGGTCATTTACTGAGATTTTTTTAGTGGACTTTTTGGAAGATACCGAGAAATTACGTCCAGCGGCTTTGTTTAATTTTCCCACATTTGTGCACTTTCACAGATATTAAACGGTTAATAAACCACCGTTACTACACATTTAAACCTGAAGGAACACTGTATAGACAAAATTAAAAAAAAATCATACATCTTCACTCCTCGCATTCCCGCCAAAAAGTCTTTTATCTTCACATGCAGATACACCAATAATACACGTAATCGTATACTAGTTATACATAAGCAACTCAAGCAGTCAGCAAAAATATTTACGGGCGTCCGCCACTAGATGGCTTCGCTTCGATTACTTTCTCATTGCTCCTGTAGATGGCAGTAACATATTACCTCTTATCCTATATTTGATTTTAATTTTTTTTTGTAAATATTCAGAAACCACTTAAATTTATAAAATTTAATCAATTTGTCTAGAACAAATAAAGGCTTGTAAGATTTATTATTTTATTTTCTGTGTTTAGTTACACAATAATTAAACGTCTTAACTTTACAAACATGTAAGTTTAGGGGCATCCGCTACAAGATGTCGCTACTTTCCATACATTTTTTTAAAATCTTAAAGTATCGCAGTTTCAGAGCCCTGGACACCATGGCCAGGAGGGAAAGATAGTACTGAAGCGTCCATTAAATTTGTAATATCGAAATAACACAGCTGGTGGCAAGTCTTAGTGGTCTTGCGAGCCGGTGCGGTAGCCTTTAATACTATCAAACCGATACTTAAGTATAATATCTCAAAGAGAGTATCGGCATTCACGTTGTTGTTGTCCACGGGCTTCGGTGACCACTTAACACTAGATCGGCCGTGCGTTCGTTTACTATTTATCTTCATTAAAATAGGCAGACATAGTTCAGTACCTACGTGTTTCTCCTTTTGATTCTAGCTGTACTGTTATGAAAATCATAAATGAATTTAAGTCTTGAGGTATGAATGATTATGGTCGATTTTCGGCTGGACCAACCTTAGTTGATGTACTCTATACTAGTTCAATGAATCAACGCTTCTCAAAATTCGCTCATTTTTATTAAGAAAAAATTTATAAATAATAATTTTTATACAAACACACACAAAAGAAAATATCCCGACAAATTGGTGTACTTATCGGAGACGAACACAGATGTCTCTTTCGATGACAGGTTAGATAGACAGAGACAAAATACTGCGATGGTCTTAGAAACATTATACAGTGTGCTTAATGCGAATTTTTTAACGTTCTCGATAGCGTAAAAGTGAACTCAAATTTGAAGTATGGAGTTGGAACGTTTACCTACGTTTGCCGCTAGGGGCGCTGTTCCAACTGCATACAATATTAACTATTACGCTATCGAGAACGAACGTTAAAAAACTCGCACTAAGCACAAAGGTAACCCACCTATAACGCGGTAGATACGTTCCTGCAAAGGCACGTGTTGTGCAAAACCTTGTTATATGGGATTAGAAGCCAATAAAAAATTGAGAGTAATTTTTCTGAACGAAACATCTCATCTTGTACGTATTTTTTTCCCTATTAAACATAAAAAATGGCAGTAAATTCCGGTTATTCCCATATATTGCCTGTTCATAGTGAATAATGTAATTTTCTACATAATTCAAAACATAAATCTCGTTATCGCGTTGTAGAAGTACCGTGTTATATAAGTGGATTTTGCGATTTTTTCTCTTCGTGTTATAGTGGAATCGTGTTGTAAAATACCGTGTTATATAGGAAGGTTACCGATACTATATGCACAAATTGCGGTATACCTTCATAACAGTGTAACTTCAATGCAGTTTTAAATGCCGGATACCGATTTAAAAGTTAAATGTTTTTTTTATTGCTTATATGGGTGGACGAGCCCATAGACATCTACAACGTAAATGCGCCACCCATCTTGGTATAGTTACAACGGCTGCCCCGCCTACAAACCGAAAGGCATTACTGCTTCACAGTAGAAATAGGCAGGGTGGTGGCACCTACCCGCGTGGACTCACAAGAGGTCCCACCACCAATAAATTGCACATCCTCCGACAAGTTCTCCTTCCGAATTCGGAGGTTTAACAACAATCAATCAAACATAACAACGCGTAACGATTCGAATGAAACAACAGTCAATATAAGTTTTTAATAAAATACAATTTTACATATTATCAACATTATTGAACAAAAGGCAAATAATAAAATTTTTCAAGAGTGGAAAGTTTGAGAGCCGTTGCAATCGACTTTGAATGATGAGACATTGAGGGGCGAAAGGTTATTTGGTTTAAGCGACATTTAGCTTAACACGCGACATTTATCTTTGTAATTGAATATGCAATTTCGAAAAGGGCACAAGTCGCATATTTTGTCAAATACGTTTTTTCTTAAACATGTAGTTTTGAGGCTTACCCTTACACCCATTTTATAATAATTCCAGTAATTTTCAATTGCTATTTAACACTAAAATATATCTCAAAAATTAATATTTTAAATTTTACACTGCTTTAGAAAATAACCAGTTTTTTTCATTTCCTGAACATTTTACATTTTCCGAGATGTGCCCTTTTCGAAATTGCATATTCAATTAAAGTTGCGTTTTATTTGGTACTAGCTGACCCGGCAGACTTCGTAGTGCCTCAATCGATAAATAAAAGACCTAAACTTTTGTATAAAATAAACTTAAAACAAACAAAAGGAATCCGCCCGACGCGACGGGGGACACATAAAAGGAAAAACAAAATTGTTATTTTTATTTAATTCCGAGCATTTTCATATTTATCTACCTTGTAAACCTTCTCTGGACTTCCACGAATAATTCAAGACCAAAGTTAGCAAAATCGGTCCTGCTGTGCTCGAGTTTTAGCGAGACTAACGAACAGCAATTCATTTTTATATATAGAGATATAAGAATAAGATAGATTAGATAAGATAGATTAGCATCAACAATTCGATGTTTTTATTTGAACTTCAATTAAGTTTACCCCATTCGAATAGCCGAAGAAGTTTTTTGTCATGGTATTTTTCTCAAATTTTATCCTGTAAAGTTGAAAAATGTCGCTTTAACCAAATAAGCATTCGCTTTTCGACATAATCATGTGTCTACTCAAAACTATAGAACAAAAATATCAGACCAAGTTACCTGGACATGGAATCCGTGCAAAATACACATTTTAGTTCGTACTGGTTTAAACAACTTGATATAACTCAATTTATTCAGTCTTAGTTCGATCGCAAATTGTAAGAAATGAAAACATTTTTATAATATTATCAAAACAAACTAAAGATATTGACGCCGGCAAATCTCACAATATGCGACCGAACTTGTTATTTTAAAAATTATTTTGTCAAAATGTACATACACATAACCTTAAAATTCACTTTTGGCACTCTCTAGAAAATCGAAGTCAAAACAACATCTTACTTAATACGTACAATCTAAATATCACTATTACACTTATTATTTGTTCGTAAAAAATCTTAATTACTTTTAATATTATTATTAATAAAATATACGCGCTTGACTAGACTGTATATAAACTATAGTATTATTAATAAACAGACAGTTGACAATGTAATGGAGTTGCATTAGTACAATTTGCCAAACAAAATTATTTCAGGCGCCATTTTGTACAAAATTTTGAACGCCGATTTTTTTTTTTTTTTGCCTACAATGTTTACGAACATAGCGATTAATACAAATAATTGTTTAATACGAAATTTTAAGAAAAATAAAGTTTACCGACTTTTATAAAATAGAACGGGAGCACCATCAATGTAGCCGAAGTTAATTAAAATATAATATGTATTATTAATGATAGCTCAGAAACTACTTCAAACTTAAATAATAAAGCAAGGAATAAATTCGTAATTGTATTTTTTTTTAATTAAACTCATTTCGTGATAAACCTTGATTCTTGTTATTTGGAAGCCATTGCTTTTAGTGTGGTCCCTTTATGTTAATTTTGTAAAGATCCGACCAGTTGTTTCTAAGTTATCCTTAATAATGCATTATTAATTATCTATTTAATTAGCTGTGACTGTGGTGATGACACTGTCATATCGTTTAACAAAGTGTATTTCAATAGCAAAGGGTAAATCAACATAATTACTTCAGTGCGCCGCGTAGGGCACCGGTGACCTACACGACAGTCAAAGGCTTAAGTCGGCCATTTTTATTTTCAAATAATGCAGAATAAACAATTTTACGAAATGGCAGTTTTTTTTTTGATATCAGTATTTTCAGTGCGATGAATGAAACGGCAGTATAACTTTTAAAAAACCAACTAGAATATACATATATGGACAGAGCTTTTATTATTAACATGATCATTAGTGTACTAATGCCAATACGATGTCAGAGGTGAACAAAGGTCAATGTGTAAGGTCAGAGAGTAAAGTGCAATATGAACTAGCATGGAATGTAAAGAGTACAATTCTGGAATCCGAAAAGGGGAAAATGTATCTTATGGCAGGCCCGATACAGCATTTATTTGCAAAGCATCCATTTAGGATTGATCAGCAACCTATGATCGAAGATATTTCGATGTTTTCTTAACTAGCCGAGCGTGTTGTAAGTCCGCACGGGTAGGAACGACTATTCTGCCTATTTCTGCCAAGCAGTAACCCTTACCAGTTTGAAGGGTGGGGTAACTATAGAACTGAACCTTAAAAATCTTGTTTCATGCTGGCTGGCGGAATTTACGTTGTTCTTGTTCATGGGCTCCGGTAGCAACACCAAGCGGGTGATCGATAGCAGAAAGAGAAGATGGACCTTCGAGCATGGTGTTCTAAGATCGCATAATCCACCCGCGGAACCATAAGGGGATGAGGAAGCCGTTACGCAATATCCATTCCCGATCCTGCGGACCGAATCGTAAACAGTAAACAGTCGACGTCACCATAAGCACGTCATTTCGGATCCTCCCGATCCATTAACGGTGCTTTTAGGTACCTCAAGCACCGGTCAACGTTGTCATCGAACCCGTCGCTTGCGACGAAGGGCTCGACGAGTAAACCCTACCCCTACAGACACAGCCCACTGAGTATCTCGCCGGATCTTCTCAGTGGATCGCGTTTCCGATCCGGCGGTAGATTCTGCGAAGCACGGCTCTTTCTAGGTACTTCCATATTTTCTTACTTCCATATTTTCTGTACTATTTTTAATGAAAAATAATACGAAGAGAAATGAAATCAAGTTGATTAATATGAAACATTGCATGAAATTAAGTGTAACAAGATGATAAGAGACGAAATATAATCTCAGTAAAATGGTGGTTATCTATCGAGACTTTTTCATTGGACTTTTTGGAACGTCGTCGTCTTGACGTCTTTGTTTCATTTTCCCACATTTGTACAATTTCCCAGATACTAAACAGTTAATAAACCACTCTTACTTTTATACATATTGAAACCTGTAGAAACACTAAATAGACAAAATAAAATAATACACACAACGTCGCTTTTCACGTTCCTGCCAAAAACTTTCAAGAAGGCTTCGAGGCCCCTTTTTTAAATGACAGCTGTCAAATTTGACGTCTGTCATTTTTGGTTGATTTTTCTTTTCGCTACCGGACCTCGTGCTCCTGGATCTAACGCTAAATAGAGGACTAGTCGAATTATTTAGACAGAGATGGCTATATAACAATTTGAACGTGCTTTTTCGTTTCTCTCGGCTCTTTGAGTACGTAGGACATTGTCCTTCTCAAGCTGCCCGTCGGATCTGAAAGGGACAGCGATAATATTTATGTTCCGAAACATGATACTTGGTTTTTGGAATTATTGAAAATGAAATTCTATGAATTAACTGACTCGAAGGTGCAGTAGTTAGAGCCACTGACTGTCACGCCGAGGGTCGTGGGTTCGATTCCCGCGCCACCACTTAACCACTTAACACCAGGTGGGATGTGAGCTCGTCCAGCAATCTAAGCAATAAAAAATGACAAATGTGATGACATCAGAGGGTACTCACGGCGCGCGGGGGTACAGCGCGGGGGCGGGCGGCGCGCGGGTGTGGCGGGGGCGGAGGAGGCTCCCCGCCGCGACTTGTGCTACGACCACCGAAGCTCCTTCAACTCGACCGAGCTACTGCCTCCGTCTTGGATCTAAACAGGACAACTCGTTGTGAACAGTGGTGGATTTACACTACGCATTATTTTAAGATCGTCAGCAAATAGGTAACAGGTAGAATATGTAAAAAGATTTGTAATTTCGTTGATAAAGATTTAAAAAAAAAAACAAATATTTATTTATGTTTTTGGAATATTTATAACATAATATGATAAACTTTCTGCAATAAATTAGTAATTTTAATTTTGAAAAATAAAATATATAAACTATGAGTTTAGGTAAAATTCCAGTATCGGGGCGGTCTTTTTTCCGGTGCCCAGGAGCGGCATTAAGTCTAAATCCGACCCTGATTGTGAACCACTAAGCTTCAACATATCGACGCTTGAAAGGCAAACGTGACTAAGCGACAATGCGTGAACTTTACAGTAGACTAATTTAAAGTTGAAATACCTGAAAAAAAATCTATTTTGACGAATCTAGCTGTAGGATTGAAATGATTTTAATAGACCTAGAAATATCTATTTTTTTGCGCATCGAATATGGTTATTGCCTATCATTTATGTACAAAGCAGTTATTGTCGCTTAGTCACGTTTGCCTTTCAAATGCTATATTGGCACCACCACCCTGCCTACTGCTACCGCCGGAGCCGCTTCACACAGGGTGAGCCGCAAGCCAACGGGTTAGGTCATGCCGTTTCAAACAAATATTAATAAACTGCAGCTCTGATCTTTATCGTTATCTTCCTTTTCTGCCACTGCTAGCCACCACACCCATTGACGGAAGGCGGTGCTAGCTACTCCTACCTACGACTAGTTGAGGATCCAGCTTACAGCATACATACTTGAAGTCGTCGTGGCCTAACGGATAAGACGTCCGGTGCATTCGTGTGTAGCGATGCACCGGTGTTCGAATCCCGCAGGCGGGTACCAATTTTTGTAATGAAAATACGTATCTTAACAAATGTTCACGATTGACTTCCACGGTGAAGGAATAACATCGTGTAATAAAAATCAAACCAGCAAAATTATAATTTACGTAATTACTGGTGGCAGGACCTCTTGTGAGTCCGCACGGGTAGGTACCACCGCCCCGCCTATTTCTGCTGTGAAGCAGTAATGCGTTTCGGTTTGAAGGGCGGGGCAGCCGTTGTGACTATACTGAGACCTTAGAACTATATCTCAAGGTGTGTGGCGCATTTACGTTGTAGATGTCTATGGGCTCCAGTAACCACTTAACACCAGGTGGGCTGTGAGCTCGTCCACACATCTAAGCAAAAAAAAAAAAAAGATAAGATAACATAAGCTGATAATGTTTTTTGTGTTAACGAGTCAGGCGTTTTGGTGCAAACTGTAAGCCTGACTTTGTATTGAATGGAATAAATAAAATAAAATAAATTGGCATAGGAAGGAAAATCAAAGTGACGTATGAGTCGACGTAGCTTCTCAATCGTAGCTGTGTAGCGCCTACCTCGTATCTGGAGGGCGCCGGGGGCACGTGCGTGTTGGGGGAGCATCGCGAGCACCCCGGCCTCAGCACGGTCCGGCTGGAGGAGCGTCCGCGCATCGCCGTGCGCAGCTCCTGGAACAAATTCCGGTTACAAGGAACGTCAGAGGTCCCGTTGCATCATAACTTATATTTTTATTTTATTGCATAAATCATTGGACGAGCTCACAGCCCACCTGGTATTAAGTGGTTACCGGTAAATGCCACTACCCATCTTCAGATATTTAACAGTACAATTTACAATTTAACAGTCTCACTTTTAACAGTACAACGCCTGCCCCACACTTTTTTGCTGACACGCATTACTGCTTCATGGCAGAAATAGGCAGGGTGGTGGTAACTACCCGTGCGGACTCACAAGAGGTTCTACCACTAGTGAAACCTCCTCCCATGTTGAGCACGTGAGCTCACCTAGCTGGAATATCCCCTTAGGCTGCCACCAAATTAGTGACTTCCAGTGCGATGATGATGCCAGGACTTGATTTTTATTACACGATGTTATATCCCTTCACCGTGGACGTCAAATGTAAGCATTTGTGAATTACGTTTTCGTTTAGAAAAATCAGTACCCGCCGGCGGGATTCGAACGGGTTTCTCACCAGTAAGACCACGCACGCTCGTGCAACAATAATAATATTTTTAATTGAGCACTAATTAGCTTCATCCATAACTTTGAAAAGTTTTCTACAAACCAGTCTAAATAGGAGTGGTCTCTACTTTTTTTTGTATTGCCCTTGTAGGCAGACGAGCACACGGCCCACTTGATGGTGATTGGTTATCGTCGCCCATGGACTTCAGCGATACCAGGGGCAGAGCTAAGCCGCTGCCTACGGTTGAGTACTCACCACAAGTCTCGTTTGAACAAGGACATGTCATGGCGCTCGGGAAATACTGTGGAGGGGGGCTCATTCTAAAGCCAACGACCACCTTCAAAAACCTAGCCCGAAATAATCCTTGTTCCACTATCAGAACTGGAGTCTCGAAGATTGCAATGCAACGGAACCTTTCTTTTACCCTCAGGACCGGAACCGAGCATTGCAGCAGGATCAGTCCTATCACCTGGAAACGCTGCACTGATCTGAACTCACCTGTCCCATTTCACTGCAGAGGGACTGCCTCCCCTGGGACGCGTTCTTCCTGGTGTTCCAGCAGAACTCCAGTATGGCCACCACTATGGAAAGCGCCAGACCACACAGTAAAGTAACGAAGACACCCCCTGAAATACATGAAACACATGACCTGGTGATGCAGCAGTTAGCGCCTCCAACTCCTGGGCCAAGGGACATGAGCTTTTTTTATTGCTTAGATGGGTGGACGAGCTCACAACCCACCCGGTGTTAAGTGGTTACTGGAGCCCGTAGACATCCACAACGTAAATGCGCCACCCACCTTGAGATATGTTCTAAAGTCTCAGTATAGTTACAACGGCTGCCCCACCCTTCAAGCCGAAACGCATTACTGCTTCACGGCAGAAATAGGCAGGGTGGTAAAAGTAGTAAAGTGGACCAGCCTGGGCTACTCTACCAAACCCACCGATGTTCTGCACACCGAGCGGATTGGCCTTGCTGTCCTTCCCGTCACGGTTGCAGACGTCCCCCGTGTTCTTCCACCACTTGTCGTACAGGATCTGGATGACGCCCTTCTCTTGGAGCTCGAGGATCGCTAGGGATATCTTGTCGCGCCACGGGCTGCCCTTCCAGGTTGCTATTCCGTAGCCCTGGAATACAGAGCGATTTTGAAGCTTCTCTCGGGACCTGAACCTTCTATGAGTTTCCAGTGTTTTAAGAGTATAAGGGACTTGACGGCCCAAAAAGTTAATAGGGTCCCAATCTACTAAAATACTTCTCAAGAACTTATTCAACGACATCCGATCTTAGTCCGGGGTCAGAAGCCGGGCGAAGTAGGGGTCGTCCCGAAGCTCTCGAGGTCCACGAGTCTTCAGTTCTCTTCAAGTCTTCAGTATCGATGATCAGACCGCACTGGCCAAGATATCTTACACATATATCGGCCTATGACAATAAATATCTTATAGGGAGGTGAAAGTCTGCACGGTTTAAGTACCTTGGCACTTAAGGTCATCATCAGCTTATAGCAGTCCATTACTGGACACAGGTCCCTCCAATTGCTCGCCAGTGAGTACGACCCTGGGCTTCCCTCATCCAGCTTTTGCCGAACACCATAGATCATCACTCCACCGTACTTGAAGTCTATGCTAGAGTTCAAATCATAGCTCTATAGTAAAACGGCTGCACCACCCTTCAAACAGGAACGCGTTAATGTTAAAACAAGGTGGTGATACCTACCCGCGCGGACTCACAAGAGACCATACCACCAGTAATTACGCATATCATAATTTTGCGGGTTTGATTTTATTACACGATATCATTCTATCACCGTGGAAGTCAATCGCGAACATTTGTTAAGTACATATTACATTAGAAAACTTGGTAATTGGATTCGAATATCGGCACAGTCGCATCGTTTTGGATAAATTTGCTAAAGATCACGGCTTCCAGTTATTTCTCGCCAGATTCCTCGGACCAGACGCGGCATTGGCGAACTGACCTAAGGATATAATTGACACAGCTAAATACAATACCTTGGAATCTAAAAGGCCTCCGATCTGTGTCAGATTACAGTCCCTCTGCACTCTGTGGTCCAGCATCGTGGACTCCATAAGGAACGCGTAGTTCTCGGTCAGGACCTTCCTGACGCCCTCCTCGTACGAGGAGACCAGGGCGGGTGGGGATGCTGTGGACATCTGCTGCCACATCCTCTTGTATATGTCGATATTTGAATCCTGGACGAAGGAAACGTGGAGAGGGAACTTAAAAAAATATTCAACTGCTTAAAGTTTGATTTATTTATTTATTGTCGACGAGGTAAGAGCTATTTGAGGTATGAGGTCGGATTTTGTGTAGTGTAATGTCTCACCCTTCACATAGACAGTGGACATCAACAACTTTAGTGACTTTGAAACACGAGTTCTAAGTCTTAATTTATAGTTGCCTCGCCCCATTTTTCAAACTGGAAAGTACTACCGCTTCGCGTCAGAATTAGGTAGGACGATGATATCTACGGCCTTACAACTCTAATAACCAATACAAACATCCCATTTTCGGAGACCACCCCGGCTTACCCTGAAGAAGCTCATGGTGGAGCCGCCGTTCAGGGTCCCGTACTGGATGGTGCTCTGGGCGGCCAGGTCGGCAGCGCTCTGGATCGGCAGGACGGTCTTGTCGACCGTCAGGAACGCGGCCAGATTCGCCGTGTACGACGACAAAATTATTAACGTGAAGAACCACCATATTCCACCGACTATCCTCGTAGAAGTCGCCTGGAATTCATGTCAGTTCAAGGATCCTTGAAGCATAGGTCTAATAATTTTTTTTAAATTATAATATGCACTTTGGAACATTGCGTACTTGAGTGGACGGGTTCATGGGAATAGCAAAGCGAAAGTCCTTCGTCTTGAAACACAAGGTCCCAGTTTTTTTTTTTTTCATTTGCTACAACGGCTATCTCACTTTTCAAGTTAGAGGGTAGTATTGCAGAAATAGGCAGAACGGTCCCCAGCACCTATCTTTTAGGGGTCAGCCGTCTGATTTTATGTTCTTCAACAGCTATCCCACTTTTGTAGTCAAAAGGCAATGTCACAGAGATAGGCAGGATGGTCCCCAACACCTATTTACGGGGACGAGCGAGAGTACACGGGATTCGCTTTGTGGGTGAGCCTGATTGCCATCTTCGACCGTCGAGTCCTGCATGCTACACATACATGAGGATAGCTCGGAGACAGCTGGTCGGGTCTTGTTGATATTGAAATGGGAGCACACTAGAATCGCCAGTCTACGAATACAAAGTCGGTTGATCGAGAAAAACGTATTGATGTACTACACGCATAATAGTCGAATTGATAAACTTCCCCTTTCGGTTTTTAAAGTCGGCTAAAACTAAATTTTATTCATTACTAGCGACCCGCCCTCGCTTCGCTTCGGAAACATTAAAACACACATGAAACCAAAAAAATAAAATAAAAAAATTATAAAAAAAAGTAGCCTATGTTCATCAGGGACAATGTCGGCTTCTAATGGAAAAAGAATTTTTCAAATCGGTCCGGTAGTTTCGGAGCCTATTCGAAACAAACAAACAAACAAATCTTTCCTCTTTATAATATTAGTATAGATCAACCCTTTTCCGCAATCTCGCTTGTGTTTTCACAGAAATAAATCTCTCGGAGCGAGCAATTTTGCTGTTTCCCGGATGAAACATTATACATTGTATTCAGTTGCTTATCCTTGATTTTCCCACCAAGCTTCCCGCTGGATCCTCTCAGTGAGTTGCGATTCCGATCCGGTGGTAGATTCAGCAAAGCACTGTTCTTGCTAGGGCTAGTGTTAGCAACGTTTTTTTTAATTTTTTTATTGCTTTGATGTGTGGACGAGCTCACAGCCCACCTGGTGTTAAGTGGTTACTGGAGCCCATAGACATCTACGACGTAAATGCGCCACCCACCTTGAGATATCAGTTCTAAGGTCTCAGTATAGTTACAACGGCTGCCCCGCCCTTCAAACCGAAACGCATTACTGCTTCTAGGCAGAAGTAGGCGGGGCGGTGGTACCAACCCGCGCGGACTCACAAGAGGTCCTACCACCAGTAAAACGTCCTCCCATATTGAGCCCGTGAGCTCACCTAGCTGGAATATCCCCTTAGGCTACCACCAAATTCGCGACTTCCAGTGCGATGATGATGCCAGGACTTGATCAGCCATCTGCAAGTCGAGGTCAACTGCAAGGGAGTCTCCCATTAAGCACACGGTTACCTTGGGGTTGAGCCCGGAGCCCTGCCTCAGGAACGTGCCGGTGATGAACCAGAACGAGTTGCAGACGCTGAACTGGTTCGTGAGGAGTTTCGTCTCGTGACCGCACACGTGCGTGGTCGTGGACCTTAACGCGAGGGCGTAAAGCACAAAATTCAATCGTTTTTAACTTGACGATCACATGGAAAACTGTCTGGACTAATCTAATGAGAAATCTTTTATATTTTTTATTGCTTAGGAGCTCACGGCCCATGTGTTAAGTGGTTACCGGAGCCCATAGACATCTACAACGTAAATGCCGCCACCTACCTTGAGATATGATTTCAAGTTCTCAGTATAGCTACAACGGCTGTCCCGCCCTTCAAACTGAAACGCATTACTGCTTCACGGCAGAAATAGGCAGGGCGGTGGTACCTACCCGTGCGGACTCACTAGAGGTCCCACCACCAGTAAAAATGTATGTATGTAATGTAATATATGTAATGTATGTGTGTAAATTCAGTCTATGCTGGATGTAAATCTTGATGTATGTAAATAAATGCAAGTATGTTAATCTACATCTATATGTATTTGTTAAAACAAAGGAACGACCTTAATATTCATAGTATATACAAAATTTGAGGGCGAGGCTATCCATATTAATTTTATTGATTAGATAGATGAACTAGTTCACGGTCCCGCTTGAGTCAACTGGTTACCAGGGCTCATGGACATCAACAAAGTTAATGCCAACTACTCAAGACACGAGCTTCCAATAAAACGGCTACCCCACCCTTCAAACCGAAACGTATTACTGCTTCACGGCAGAAATAGGCGGGGTGGTGGTACCTACCCGCGCGGAATCACAAGATGTCCTACAACCAGTAATACGGTATAAAACACCAGTCTGGGCACGTTTTGAAAGCCACTGTCACTGTTATTAACTGATCTTAAAAAGCCATTCACTGTTATTAGCCGAACTTACCACTCGTACGGCGAGAACCTGGCCATCACGAAGAGCGTGAAGGAGACCAGCACGTAAGCCGCCAGCACGTACAGCCATATCTCGATGGCGAGGGGGTTCAGGAAGCTAAAGAGCCTGGTGGGCTGCGAAGTCGGGACCTGGACAACAAGCGAAGCTGCACACGGAAATCGGGAGATCTGCTGTAGGACGCGCGGAAGAGCCGTCGGAGCTGGTCTTCTTCACAAGAGAAAGAGTACTGATGTATACTTCCGTTTGACGTTTACGGCTGGTAGGATATCTTGTGAGTCCCCGCGAGTAGGTACCCTGCCTATTTCTGGCGTGAAGCAGTAATGCGTTTCGGTTTGAAGGGTGAGGCAGCCGTTGTAACTATACTGAGACATTAGAACTTATATCTAAAGGTGGCATTTACGTCATAGATGTCTATGGGCTCCAGCAACCACTCAAAACCAGGTGGGCTGTGAGCTCGTCCAGCCATCTAAGCAATAAATAAATAAAAAAGGCGTTCTAGTAATGGTTGGAATATGTTCATCTGGTGGCGGGCGGTATGGTGGTAAGAAGAAGATGGAGTGATCAGAGCTCAGAGCACTCTCTATGGAACATGCGGTAGAGAACACAAAGAGAACGGTAGTTTCTTCTTAGTTCCAAGCACTTCAGACGCATATCGGTAGTGGTAGCCGGTATTTAAGAGCTTAGATTTGGTAGCGCCTTAGGATTTAGGGACATTTAGCTGCACCGTCCGAGCGACTCTGCTAATGGAAGCCCTTGGATAATCATTCGAAAAATCCCAAGAAGGCTACAGTTGTGTTCTGAAATCGTGGTCCCAAGACAAGCGTGACCTTCAACGAGTTCAAAGCAAACTCTTAAGTGTTGAAGCTTCTTCGGTTTGGTAATACCTTTAAACCACGCTACTCTGAATGCCCACCTTGAAAAGTATTCCGATTCCGAGGTTCATGAATGGCTTCGTGAAATCTATGACCGCCTCCCGCGCGTAGTTTATCGTCATGGACGCAACGGCAATGTCAGCTTTCTGGAAAGTAAATTGATAATGTTTATATCTAATCTACACTACTACAGACACAGTCCTCTGCAGCTCTGTACTGATCCCGAGCTCTTCTCGTACACAAACAGATACAGATCCGACCAACATCTAGCCTCTAGTCCTATACTACACTATTACAGACACAGTCCTCTGCAGCTCTGTACTGATCCCGAGCTCTTCTCGTACACAAACAGATACAGATCCGACCAACATCTAGCCTCTAGTCCTATACTACACTANATTAAAAAAAAAAACCTTTATACTTTAACGAATTTAAGGTACTATTTTATATACCTTTACTGCCTGTTACCTGCCCAAGTAACCACAATCGGAACTCTATAATCGCGGGTCGTTCTTACCTGTGTTGGAGACATACACAGAGAAACTTTCAGCTTTTATAAAATAACGAAGGTCTGGCTGTCGCGGGCTCTTGCTCTAACACGGCAGTCAAAGGCTTAAGTCGGCCATTTTTCTTTTCAAATAACGCAGAGTAAACAATTTTACGAAATGGCAGTTTTTTTTTTTATATAAGTGTTTTCAGTGCGGTGAATGAAACGGCAGTATAGCTTTTAAAAAACCAACTAGAATATACATATATGGACAGAGCTTTTATTATTAACATAATCATTAGTGTACTAATGCCAATACGATGTCAGAGGTGAACAAAGGTCAATGTGTAAGGTCAGAGAGTAAAGTGCAATATGAACTAGCATGGAATGTAAAGAGTACAATTCTGGAATCCGAAAAGGGGAAATGTATCTTATGGCATGCCCAATACAGCATTTATTTGCAAAGCATCCATTTAGGATTGATCAGCAACCTATGATCGAAGATATTTCGTGGCAGGACCTCTTGAGAGTCCACGCGGGTAGGTACCACCACCCTACTTATTTCTGCCGTGAAGCAGTAATGCGTTTCGGTTTGAAGGGTGGGGCAGCCGTTGTAACTATACTTGAGACCTTCGAACTTATATCTCAAGGTGGGTGGCGCATTTACGTTGTAGATGTCTATGGGCTCCAGTAACCACTTAACCCCAGGTGGGCTGTGAGCTCGTCCACCCATCTAAGCAATAAAATAAAAAAAAAGTCGACGCCACCCTAAGCACGTCATTTCGGATCCTCCCGATCCACTAACGGTGCTTCTAGTTACCACAAGCATCGTTCAGTGTTCTCGTCGAACCCGTCGCTTGCGACGAAGGGCTCGGCGAGAAAATTAACCCACAGACACAGCCCACTGAATTTCTCGCGGGATCTTCTCAGTGGATCGCGTTTCCGATCCGGTGGTAGATTTTGCGAAAAACGTCTCTTACTAGGTACTTCCATATTTTCTTACTTCCATATTTTCTGTACTATTTTTAATGAAAAATAATACGAAGAGAAATAAAATCAAGTTGATTAATATGAAACATTGCATGAAATTCGCATGAAATTAAGTGTAATAAGATGATAAGAGACGAAATATCATCTCAGTAAAATGGTGATTATCTATCGAGACTTTTTCATTGGACTTTTTGGAACGTCTTCGTTTTGACGTCTTTGTTTCATTTTCCCACATTTGTACAATTTCACAGATACTAAACAGTTAATAAACCACTCTTATTTTTATACACATTTAAACCTGTAGAAACACTAAATAGACAAAATAAAATAATACACACAACGTCGCTTTTCACGTTCCTGCCAAAAACTTCCAAGAAGGCCTCGAGGCCCCTTTTTTAAATGACGGCTGTCAAATTTGACGTCTGTCATTTTTGGTTGATTTTTCTTTTCGCTACCGGACCTCGTGCTCCTGGATCTAACGCTAAATAGAGGACTAGTCGAATTATTTAGACAGAGACGGCTATATAACAATTTGAACGTGCTTTTTCGTTTCTCTCGGCTCTTTGAGTACGTAGGACATTGTCCTTCTCAAGCTGCCCGTCGGATCTGAAAGGGACAGCGATAATATTTATGTACCGAAACTTGATACTTCGTTTTTGGAATTATTGAAAAAAAAAAACTATGAATTAACTGACTCGAAGGTGCAGTAGTTAGAGCCACTGACTGTCACGCCGAGGGTCGTGGGTTCGATTCCCGCGCCACCACTTAACATCTTAACACCAGGTGGGATGTGAGCTCGTCCACCAATCTAAGCAATAAAAAATAACAAATGTGATGACGTCAGAAGGTACTCACGGCGCGCGGGGGTACAGCGTGGGGGCGGGCGGCGCGCGGGGGTGGCGGGGGCGGAGGAGGCTCCCCGCCGCGACTTGTGCTACGACCACCGAAGCTCCTTCAACTCGACCGAGCTACTGCCTCCGTCTTGGATCTAAACAGGACGACTCGTTGTGACCATTGGTGGGTTTACACTAGGGCAGCGGTCGGGGAACCGGGGTAAATTACCCCAAACGGGGTAAAATGAAATTATGGGGGGTAAAAATGAAACTTTTGTGAGTGAAAAGTATATATTGAAGTGAAACTTCTTTGGAACCGTTAAATTTTTAGTTATTGTTTTCTTTTCAAAATTATTAAGGGGGCTATAATATGAAAGATGCTAAAAAGAAGCGAAGCGAAAGCGAAGGTAATATTAACTTACACAAAAATATTTTGGGGTAATAATTAAAAAATATCCCCGACCGCTGCACTACGGGCAGTAGGGGCAAGCGCCCAGGGCAGCAACATTTTGAAAGTAAAAAAAAATTTTTTTTTAGTCTTATCAAGATTGATAAATTTAATTAATTAATTCAATTCAATAATAATTTTCTGTTTAATTGATTATTTGACAAATTCAATTCATCCATTATTTGTGTGAATTATAATGTTGGCACTTTTGGTAAAAATTAATAGGTGATCAAAATGATTTAATTTAATCAATTAATTTTCTTGAACATTAAAAATAATAATCGATTTTTCTATTTTCTGGAATTAAAGAAATTTAATGTTTTTTTATGTAATATAATTATGAGTCACCCTTTGTGCAAAATTTATAATTGTTAGAAAAAAAAAAAAAAATATTTATTTATGTTTTTGGAATATTTATAACATAATATGATAAAGTTTCTGCAATAAATTAGTTATTTTAATTTTGAAAAATAAAATATATAAACTATGAGTTTAGGTAAAATTCCAGTATCGGGGCAGTCTTTTTTCCGGTGCCCAGGAGCGGCATTAAGTCTAAATCCGACCCTGATTGTGAACCACTAAGCTTCAACATATCGACGCTCGAAAGGCAAACGCGACTAAGCGACAATGCGTGAACTTTACAGTAGACTAATTTAAAGTTGAAATACCTGAAAAAAATTCTATTTTAACGAATCTAGCTGTAGGATTGAAATGATTTTAATAGACCTAGAAATATATGTTTTTTTGCGCATCGAATATGGTTATTGCCTATCATTTATGTACAAAGCAGTTATTGTCGCTTAGTCACGTTTGCCTTTCAAATGCTATATTGGCACCACCACCCTGCCTACTGCTACCGCCGGAGCCGCTTCATACAGGGTGAGCCGCAAGCCAACGGGTTAGGTCATGCCGTTTCAAACAAATATTAATAAACTGCAGCTCTGATCTTTAACGTTATCTTCCTTTTCTGCCACTGCTAGCCACTACACCCATTGACGGAAGGCGGTGCTAGCTACCTACGACTAGTTGAGGATCCAGCTTTTAGCATACATACTTGAAGTCGTCGTGGCCTAACGGATAAGACGTCGGTGCATTCGTGTGTAGCGATGCACCGGTGTTCGAATCCCGCAGGCGGGTACCAATTTTTATAATGAAAATACGTATCTTACCAAATGATCACGATTGACTTCCACGGTGAAGGAATAACATCGTGTAATAAAACTCAAACCAGCAAAATTATAATTTGCGTAATTACTGGTGGTAGGACTTCTTGTAAGTTCGCACGGGTAGGTACCACCGCCCTGCCTATTTCTGCCGTGAAGCAGTAATGCGTTTCGGTTTGAAGGGCGGGGCAGCCGTTGTAACTATACTGAGACATTAGAACTATCTCAAGGTGGGTGGCGCATTCACGTTCTAGATGTCTATGGGCTCCAGTAACCACTTAACACCAGGTGGGCTGTGAGCTCGTCTACCCATCTAAGCAATAAAAAAAAATACAGCTGGCGTCTCACAGCAGTCCACGCATACACTAATGACGAGTGGTCAACATCGCCCACGGACGTCATCTGCTTCGCTACCGGTAAGTATGATGACCATCTCGCTCTTCAAGCCACTTGGAATCTTCCTGATCGGACTGGACGGTACCACCTTTGTATTTTGCTGTAATCGCGTCACAATAGGCCTTGAAGGCCATTGATCTCGAAGATCAGCTGTCTTATTCCATAGCGCCGTATTGCCCTAAACATGTCATTACGGATCCTCCCGATCCATCAACGGTGCTTTAAGGTACCTCAAGCACCGATCACCATCCTCGTCGAACCCGTCGCTTGCGACGAAGGGCTCGACGAGCGAATTAACCCTCAGACACAGCCCAATGAGTTTCGCCGCTTCTTCTCAGAGCTCGCCTGTGGACCTCGCTTCTCAATCGTAGCTGAGTAGCGCCTACCTCGTATCTGGAGGGCGCCGGGGGCACGTGCGTGTTGGGGGAGCATCGCGAGCACCCCGGCCTCAGCACGGTCCGGCTGGAGGAGCGTCCGCGCATCGCCGTGCGCAGCTCCTGGAACAAATTCCGGTTACAAGGAATGTCAGAGGTCCAGTTGCATCATAACTTATATTTTTATTTTATTGCATAAATCATTGGACGAGCTCACAGCCCACCTGGCATTAAGTGGTTACTGGTAAATGCCACTACCCATCTTCAGATATTTAACAGTACAATTTACAATTTAACAGTCTCACTTTTAACAGTACAACGCCTGCCCCACCCTTTTTAGCTGACACGCATTACTGCTTCCGCCATCAGAACTGGAGTCTCGAAAATTGCAATGCAACAGAACCTTTCTCTTACCATCAGGACCGGAACCGAGCATTGCTCTACAGCAGGATCAGTCCTATCACCTGGAAACGCTGCACTGATCTGAACTCACCTGTCCCATTTCGCTGCAGAGGGACTGCCTCCCCTGGGACGCGTTCTTCCTGGTGTTCCAGCAGAACTCCAGTATGGCCACCACTATGGAAAGCGCCAGACCACACAGTAAAGTAACGAAGACACCCCCTGAAATACATGAAACACGTGACCTGGTGATGCAGCAGTTTGCACCTCCAACTCCTGGGCCAAGGGACATGAGCTTTTTTTATTGCTTAGATGTGTGGACGAGCTCACAGCCCAACTGGTGTTAAATGTTACTGGAGCCCATAGACATCTACGACGCAAATGCGCCACCCACCTTGAGATATGTTCTAAAGTCTCAGTATAGTTACAACGGCTGCCCCACCCTTCAAGCCGAAACGCATTACTGCTTCACGGCAGAAATAGGCAGGGTGGTAAAAGTAGTAAAGTGGACCAGCCTGGGCTACTCTACCAAACCCACCGATGTTCTGCACACCGAGCGGATTGGCCTTGCTGTCCTTCCCGTCACGGTTGCAGACGTCCCCCGTGTTCTTCCACCACTTGTCGTACAGGATTTGGATGACGCCCTTCTCTTGGAGCTCGAGGATCGCTAGTGATATCTTGTCGCGCCACGGGCTGCCCTTCCAGGTTGCTATTCCGTAGCCCTGGAATACAGAGCGATTTTGAAGCTCCTCTCGGGACCTGAACCTTCTATGAGTTTCCAGTGTCTATGAGTACGACCCTCGGTTTCCCTCATCCAGCTTTTACCGGATACCATGTATAGACCTTCACTGCACCGAGCTTGAAGCCTATGCTCGAGTTCAAATCACAGTTTTATAGTAAAATGGCTGCCCCACCCTTCAAACAGGAACGTGTTAATGTTGAAACCGGTTGGTGGTACCTACCCGTGCGGACTCACAAGAGGTCCTACCACCAGTAATTACGCAAATTATATTTTTGCGGGTTTGATTTAAGTTACACGATGCTATTCCTTTACCGTAGAAGTCAATCGTGAACATTTGTTAAGTACATATTACATTAGAAAACTTGGTAATTGGATTCGAATACCGGCACAGTCGCATCCTTTTGGATAAATTTGCTAAAGATCACGGCTCCCAGTTATTTCTCGCCAGAATCCTCGGACCAGACGCGGCATTGGCGAACTGACCTAAGGATATAACTGACACAGCTAAATACCATACCTTGGAATCTAAAAGGCCTCCGATCTGCGTCAGATTACAGTCCCTCTGCACTCTGTGGTCCAGCATCGTGGACTCCATGAGGAACGCGTAGTTCTCGGTCAGGACCTTCCTGACGCCCTCCTCGTACGAGGAGACCAGGGCGGGCGGGGATGCTGTGGACATTTGCTGCCACATCCTCTTGTATATGTCGATATTTGAATCCTGGACGAAGGAAACGTGGAGAGGGAACTTAAAAAAATATTCAACTGCTTAAAGTTTGATTTATTTATTTATTGTCGACGAGGTAAGAGCTATTTGAGGTATGAGGTCGGATTTTGTGTAGTGTAACGTCTCACCCTTCACATAGACAGTTGACATCAACAACTTTAGTGACTTTGAAACACGAGTTCTAAGTCTTAATTTATAGTTGCCTCGCCCCATTTTTCAAACTGGAAAGTACTACCGCTTCGCGTCAGAATTAGGTAGGACGATGATATCTACGGCCTTACAACTCTAATAACCAATACAAACATCCCATTTTCGGAGACCACCCCGGCTTACCCTGAAGAAGCTCATGGTGGAGCCGCCGTTCAGGGTCCCGTACTGGATGGTGCTCTGGGCGGCCAGGTCAGCGGCGCTCTGGATCGGCAGGACAGTCTTATCCACGGTCAGGAACGCGGCCAGATTCGCCGTGTACGACGACAGAATTATCAACGTGAAGAACCACCATATTCCACCGACTATCCTCGTTGAAGTCGCCTGGAATTGTGTCAGTTCAAGGATCCTTGAAGCATAGGTGAATATTTTTTTTTAAATCATAATATGCACGTTGGAACATTGCGTACTTGAGTGGACGGGTTCATGGGAATAGCAAAGCGAAAGTCCTTCATCTTGAAACACAAGGTCCCAGTTTCATTTTGTTTTCATTTGCTACAACGGCTATCTCACTTTTCAAGTTAGAGGGTAGTATTGCAGAAATAGGCAAAACGGTCCCCAGCACCTATGTTTTGGGGATCGGCCGTCTCATTTGCTGTTCTACGACAGCTATCCCACTTTTGAAGTCAAAAAGCAATGCCGCAGAGATAGGCAGGATGGTCCCCAGTACCTATATTGTGGGGGGTCAGCCGTCTCATTTGCCATTCTACAAAAGCTATCCCACTTTTCAAGTCAGAAGGTAATTCCGCAGAGATAGGCAGGATGGTCCCCAACACCTATTTGTGGGGGTTGAGCGAGGGCATGTGGAACTCCTATAGTGGGTGAGCCTGATTACCATCTTCGACGGTCGAGTCATGCATGCGATACATACATAAGGATAGCTCGGAGATAGCTGGTCGGGTCTTGGCGACATTGAAATGGGAGCACATTAGAATCGCCAGTCCTCGAATACAAAGTCGGTTCGTCTAGAATAATGTATCAATGTACCACACGAATAATAAAATTTATAAACTTCCCTTTTCTGTTTTTAAAGTCGGCTAAAACCTAAATTTATTCATTATCAACCCTTTCCCGTGATCTCGCTTATGTTGACATAGAAATAAACCTCCCGGAGCTAGCAATTTTCTGTTTCCCGGATGAAACATTGTACATTGTATTCAGTTGCTTATCCTTGATTTTCCCACCAAGTTTCTCGCTGGATCTTCTCAGTGGGTCGCGTTTCCGATCCGGTGGTAGATTCAGCGAAGCACTGCTCTTGCTAGGGCCAGTGTTAGCAACGTTTTTTTTTTTTATTGCTTTGATGTGTGGACGAGCTCACAGCCCACCTGGTGTTAAATGGTTACTGGAGCCCATAGACATCTACGACGCAAATGCGCCACCCACCTTGAGATATCAGTTCTAAGGTCTCAGTATAGTTACAATGGCTGCCCCGCCCTTCAAACCGAAACGCATTACTGCTTCACGGCAGAAATAGGCGGGGCGGTGGTACCTACCCGTGCGGACTCACAAGAGGTCCTACCACCAGTAAAACGTCCTCCCATGTTGAGCACGTGAGCTCACCTAGCTGGGATATCCCCTTAGGTTACCACCAAATTCGTGACTTCCAGTGCGGTGATGATGCCAGGACCTGATTGGCCATCTACAAGTCGAATTTAACTGCAAGCGAGTCTCCAATTAAGCGCACGGTTACCTTGGGGTTAAGCCCGGAGCCCTGCCGCAGGAACGTGCCGGTGATGAACCAGAACGAGTTGCAGACGCTGAACTGGTTCGTGAGGAGTTTCGTCTCGTGACCGCACACGTGCGTGGTCGTGGACCTTAACGCGAGGGCGTAAAGCACAAAATTCAATTGTTTTTTACTTTGACGTTCACAGGGGAAACTGACTGGACTAATCCAATGAATTATAGGACGAGGCTATACATATTACTGTTATTGATTAGATGTTAGCTCTGAGGGATTGTTTGAGATGAGTCCATCATCTCGTTGCCACTACGTTCATCCACAGTGCGTTTCCAGAGATCTTTTTTGCCACGCACCATCCGGCTTTGGAATGAGCTCCCCTCCACGGTGTTTCCCGAGCGCTATGACATGTCCTTCTTCAAACGAGGCTTGTGGAGAGTAGTTAAAAGTAGACAGCGGCTTGGCTCTGCCCGTGGCATTGACGAAGTCCATGGGCGACGGTAACCATTCACTATCAGGGCCGTATGCTCGTCTGCCCATAAGAGCAACAAATAAAAAATAGATAGGTGAACTAGTTCACGCACCAGCTGACGTCAACTGGTTACCAGGGTTCATGGACATCAATAAAGTTAGGCAGGGCGGTGGTACCTACCTATGTACCACCAGTCCTATGTCCTACCACCAGTAATACGGTATAAAACAACTGTCTGGGCACGTTTTAAAAGCCACTGTCACTGTTATTAACCGATCTTAAAAAGCCACTGTCACTGTTATTAGCCGAACTTACCACTCGTACGGCGAGAACCTAGCCATAACGAAGAGCGTGAAGGAGACCAGCACGTAAGCCGCCAGCACGTACAGCCATATCTCGATGGCGAGGGGGTTCAGGAAGCTAAAGAGTCTTGTGGGCTGCGAAGTCGGGACCTGGACAACAAGCGAAGCTGCACACGGAAATCGGAAGATCTGTTGTAGCGCTCGCGGGAGCCGTCAGAGTTGATCTTCTTCATAAGAGAAAAAGTGTGTGTGTGTGTGGGCAAGTCACACACGGTAGAAGTGAAACTTATAAATAAGACATAGATATACTGACTATCCCACTACATAGGAGCATACATATGGACAATGCTTAGTAGACGATAGTGGGGATGCTACGAAGAGCCGCACAAAGAGGCGGAACGTCTAATGTGTTCTATCTCATTCTCACGCCGGCGGAATCTTATACGTTTATGTGTTTGTGTCTCTATGGACTTATTTTTTCGTTTCATTGAGTTTGAAGTCACAACGATTCTAAAGAAGTTTCACTTTAAAAAGTATTGATGTATACCTCCCTTTGAACTAGTGTCTACATCTTTAAGCCAATCCTGATCGGTTGCCCCCTTCCATAATGACAATGAAGAAGTGTTCCTCCTACTACAACGGGAGTAGCAACCACCAGTTTTGCTAAAGACTATTGCACATTGATGTGCCGAGTATTTCAGGGATCTATTCTCACTGGCAATTGAACGAGTTCACAGCCAACCCAACCATCGCTCATGGCTGTCAGCAATGCAGTGTGCTCACCGCAACCATAATTTAAAGAGTATCATAGCGATCAAGAGACATGCGGAAGAGAGTTCATTCCAAGCCGGACGGCTCGTGGCAGAAAAGATCTTTGGACAGTGTGGATGAACGCAGGGGTTCTAGTATGGTTGGACTCTGTTCATCCAGTGGTGGGCGGTGTGATGTTAAGTAGAAAATAGATCATAAGTGAATGCTCAGAGCGCTCGCCATGGATTGTAGAGAACAGCAATTTCTTCTTAGTTCCAAACCAGTGGAAGCCGGTATTTAAGAGCTTCATCTTAGGTATGGGAGCAGAGTCCCAAACGCCTAAAAACTTGGCATTTTGACATTTTGCTGCGCCGTCCGAGCGACTCTGCTAATGGAAGCCCTTGGATAATCATTCGAAAACGCCCAAAAAGGCTACAGTTTTGTTCTGACATCGTGATCCCAGGGCCAGCGCAACCTTCAACGAGTCACCTCGCCAACTCAAATCTTCATTGCGACTTCAGATATAGACAAGTCTCCTAAAGAAAACTCTTAAATGTTGAAGCTTCTTCGGTTTGGTAATACCTTTAAACCACGCTACTCTGAATGCTCACCTTGAAAAGTATTCCGATCCCGAGGTTCATGAAAGGCTTCGTAAAATCTATGACCGCCTCCCGCGCATAGTTTATCGTCATGGACGCAACGGCAATGTCAGCTTTCTGGAAAGTAAATTGATAATGTTTATATCTAATCTACACTACTACAGACACAGTCTTCTGCAGCTCTGTACTGATCCCGAGCTCTTCTCGTACACAAACAGATACAGATCCGACCTACATCTAGCCTCTAGTCCTATACTACACTACTACAGACACAGTCCTCTGCAGCTCTGTACTGATCCCGAGCTCTTCTCGTACACCAAACAGACACAGATCCGACCTACATCTGGTTACTCACCCTGTCCATCAGTTCCCTCACGATGCCGTTCCACTGACCCGTCTCCGGGTCCCTAGCTCCGTACATATTGTCCGGCACCAGACGAAGCCGGTAGTGAAAGCCAGCTCTGGCAGCCACCCTCGCCAGGAGATCGATACAGAACCCTTCGAAGCGGGCGTTCCCTTGTAAGTTCCAGCCTTCCTTAACCATCACGTACGGTTTTTCCTGGAACGAGACCGGTTTTTGGGAATTTTGTAAAGCGATATTCTTCTTCTTCTATATCGTTCCCTCGCTGCTGAGGATCGTGACCACATGTGACGTTCTTCCACTGTGTTCGATCATGGGTGGCATGGACCGAGTGGTACAGACTATCACCAAGTGCTTCTCTTACTAGATCTTACTAGATCTGACTATTTATATACCGACTCTTTATAAGAATCATTTATATATTAGCATATCGAGGGGTGCGACCACATCAGTCGTCCCACTGACAATCGGTGGGGCACAAAAATACCAGAATGGAGAATTTGTACTGGACGTCATAACGTTTGAAGACAGCCAACGAGGTGAACCGATGATCTGGTCAATGTGGCTGGTAAGGACTGAATGTGAATGGCAAGAGACCGAAGAGGATGGGGTGCTTTCGAAGAGTCCTACACTCAGCATTGGCTGGACACGGGTTGAAGAAGATATCGAGGGGTGAAACGTTATTTTTTTTATTGTCCTTGCAGGCAGACCACTATACGACTCACCTGATGGTGAGTGGTTACCGTCGCTCATGGGCTTCAGCAATGCCAGGGGCAGTTATTATTACCCCTCGATATTAATCTAGTGTGTAAATCGGCTAGTGCAGCTATTTAGTGTCTATGTATGTCTATCTATGAATTTAACATGAAATTGTATTTTATTGCGGACGAAACCGCGGGTGCAGCTAGTATATTAAAGGTTAAAAGTTACTGTTTGTGCGTTTGTCTGTACTCACTTCAACGGTGACCACAGTGAGCGTGACGTTAGGAGGAGGGTCCCGTCTGTAAGCCGCGGGATCAGTGATCACTAGACCCTCGCCGGGTCTCCATTCACCAGCCAGCACTGTCCCTCCCGTTTCCCCTCCGGATAACCTCATGAGCTGGAGGCTAAAGTTGGTCCGGATACCGTCCTTGAGCTGTATCGGTCCCGTCAGGCCGTGGGCTTGAACCTGAGCAAGAATATGAAGACTCCTGGTACTTCGTATCACCGCGGCAAAAAATTTATGGTTAGCAATAGTAAAATTGCTCGTGTTTCGGTAATGAAATTGCATAAATATTCGAAAAATATGGAAAAGCGAATCAGAGCACCCCACTTTCCACCTGGTCTTGTCTGCCCTACCCCTAGAGTGTATATAAAAAACCGGAGGCGCGGAGAGAGATCAGTCCTCGCCCGCTGTGACGGAGCACGGAAACAGTGCGAAGCGGAGCACCAGTGACCGTGCTTCGGCACGCAAGGGTGGAAGGGCTGCTCTTCCCGCAGCGCCGGAGATAGGGCGGATTCAAACTTAAGCTCAAAAATCAGCAAACAATAAGAAAACCAAAAGATAGGCTACTATATGAAAACATAAAGATTGCTTTTTATCGGCTTTTTAATAAAAATTTTGCCGCGGTGGCGTTAATACGTAAGTACCAGACTCCTTATTGACAACATAGGCAGACCAATCAATGAGGTGGAACGAGGTCCTGGTCATATTTTTCTATTTTTATTTATTGCATATATGGATGGAGATCTCACAGCCCATGGACGTCTACAACGTAAATGCCCCCACCCACCTTGAGATATGAGTTTCAAGATCTCAGTATAGTTACAACGGCTGCCCCGCCCTTCAAACCGCAACGCACTACTGCTTCACGACTGAAATAGGCAGGGTGGTGGTACCTACCCGCGCAGACTCACAAGGTCCTACCACCAGTAATTAATTACGAAAATTATAATTTTGCAGGTTTCATTTTTATTACTCGATGTTATTCCTTCACCGTGGAAATCAATCGGGAACATTTGTTAAGTACGTATTTCATTACAAAAATCGGTACCCGCCTGCGGGATTCGAACACCGGTGCATCGCTACACACGAATACACGGGACGTCTTATCCTTAGGCCACGGTGAAGGAATAACATCGTGTAGTAAAAATCAAACCCACAAAATTATAATTTGCGTAATCACTGGTGGTAGGACCTCTTGTGAGTCCGCACGGGTAGGTACCACCGCCCTGCCTATTTCTGCCGTGAAGCAGTAATGCGTTTCGGTTTGAAGGGTGGGGTAGCCGTTGTAACTATACTGAGACCTTAGAACTTATATCTCAAGGTGGGTGGCGCATTTACGTTGTAGATGTCTTTGGGCTCCAGTAACCACTTAACACCAGGTGGGCTGGGAGCTCGTCCACCCATCTAAGCAATAAAAAAAATAAAAAAAAAGAATAAAAAGGCTATTATTATTATAAATCTACCAGTTATAACGGACAAGTTATCAAAAATCCCTCACTGACCGTGTTGATGTTCTCCAGCAGGCCCCTTCCGTGCGGCCAGGGACTGTCCTTGTCGCAGGAGACGTTCTTCGTTTGCACCAGCTCCGTGGAGGACATCGCCAAGGCTAGAACCTGGACGGCGTCGTATAGCAGTGCTGGTGCTGTCTGGAACGTGTAAACGATAGGAGGTTCTCAGGTTCTTTGTTGCCCTTGTAGGCAACTGGTTACTGGTGGTAGGACCAGTAGTCCGCGTGGGTAGGTACCACCACACTGCCTGTTTCTGCCGTGAAGCAGTAATGCGTTTCGGTTTGAAGGGCGGAGCAGCCGTTGTAACTATACTGAGACCTTAGAACTTATATCTCAAAGTGGGTGGCGCATTTACGTCGTAGATGTCTATGGGCTCCAGTAACCACTTAACACCAGGTGGGCTGTGAGCTCATCCACTTACCCAAGCAATAAAAAATTAATTAAAAAAGCAGACGATTATACGGCCCTCCTGATGGTGAGTAGTTAACATCGCCCATTGACGTCAGTAAGCCAAGGGCAGAGCCAAGCCACTGCCTACCGCTTAATACTCTCCACAAGCCTCGTTTGAAGAAGGACATGTCATAGCGCTCGGGAAACACCGTGGAGGGGAGCTCATTCCAAAGCTGGATGGTACGTGACAAAAAAGATCTCTGGAAACGCACTGTGGATGAACGCAGTGGCTTCAGGAATATTTGGTTAAGGTTATATTTGAAGTCCTCATGGCCTAATGGATAAAACTTCCGGTGCATTCGTATCAAGAGCGATACACCAGTGTCGGTGTTCGAATCCCGCAGGTAGCTGCCAATTTCTCTAAAATAATCCACGACATAAAACACTTTAATTACTCTGGGCGGATTGTGGTCCAGTTGGGTAAGTACCACCATCCTCCTTAATTCTACAGCTAAGCAGTAACGCCCTCCAGTTTAAGGGGGCAGAAGAGGAAGAAGAGAATAGAAGTGAGACTTAGAGCTCGTGTCTCAAAGTGAGGGACATTGTTGATGTTGTTGATGCCTATGGTCTTTGGTAAGCAATTATCATCAGATGGGCCGTTAGCTCGTTCATTCAAATTAGCAATTAAAACAACTGTTACATATAGATAAGGTAAAAAGGAAGCCCTTAAGGTAGACTCAACATTAAACACCAGTAAGCATCTGTGAGCATTCATGAGCACTCGTGAGCATCTACTTAAAAATGAAAAAAAATCGTTACCCTGATGTGTCCTCCACTTAGTATTGAAGCTCCGATCGGATGAAACTTTTCCATGACCTGCAGAGCGTCCTTTACTTTATCAGAGTCCCGGTCCACCAGCCTCCATCCGCTCATGTTCACTCTATTGTAATAGAAGTCTTCGAGATCGAAGAGCTCCATGTCCTGGGATAGAAACGGTATCCTTATAAGGATGCTAGCCAAATGAAGCCCCTAGGTCTAGGAAGGGATTTGAGTTCTCTATGTATTCTGTACTGTATATTCCACCAGGAGTGATTTTTTTTTATTGATGCACAAAACAAATTACAATCATTACAGTGCATATTAGCTAAATCGTACAAGTAGTACCTAGATCTAATCTGGATTGCAATCTAAATAGTATGTGCACTCGGCAAATCCACATTAATGGCTTTGGCCAAATCATTATACTGCCTAACCATTCTTACCATAGGGTTATATTATGATATATTATTATTTTTATATGTCCATCACGCAAAGAGGTTTACCAAATGCGAATCCCGTGATTATTCGAGATGATATCTCTAACTCTAACTCCATTTTACGTCACCATTGAAGCAGGGTTCATACAAACTAAAGCCACTGCGTTCATCCACAGTGCATTTCCAGAGATCTTTTCTGCCACGCACCATCCGGCTATGGAATGAGTTCCCCTCAACGGTGTTTCCCGAGCGCTATGACATGTCCTTCTTCAAACGAGGCTTGTGGAGAGTACTTAACGGTAGGCAGTGGTAACCATGCGTCTGGCATTGCTCTCCGTGAGCGACCATTAGAAAAAGAATACTCCCAAAAAGCCGGTATTTAAATTTGAAAACAAATTTCGAATCTACTCACAAAGGACGTGAATATGTAGTGGTATTCTTCGCTGTTCATCTGCAATTGTAGGATCTGAAATACGATGACCATTTGAGTTCCACCACCAGTATTCGCTCGTTGCGAAAGCTGTTGTTGGAGAACTTTAAGTCCCAATTGTGTGTACCGACTATATTGTGTAGCGGGCGACAATGGCACGTCTCAGTGGCAATTGGAACAGCCAAGCGCGTGCCGATATTTCCTTAAAAATGCTACCTTCAGAACTATATTTGGGATATTTTAGGGCCCTAATTCATATGTCTTCGTTTTTATTTTATTTTATTGCTTGGATGGGTGGACGAGCTTACTGCCCACCTGATCTTAAGTGGTCACCGGAACCCATAGACATCTACAATGTAAATGGCTCCACCCATCTTGAGACACGAGTTGTAAGGCCTCACTTTTAACAGTACAACGGCTGCCTCGCCCTTCAAAACGAAACGCATTACTGCTTTACGGCAGAAATAGACAGGGTGGTGGTAATTATAATTTTGCGGGTTTGATTCTTATTACACGATCCTTCACCGTGGAGGAGTCAATCGTGAGCACTTGTTAAGTACGTATTTCATTAGAAAAATTGGTACCCGTCTGCGGGATTCGAATATCGGCCTAGTGGCATCGCTCGATACGAATGCACCAGACGTCTTATCCTTTAGGCCACGACGACTTCAAAACTCGACTTCTGTTCGATTTCTGTTATTGCTATTACCACATACCATCACGTAGAATGATGTGGTTGGCTTAGTTTCAATTAAACCTGCGCGCTAACGTGGTGGTATCAAGCCACAAAAGCTTGACTGTTTGACGGAAACGCTAGGAGCGAATTTGTGTCGATTGTTTTATTTCGATAAGTTAGTAATACTTTAGGATTAAAAGTTTAATGATGGTAGTTTATTAATCATTTAGCGTCTGCCCGGTCATCGTTCTCGTCGAACCCGTCGCTTGCGACGAAGGGCTCGACGAGTAAATTATCCAACAGACACAGCCCACTGAGTTTCTCGCCAGATCTTCTCAGTGGATCGCGTTTCCGATCCTGCGGTAGATTCTGCGAAGCACGGCTCTTGCTAGGGCTCGTGTTAGCAACGTCGTCAGGTTTCGAGCCCCGTGAGCTCACCTACTAGTTAAGGTTACGCTGAAATAGACTCTGAAGGCTATCAGCTTAGGTAGGAAAAAAAATGGCGTCTGTTAAAGTGCACGATTATGGGGGAAATGAAACAAAGCCGCTGGTCGTGTCGCCAAAAAGCCCACTGTAGTTGGTAGACAGAGGCCTGGCTATATAAAAACCTATATCGCGGCGGGAATTTATCAGGACTCAGGACTTCGCATCAGTCTCCACATCCTGCCCATACTCACGGCTCTTGCCAGCTGCCGAAACCTCGCGGGATCAGTGTCCACGATAACGTTCTTTATCCTTTGAGCCTTCAGTTGTATCAGGGACTTCCTGTAGTCCTTTGGGTCAACGCAGCGCACCGCATACATGTCGCGTCCGTCTTTTGCGATGTCCAGTATACTCAGATCTCCTGTTGCACGGTTTTATTTATTTGCGTTAGCTCGCTTATAAGTTGGCTGATCAGCTAAATGAGCTCTACCCACAAAAAGAGTCAGAGTGGCACTAATGAACCTTTGAATAAATAACTGGGTGCTATTCACGCACAGTTATTCAGCCCCAAATTAGGATTCACTGTGTTACGGTTTCCAGAAACTGACGCACATACTTATACTTTTTATGGCATATATGAGTGGACGAGCTCACAGCCCACCTGGTGCTAAGTGGTTACCGGAGACCATGGGCATCTACAACCTAAATGCCGCCACCCACCTTGAGATATGAGTTCTAAGGTCTCAGTATAGTTACAACGGCTGCCCCACACTTCAAACCGAAACGCATTACTGCATCACGGCAGAAATAGGCATGGGCGGTAGTACCTACCCGTGTGGACTCACAATACGTCCTACCACCAGTAATTACGCAATTTTTTCGGTTTTGATTTTCATACACCATGGAATCCATTAGTGAACATTTGTCAAGTACGTATTTCGTAAAAAAAATCGATACCCGTCTGCGGGATTCGATTATCGGCGCAGCGGCGTCGTTCGATACGAATGCACCAGACATCTTATCTTTTAGGCCGCGACGACTTCGGTTGTCAATTAAAAACCATTCTCTTGAGAGGAATACATAAAAGCCCATTGTTTGATAAAATTTATCCGTGGTTCTTACCGTAACCAAAATCTTCGTATAGAACCCCCATTCTGGTCCAATTCAGATATCCAATGAGGTCTCCGAAGGCTTCATTTAACAAACCCCTCGGCGGATACAGGTTTATCGTAAATGATTCGTTGCTTACTGCAAATCGAGATAAAGATTAATAAAATAAAGACAAAATCGAATGTAGGGTCTTGAAAAGAAAAATTTAGTTTGGGACCACAATTGAAGCAACAGGTTTCGAATGAATGATTATCATCGATTCATATTGAATGAAAGTTTTGCATACTCATAAATTTTTTTTATAGCTTAGATTGGTGGACGAGCTCACAGCCCACCTGGTGTTAAGTGGTTACTGGAGCCCATAGACATCCACAACGTAAATGCGCCACCCACCTTGAGGTATAAGTTCTAAGGTCTCAAGTATAGTTACAACGGCTGCCCCACCTTTCAAACCGAAACGCATTACTGCGTCACGGCAGAAATAGGCAAGGCGGTGGTACCTACCCGCGTGGACTTACTCACTCATACTCATAAAAAAAAAAGATTAACAATCAAAGCTTTTAAGCTCCTCTTTTTCTTTTGAGTCTGTTAAAAATTAGACTAACACAGAATGCCATAAGCATTAAAACCGCCAATTCACGAATTAATATCCCTTAATTTAAATAAAACACTGGAATAGTGATTAGAATTAGCCCTCCTATCGTGGCCGCTGTTAATTACTTATCCGATCCCCCGTGGCATGTCTTGTCGGATCCCCCGGGGGTCATCCTTGGCGCTTTTAGGCTTTCCAAGCACCAGTTACCGTCCTTACCCAGTTACACTCTCTAGTTCCGTCAGTGCCACAGCCTAAAATCCTTACGATTAGGATTTCCGCGTGAGGTTGGTAAGAGAGTTTTAAATATGAAGGTGGAAGGCTTTAGAGGAAGAGGTTGACCGAAGAAATGAATGAATAGCGTGAAAGACGATATGTTTAAGAGGGTAGTGAGCGTAGAAATGGTATATGATAGAGGAGTATGGAAGGAGAAGACATGTTGCTACGAACCCAGGTGACTGGGAGAAGGGCAGGAGAATGATGATGATAGTGTGAGGATAATGACAAAAGGAAAAATCTTCCACCAAGCGGGTGATATTGCTCGGTTTACAGACGGTCCGAATGTTGTTGTTCGGAACTTGTATATATGCGAGCTCATCTTGAAAATGCTGTCAGTGATTCAGGCATCCGTCAAATATTTTGCGTTGTATGATACAATAGGATTTCCGCGTCATAATACCAAAGGGGATGGCGAGGTTCACTGCGTTTAAGGACTTTTAAAGCCAATTGGAAAGAATTGGAAGAGGCCTATGCCAAAAGGCACACCGAACTTAGGGACCTCTTGTAACCCTATGTTTAGGAATAAAAAGGCTATTATTATTATTATTATAAAGCCAATTGTCACACGGTAGACAGACTTTTATTTTTATTTTTTACGGCCCACCTGATGGTGAGTGGTTACCGTCGCTCATAGACGTCAGCAATGCCAGGGCCAGGGCCAGAGCCAAACCGCTGCCTACCGTGTCCATAATAAGTCCAGTAATAAAGAAACTCACACGTAGGCCGTGTTTGCGGGGCGACCAGCATGTGGGGCGCGTGCAGAGACCTGCAGATGGCGTCCAGGGTCGATCCGAGGAGGTCGCCTCCACTGCTGAACAACGCCACCGCGCCAGACTTGACTTGCGAACACGCTGGAAAGGATCGCATGAATGAATTCGTTGAGTGATATATAAACGTAATAGCGACCCGCCCTCGCTTCGCTTCGGAAACTGTAATTTATTATTGATTTCTCCACTATTTAATGGATGTTTTATTATACATATCGACGCTTGAAAGGCAAACGTGACTAAGCGACAATAACTGCTTTGTACATAAATGATAGGCAATGACCATATTCGACGCGCAAAAAAATATATTTCTAGGTCTATTAAAATTATTTCAATCCTACGGCTAGATTCGTTAAAATAGATTTTTTATCAGGTATTTCAACTTTAAATTAGTCTACTGTAAAGTTCACGCATTGTCGCTTAGTCACGTTAGCCTTTCAAGCGTCGATATAAGCCTTCCTCTTCAATCACTCTATATATATTTTAAAAAAACACATCAAAATCCGTTACGTAGTTTTAAAGATTTAAGCATACATAGGGATATTATAGGGACAGAGAAGGCGACTTTGTTGTTTGTCAACAACATTTATAAATGACTATTTAAAATTAGTATGCTGTGAATTTTGTATTGATGTCTGTATTATTACTTTTAAATTAAAATACACTTTTCTTAAAAAAATCCTTTACTAATTTCTGAAAAATATGTGAAAATAGGCTGCCCTGTATCTATAAGATCTGTATTTCAAGATCACTTCAAGACAAATTATTGTTTTCCTGGTGGTATGATGTGCCATTAGTCCGCACGGGTAGGTATCACTGCCCTGCCTATTTCTGCCGAGTAACAGTACAGCGTTTTGGTTTGAAGGGTGGGGCAGCCGTTGTAACTATAATGAGACCTTAGAACTCATATTTCAAGTTGGGTGGCGCATTTATGTTGTAGATGTCTATGGGCTCCGGTAACCACTTAACACTAGGTGGGCTGTGAGCTCATCCACCTATTTAAGCAATAAAAAAACATTTTTCATATTTTCCGAAACTATAATTCAGAAAAAAACGCGTCGGAGAGTTTTTGAAAAATCGTTAAAAATTCATAGGCAATTATCCGGTTGTCCACAATGCGAGAACGAAAAGCCACTAGAAGCTTTTAATACAGGCTGAAAGCTCGCTTCAATGGTGCTTTAAAAGCGCAATAATTGTCTGAATATTGCAGTTGTGAATACCGCCTACTCTACTAGGAAACTGTCGGAATATTTGATAGCACCGCGGTTAATGAATCCGACTACTGTACCATGCAGTGCAAGTTTGATTCCGAAGTCATTAGTTTAAGCTTTTAACATTAGCCGGTCTTATATCTATCTATATCCATACTAATATACAAATCTACAGTGGTTTTTACGGATGTTGTTCCATTATAATTACTGAACCATGCATCCTTTTGACTTGAATCTTGGTATCCGTGTAGAAAATAAATGTAATTAATGGATAGGCTAATATTTATATGAGTGTTAGACTCCCTAATAATAATGACAATAAATAATAATAATGTTAATTTTAAATGCGCAGCGAAGCGGGCGAGTATGGCTAGTTCTATTTATTAATACGTGAAGCAAAACTTTGTATTCTTTTTTACGAAAATTGCGCGGACGGAGGAGTATAACATTTTCCACACTTATAGAGAATATAGAGAAGGATGTAAATATTTTTTTTTAAATTATGCATTGAAAATACATTAAATCAATCATTAATAATATATATTGCACACACTACCATGTATTTGACACACACACGCATATATGCTCTTTTGTTTATTGCTTAAAGTCTGTGGTCAAATTGAGAATATTTGTTTGTCTTTAATATTATTTGTCTATAGTGTTGTCTTGGCGGAATCTGTGAATTACTCAGAGAGCAAGGTTGACAATAAAATCAAGAGAGGTGCGGATCTGGTCAATGCTCATATTACAAGATATAAAAATCTGCAGGACATTAGGCCAAAGTTACAATTTTTTTTATTGCTTAGATGTTTGGACGAGCTCACAGCCCACCTGGTGTTAAGTGGTTACTGGAGCCCATAGACATCCACAACGTAAATACGCCACCCACCTTGAGATATAAGTTCTAAGGTCTCAGTATAGTTTCAACGGTTGCCCCACCCTACAAACCGAAATGCATTACCTCTTCACGGCAGAAACAGGCAGGGTGGTGGTACCCACTCGTGCGGACCACCAAAAAAAAATTGTAATTAAATTGTATCGTCATTGCTCCTTGACGCGCGTGCGTATTGTCAAATTGATCTGACGTCTTGGAATCTATGGAAATGTCGTTCAAAGATTCAGTTACATACAAACATACCACCCATAAACCTATATAGTAGGGACACTACATATTGTTCTATACATACAATTGCTTATATAAATAGCACCCATTTTGAAGGCACACACATAAACATATATCGATCTCGTTCTTACTCAGCACTTTAACTCGCAGGAAAACAATATAACAGTATTTCAGTGCGTACATAAAATGAAACATGAATATACGTAAATATCTCCGTCTCCGTCTAATGAGGCCGAAAATCCGCCATGTTGAGCGCACCAAATGTCATTGTCACGTCAGTTCGGCCGTCTGTTTTGGGCAATGAAGTAGGAAACCTATGGAAATGAAACGTCAACCAAAATTTCGTGCCAGTGTGACGTCATCTGGCCACAAAACATGGCGGCTTTAGTGCTGTACAAAAGATTTCAATGTTATCAGGTTTTATCGATAAACGTTCTTGGCTCATTTTATTTTAAATATTGTTGAGTATTATTTATTTGTAGAATTTATACTTTAATGGGAAGTAAGTAGGTATATTGTTATGTGCAAATATGATATGATTTAGATGGGTGAAATCTAAGACAAGTTCGTCCTTCGAATTTGCCAAGTAAACGATATGATGATTTTTAAAAGTTGCTACACTGATTTTATAAAGTTGTCGTTTGTCGCAAAACATAAAGATATGGCGTAGTTCAAAGCCATCAGCCCATTTCTAGCATGCTAAATGTTATCGTATTTTGAGTACGTGTTTTTCTTAGACTATTACAATCTATTTTAATTGTTTTGCTGACTCTAAAGTCCGTAACATACTACCGCAGCGCACCCCAAGGAAGGTGCGCCGCACCATTTGAATCACTTTCGCTTGAGAGTGATTCAAATTTTAAACTTATCAAGGGACCGCGTGAAAAAAAAAACACCTACAGAACATTTATTCATTAATTACAAACGTCATTCCTTGTGACTTCCTCTCTAAAATCACTTAATTATTAAATATTTAACAAATTTACAATAGTGTTTTACTCACTGCGGAATAAAACTATTTTATTTAAATAGTTCCGAAGAGATTTTGTCGGTAGCCTTTTTCCCGAAATATCTAAACAGAATGTCTAAATATGTTTTGATGACATATTTTAAAGTGGTATTTATGATTAGTGTCATGATCAATAGATTCCGACCGAAAAATGGATTTTTCGGATGAGGGCTCCATAATGAATTTAAATACATATAGATAATAGTTTTAGGACATCGACTTTCTTGAGATCCTATAAAATACGTTTTAATTATTATTTTTGTATGTTTTAAGCATGATAAATTATGAAATTTTATATAATCAATCATATTAAATCGATATCATAGTCAATAAATAATGTACAACCCAAAACAGACGGCCGAACTGACGTGACAATGACATTTGGCGCGCTAAACATGGCGGATTTTCGGCCTCATTAGACGGAGACGGAGATATTTACGTATATTCATGTTTCATTTTATGTACGCACTGAAATACTGTTATATTGTTTTCCTGCGAGTTAAAGTGCTGAGCAAGAACGAGATAGATATATGTTTATGTATGTGCCTTCAAAATGGGTGCTATATATATAAGCAATTGTACGTATAGAACAATATGTCGTGTCCCTACTATATAGGTCTATGGTTTTGGGTTGTACATTATTTATTGACTTTGATATCGATTTAATATGATTGCTTATATAAAATTTCATATTTTATCATGCTTAAAACATACAAAAATAATAATTAAAACGTATTTTATAGGATCTCAAGAAAGTCGATGCCCCAAAACTAGTATCTATATATATTTAAATTCATTATGGAGCCCTCATCCGAAAAATCGGACACCATTTTTCGGTCGGAATCTATTGATCATGACACTAATCATAAATACCTCTTTAAAATATGTCATCAAAACATATTAAGACATTCTGTTTAGATATTTCGGGAAAAAGGCTACCGACAAAATCTCTTCGGAACTATTTAAATAAAATAGTTTTATTCCGCAGTGAGTAAAACACTATTGTAAATTCGTTAAATATTTAATAATTAAGTGATTTTAGAGAGGAAGTCACCAGGAATGACGTTTGTAATTAATGAATAAATGTTCTGTAGGTGTTTTTTTTTTCACGCGGTCCCTTGATAAGTTTGAAATTTGAATCACTCTCAAGTGAAAATGATTCAAATGGTGCGGCGCACCTTCCTTGAGGTGCGCTGCGGTAGTGTGTTACGGACTTTAGGACAGCAAAACAATTAAAATAGATTGTAATAGTCTAAGAAAAACACGTACTCAAAATACGATAACATTTAGCATGCTAGAAATGGGCAGATGGCACTGTACTACGCCATATCTTTATGTTTTGCGACAAACGACAACTTTATAAAATCAGTGTAACAACTTTTAAAAATCATCATATCGTTTACTTGGCAAATTCGAAGGACGAACTTGTCTTAGACTTCACACATCTAAATCATATCATATTTGCACATAACAATATACCTACTTACTTCCCATTAAAGTATAAATTCTACAAATAAATAATACTCAACAATATTAAAAATAAAATGAGCCAAGAACGTTTATCGATAAAACCTGATAACATTGAAATCTTTTGTACAGCACTAAAACCGCCATGTTTTGTGGTCAGATGACGTCACAGTGGCACGAATTTTTGGTTGACGTTTCATTTCCTTAGGTTTCCTACTTCAGTGATACCACCCCATTGGCTTCTGAACTGTCATTCGTTTTCGTTTGCTAACGTCAAGAGAAGATTTCTAAATTGTTCTAAGACAACAAACGTGATTGGTGTACTCAATATTTCTCTGAGCTCGATCACCCTATTCGCCCCTACGATTTTTGACGATGGTGTTAATAATTGTGGCTTCTCCGACATCTAGAAGTATTGAGGAATTATTTGAGATGATTCCATCATCTCGTTCTTACTATCGCACCGCCCGCCACCGGAGCAGAGTTTATCCATACTACCTGGAGCCACTGCGTTCAACCACAGTGTGTATCCAGAGATCTTCTCTGCCACGCACCATCCGGCTTTGGAATGAGCTCCTCTCCACGGTGTTTCCCGAGCACTATGACATGTCCTTCTTCAAACGTGGCTTGTGGAGATAGTACTTAAGGTTAGACAGCTTAGTTCTGCCCCACGCATTGCTAACGTCCATTACCTTCGGTAAGCAATAACCATCAGGGTCATATGCTCATCTGCCTTCGCGGTCAATAAAAAAAAGAAGTTAATAATGCCTTACCTCGCTTGTAAGTCTTAAACGTATCCTTGGCCGGAGCGTATTGGATGTCGTATACCAAGGTACTGTTAGCCAGGACGCTTCTCTCCTTATTGATCCTGTACACGGAGTACTTGAAGGCCAGCTCCTCGCTTCCACCGCGCTCGTCCTCCGTGAATAAGGCTCCTATGAAAGTGAAAGAATCTTAGGAAGATTATCATGTCATTGGAGAAAGCTCAACGCCTGTCTACCACCTATCTACGACGCATAATGCGCTACTTTGGTCACGCTGCCCGCTGAAGTGTAGACAACTCGGAACGTCTGATGGTCACTGGAAATTAGAAGGAAAACGTCCTTGAGGCCGGAGCCCTAAACGTTGGTCCGATCAGATCCAAACCAGCGGACCACTTAGCGCTGGACAACACCATGAAACTGACCGGAACCGATGGAGACTGGCAGTCGACAAGTTAAAACGGAGTCACGATCCTCAGCAATGAGGGAGCGATGGAGAAGAAGAAGAAGAAGAAGAATCATGTTATTGTCGTCGAGAGGTCGTCCTCATAGTGGCAAGTTTCCTGACAACAACAACCGTTCAATTATCCGCAACGTCGGTAAGTACCACGGCCCTGCCTATATCTGCCGTGAGGTACTAATGAGTCTCAGTTTGAAGGGCTAAGCAGCCGTTGTACCGTTAAAGCTAAGACTTAGAAAGAGCTCTAAAGACTTAGAAAAAGTTCTAAAGACTTAGAAAGAGTTCTAAACACTTAGAAAGGGTTTTACAGGCTTAGAAAGAGTTCTAAACACTTAGAAAGAGTTTTACAGACTTAGAAAGAGTTCTAAAGACTTAGCTTTAACGGTACAACGGCTGCTTTGCCCTTCAAACCGAAACACATGACTGCTCCATGGCAGATATAGGCAGGGCGGTGGTACCTACCGACGTGGAGGTTAGTTTAACGGTCATTGTTGTCTAGACTAGAGAGTCTCTAAGATGGGCGTCGGTATTTACGTTGCCGATGTCTATGGGCTCCGTTGGGCACACCGGGTGAGCCGTGAGCTCGTCCTGTCTAAACAATAAAAAAAATAAAAATATTTCAATTTATCCATACGCAATCCACCGGCTTAACTTTCCATGAAGTGTGGCACGGAGGCGCTAATGAAGACCACAAAGACGTACCTAATTAAGATAGGTGCGTACGCGAACGCACCTATCTTAATTAGGGTACAAATGAAGACCGTGAGATCGTTGGTATTCGAACGCACCTATCTTAATAAGGGCGCTAATGAAGACCACGCAGACATTGGTATTCGAACGTACCTATCTTAATAAGGGTGCTCATGAAGACTGTGAGATCGTTGGTATGTGAACGTAGCTATCTTAATTAGGGTACTAATGAAGACCGTGAGATCGTTAGTATTCGAACGCACCTTTCTTAATAAGGGCGCTAATGAAGACCACGCAGACATTGGTATTCGAACGTACCTATCTTAATAAGGGTGCTCTGAATACTGTGAGATCGTTGGTATGTGAACGTACCTATCTTAATTAGGGTACTAATGAAAACCGTGAGATCGTTGGTATTCGAACGCACCCATCTTAATAAGGGCGCAAATGAAGACCACGATGCCATTGGTATTCATTCGAACGCACCTATCTTAATAAGGGCGCTAATGAAGACCACAGAGACATTGGTATGCGAACATACCTATCTTAATAAGGGCTGTAATGAAGACCAAGAAGACATACGTACCTATCTTAATAACCGGAGACAGGGCTCCGACGACGTTTAAAACGACCACTATCCATCGCCATTCCGGTCTCATTTTGCCACCGCATCACCAGTCCCGACGTGCGTTCCACACTGTAACAAAAACCATACGTTAGGTCTTCGGGAGATTTTGTCTGGTTGCAGTGTTGATCGCGGTAACCCCCTACCTCGTCTAGGTTCTGACCTCGGAGGGGATCGGACGCTTGGGCGAAGAGTGCAGGGGAGTCGTTTAGTGGGTAGGGCTTGGGCTTGCGGTCTGCTCCCAACACCTTGCAGATCGTCAAGTCGCACATACCCCGTGAGTCCGCACGGGTAGCTACCACCGCCCTGCCTACTTCTGCCGTGAAGCAGTAATGCGTTTCGGTTTGAAGGGCGGAGCAGCCGTTGTAACTTTTTATTTATCTTACCTATTCTAGTAACCTCGAGGGGTTATTCTAGATTCGCCGAATTAGTGGGTGAGCTTACGGGGCTCAAACTTGATGATGTTGCTAACACTAGCCCTAGCAAGAGCCGTGCTTCGCAGAATCTACCACCGGATCGGAAACACGACCCACTGAGAAGATCCGCCGAGAATCTCAGTGGTTTGTGTCTGTGGATTAATTTACTCGTCGAGCCCTTCGTCGCAAGCGACGGGTTCGACGAGAACGATTACCGGTGCTTGGGGTACCTAAAAGCACCGTTAGTGGATCGGGAGGATCCGAGATGACGTGTTTTGGGCGTAGCTTTAGTAAGACCTTAGAACTTAAATCTCAAGGTGGGTGGCGCATTTACGTTGTAGATGTCTATGGGCCCCGGTGACCCCTTAACATCGGGTGGGCCGTGAGCTCGTCCACCAGCCTAAGCAATAAAGTAAAATAAGAAACTCCTCACTGGGTCGCGATTCCGATCCGGTGGTGTAGATTCTGCAAAGCACTGCTCTTGCTAGGTCTAGTGTTAGCAAGTTCTCTCAGGTTGAGCCCGTGAGCTCACCTACATGTTAGGGCGTAGCTAAAATAGCCACTTCGCCTACCATTAGGTAGGGAAATAAAAATGGGTAATTCGAAAGCTCCTAGTCAGATCTTGATACAATTTAAATGGGAACACACAGGAAGCGCCATCTTTCGAATAAAATAGAGGGCGCAGCAGTACAGAAAAAAAAACAATGGTACCGACCTTTTATCTTTTGAAATCGGTTAAAAGTAATCCCGAATAAAATTACAGGGATTCGAAGGGTTTTCGTAACGAATCCAAAGTAAATTTTCATTAATTACAGTCTTGTTTGTAACAGTAATGAATTCGACGAGGTCATGCAGAAGCGAGACAATATTTAACAATAATATGATCGTAGAATAAATAATAGTTTAAAAAAACAAAATACGCTTTTAAAGAAAATCCAGCTAAAAAATAGAAAATAAATTTTAATAAATTTGAATTAAAAATAGTGTAAGAAAAAATGATTTTATTGTAAAAAAGCGTGGAGTGCATGGTATCAGTACTTATAAATATTTTATGAACAGATATTAGTAGAAGAGTTTAATTTGATAATATCCTGAAAAGCTCCCCAAGCTTTTTTACAATAAAATCATTTTTCATTTCTAAGTTGAATTTAAATTTTTTCAATTTTTTCTTATTTTTTTTTTAAATATTGAATTGTCATCGGTCCTCAATAAGTATACCAAATTTCGAGTTAATCCGACGTTTTGAGGGGGGTCAAAATCATGTTCAAAAATTCCGTTCCAAACATACATACGTCTGAAGCTAATAAAAGCGTACTAAAGACGCGCGTGCTCTGTATCCCACAATCAACCAACTTCCACGATACTAACAAATGAGAAATACTAATAATTGTAAATAGACATGCTTTCACAAAAACCGACTTCGAATAGAAAAAAAAAGATATTCCAAAACAAATTAATATACACTAAAAACAATAATCATCGAAATCGGTTGGTGTGATATCGAGTTATTGAGTTATTTATCTATTTGTCGCGCACGTACTTAATGCAAATTTAAGACTTATATGGTTTTCTTATGGATACCATTATGAGAACTAGACTAATTGTAATGGAACCACACGGGAAGCGTCAGACTTTCTAAAAAAAAAAGAATCGTCTAAATCGATTCACCCAGTCAAAAGTTATGAGGTAAGAAACATATAAAAAAAAACAGTTGAATTGAAAACCTCCTCCTTTTTTGAGTCGGTTAAAAATGACGCCATCAGTACCCACTCGTATTTATGCTTTTTTGAAGTCACAAATCGAACGGATTCGTATTGCGTGCGATGACTCAACGCCATGTTAGATTATTTCCACTTGTAATTTGGAAGCTTACTAACTGTACCCGTCCGCATCGCTGGGCATTTAAAATTAACATTATTATTTCTCACCCCTACAGATTCTCATCAATAATGCCCCTGCAACTGGTGTAAGGAGTCCAACACTCATATAAATATTAGCCTATCCATTAAGTATATATATTTTCTACATGGATACCAAGTTTCAAGTCAATTGGATGCATGGTTCAGTAGTTATAACGGAACATCCGTAAAAACCACTGTAGATTTATATATATATTAGTATAGATATAGGTAGAGGCCATTGTCCTCCCTAATTCTGCTGTGGAGTAGTCTGGTCTTCTAGTTTGTTAGGCGGGACAGCCGTCAAACAAAACGATAAAGCTTTATCCTCTGTCTCAAAGACAGCGGGTTTCACACTCTGATATCTATGGACTACCGTAAACCCTCAAAGGCAAATCTGCCATACAGTTAGTCTACGCGTCTGTACAAGAAAAAAAAATCGTGACTCCTTATTGTATTACAGTTTTTTAATGTAAATTTTAATCTTTTGAAGTCGTTCTTAATTTTAATTCCCGGAATCGAAAACGCTCGCCGAGATTTGGCCTAAGCCAATTCCGTGTTGACTTTGTTCACATCAAAATTTCCCCTAGTTGCTTCCGAGGATACCGTATGACTGTAGGTATAACGACGAAAGGAAGATCTTAGACATAGCGGTCGATATTGCTCGGTAGACCGACGGTCCAAATGTTGTTCGGAACTTGTATATAAGCAAGCTGATCTTGAGAATGTCGTAAGCGAGATTCAGGCCTCTGTCAAATCTTGCGTTGTATGATGGCTATCGCGACAACTAGGAGATTCACCGCAGAATTGGCCGCACCGTGCCTTGATTATTGTATCAGGATGCTATATTCGCCAACTGGTATTTACAATTGAGAGCAATAGTAGTCCTAGGGTACTCTGCTGGTACACAGGGCCTTAACAAATTGCCTTCACTCAAATTGTCTCTAAGGTGCGTCACCAAGAGTTTACAGATCGACCAGTGTGCTTAGTTCGAGTTTTTTAACGTTCTCGATAGCGTAAAAGCGGNCGTGCCTTGATTATTGTATCAGGATGCTATATTCGCCAACTGGTATTTACAATTGAGAGCAATAGTAGTCCTAGGGTACTCTGCTGGTACACAGGGCCTTAACAAATTGCCTTCACTCAAATTGTCTCTAAGGTGCGTCACCAAGAGTTTACAGATCGACCAGTGTGCTTAGTTCGAGTTTTTTAACGTTCTCGATAGCGTAAAAGCGGTAAACGTAGGCAAACGTTCCAGCTCCATACAAAATTGAGTTAACTTTTACGCTATCGAGAACGTTAAGAAACTCGTACTGAGCAAGGTCTTCGACAAGTGAGAGGGCATATACTTAATAATTTCGCGCGAACAGACACTACCAACCTCCCTATTCCCAATTACATCAATTTTTAGGTTTAATTTTTACTATACGATGCTATCCCTTCATCGTGAACATTCCTGTTGTTTGTTTAAACTCCTAAAGCCCCCAGATGGGACAGAAGTCTGCAAGAGTATTCTTCTATCGCTTTACTTCGGGCCAGATTGGCCAGATTCATCTCCGCTGCCAGTGTGCTGCCGGGTCAGCTTGGAATGGCTTACTTTCCGCTTGCTCTTGCCTTGCTTTGGGATGTGCAGAACTTCTCAAAGAGTAAGGCCTCTCTATGTTCATTTGCGACGCATGATCTGCTTGTAAAATTGTATCTCCCGACACGCCTCCCACAGGCGATGTGGATGAGATTAAGTGTTCGACCATAAAATCAGAGAAAGGGAAAGAAAAGAGAAAAAAACTCACTATGTTTTTACTGTAAGCCCTAAACCACGTAAGCGAACACTGAATAATATCGTGGTCGAACAGACTTCAAAACGATACTTATGCCTAGATTAGATGGAGAAATCCGATAGCATTTGCACCGCGTTTCCCGCACGGGATTATCACCATGGATTTCCCCATAAAACTCGGGTAAGCGTTGTAGAGAAACCTTAGAGGTATGGTATCGATTTTTCGTCAAAGATTAAGCGGCGCCTAGTTTTTTTAAGAGTCTTTATGAAGCAATTGGTGGATGTCGGTCAGTCCGTCGTGAATTAGGCACACTGTCTCAGCGCAGTCTGCACGGTGACGGTGCTATGAGAGAAACCCGGTCTGAAGAAACAAAGTCAACATCAAGTTTTTCCACAATCGCTTTCGGAGGGCTTAAAGGACAAACATGCAAAAAAATATTTGTTTTTATACTTTTTACTGATGGCATAGTTTAATAATTGGCACGGGTAGAAGCCACCAGCCTGTCTGTATCTGCCACGAAAGGGTGTAGTGGTCCGGTTTGAAGGGTGGGGCTGCCGTTGTACTGTAGATCTGACACTGAGAGCTAATTTCTCAAGGTGGATGGTGGCAAATGCCATGTTGATAATCTGGTATTTAGTAAGCACGTAACATGAAAGGCGATTGCATGCAGCAGAGATGCGAGAGAGAGAAGTCTGAAAGTGGCACCTGTGACAGAGAAGCTGAGAAGTGCTGGGAATGGTATGGACATGTGATGAGACGAAATGAAAATGAGGTTGGTAAGAGAGTGTTAACTATGAATGTGGAAGGATATAGAGGAAGAGATAGACCTAAGAAGAAATAAATGGATTGCGTGAAAGACGATATGTGTAAGAGGGAAGTGAGCGAAGTCGAGTGAAGTCGTCGTGGCCTAACGGATAAGACGTCCGGTGCATTCGTGTTGAAGCGATGCACCGGTGTTCGAATCCCGCAGGCAGGTACCAATTTTTCTAATGAAATACGTACTCAACAAATGTTCACGATTGACTTTCACGGTGAAGGAATAACATCGTGTAATAAAAATGAAACTCGCAAAATTCTAATTTGCGTAATTACTGGTGGTAGGACCTTGTGAGTCCGCACGGGTAGGTACCACCGCCCCGCCTATTTCTGCCGTGAAGCAGTAATGCGTTTCGGTTTGAAGGGTGGGGCAGCCGTTGTGACTATACTGAGAACTTAGAACTATATCTCAAGGTGTGTGGCGCATTAACGTTGTAGATGTCTATGGGCTCCAGTAACCACTTAACATCAGGTGGGCTGTGACTCGTCGACACACCTAAGCAATAAAAATAAAAAAAAATGAAATTTTATATGATAGAAGAGTATGGAAGGAGAAAACATGTTGCGCCGACCCCAGGTGACTGGGAGAAGGGCAGAATAATGATGAATGAGTAAGCATGTAACATCAGGTGGGTCCTGAGTTCATTTACTCATAGATGCAATAAAATAACTGGATATGGCTGATCAAAAATAGGGGGGCGGGAGTGTTAACAGCTCAACGGCAGCTGCTACACGAGTGTATTTACTACCACTCGGAGTAATGACCTGTTGAGAAGACCCAACATAAAACTTCGGGCTTACGTTATGGGTCTACTGCCATCCTCAACTCTTCGATGAGATCAAAGAGAATGGTGTCGTTGCTATATCTGCTACTGGAGCTATAACCAGAAGACTTGGGAAATTCCAATACGTCTAAATACTAACGGAAGGAGGTCTTGAGTCCGCACGGGTAGCTACCACTGCAATGTTTAAGAAGTGGGGCAGAATTTAGACTCAAAAGTCATGTCTCAAGGTGGATGACGACATTTACATTATCAATGACTACGAGCTCCGGTAACCAGATCCCGTCATGTCAGCCGTGAGCATAGTCACTCAAATGACCAATAAAAACAAAAGCATCTACCTACGTTGACAGGACATCAAGTGAGTTCACCAGAATTGTCCACGACGTCAGGAGTTAGCTATGGTCATAATAAGGGTTGGTCGAAAAAGCGGCACGATCCGATAACACCCTTATTGGACGCCTCTAATTACATACCCTACTATGAAGGGAGAACCAAAAGCCGCCGTCGCCCAAAGCACGTCCTACCGTACCCTCCATCCACTGTCGGTTTTTCTAGGATTATCTAACACCGGTCACCGGTTACTATCGACTGCGACACAGAATACGACTTTGTCGCGATTTTGATCCGGTGGTAGATTCAGCGAAGCGCGGTCTTGCTAGGGCTAGTTTTAGCAAGTTCTTTCAGGTTGAGCCCCGTGAGCTCACCTACTAAGCCATATCTAGTGGAAATACCTCCTTATGCTACGATTAGGTAGGAAAATAATAATAAGGGCAGGTTGTCTTATCACGTCGCTATGGGTTTGAGATCTAGATAGCCGTGAGCATCTACATCATTCGTATTCCTTCTTTTTTTTTTTTTGCTCTGGAGGAAATCGCCGGACTTCCGTCCTCTACTGGGGATGGAGGGCGGGGCATATCAGAGTCGAACTGACTAAAACCTCCTGTCGCTCAACAACCAACGTCCAAACCTCGCATGAGACAGAACTCATGAAGAGGCAGAGGGGAGAAAGTAAAGCGTTTAGTGCGGAGCACATCTCTCCCATCACCCTCCTCCTCGGGACGCCATTCGTATTCCTTCTACGGTATTTGTAACCACTCTGATTGGAGAGCAATATGGGAATGCCTGGACATTTTCAACCTTGAAACCTCTTCCGTTTCGATAGGATAATGTTACTGACTCCTCCTTCTTGTGTCGTGTTCCTCGGATCTTAGGGCTGTGACGTTTACAGAGCAATTTTGTTTAGACTATGTTCCTCCATTTCTTTCTGTCCTCTGCGCAGTGGATAGCGATATTGATGCTGGATATCATCTTAATTTGATCGGACCAGCGCATGGGACTACGTCCCTAGGCTTCTTTCCTTCCACTTTGCCGGTGATGAGTAGTTTTTCGAAGTTTTCACCCCTTTTCCTCGCAACGTGACTGAAAAACTCGAAAATCCTACGCAGGCAAGTGGTGGAGTTTTGTGAAGACGCCTAGTTCTTTCAGGATTTATGCGTTGGTCCGATGTGCCGTTCAGAGAATCCGCGGCATTTTCCTCCAGCACCATATCTCAAATACGTCGACCTAACTTCGATCAGCCTTTTTGGAGTCCGTGTCTCCGCTCCATATAAGAAATTAGAAAACACAAGACTAGCTCATCATCTATTTGATGTTGTGTACTTACAGTGCCACATAGGCATGCTATTATCACCAGTTTTTTTTTAATTTTTAGATGGGCAGACGAGCTCACGGTCATCCTAGTGTAAAATGGTTAAGAGCCCATAGATATGAACAATGTAAATGCCATATTGATGCCACACGAGTTCTATTCTAGATGAATACGTATCCCCTCTCAAATTTTTACAAAGATTACTGGCTATGTTAAGTCGGCACAGATATGCACCCCCTCCCAGCCTACTTCTGCCGCGAAGCTAAGTCGAAACGGAGGTCTGGTAAATGATAAGAGGCTCGTGCCTCCCTCACGTAGATTGAACTGGAGAGAACTAATTATCGCGCAGATGTAATCCTCGAAAAAGTGCCATCATTACTGATTTTAATTTAAAACAAAAAAAATACGATACCACTTCTTAATTGAATTAGCGCGGTCGCGAATATTTAAGCAAGTTTGATACGACAAACGTGTTAGAAAACGTCAAATAACAAACACATTCTTATTGGAAAAAAAAACACACACACATACCATCAATCGCCTTCTGTCAAATACATTGATAATCCCGCCTTCTTTTCTAGAGAAAACGCAAATTAAAACTTATTATACATCGCGATAATCACTGAACAATATCTTTTAAGAGACTGAACACATTAAAAGGACGATATTAATGAATTTTTCGTTCTAAAAATCGCATTTCGTTTATACGCCGATATCGCGAACGAACTGTACGCGAACATGACCCCACTGATTATTTCATGGGAGAAATATTTAAGTACTTCGACTTGCTTAAACGAATTTTNTTAAAACTTATTATACATCGCGATAATCACTGAACAATATCTTTTAAGAGACTGAACACATTAAAAGGACGATATTAATGAATTTTTCGTTCTAAAAATCGCATTTCGTTTATACGCCGATATCGCGAACGAACTGTACGCGAACATGACCCCACTGATTATTTCATGGGAGAAATATTTAAGTACTTCGACTTGCTTATACGAAATTTCACTTTAATACACCGAGATAAGGCTACAGTTTTATTTGAGGGTGTTGCGAAATGGCGCTCACCCCATCCCCTCGTGAAATAGTGATGGGGCGTAACTGGTTTTTGTTTTTTAAATCCGCTATTTAAATATAGCTCGAACTAATAATTTGAAGCATACACTTTTATCTCAGGTCTCACATCCTGAGTGAGACAGGAGGGTGACCAAGACACTCACGAGCCAACTGCAGGTTTTTCTTTTTTTTTTCTTTTTGAACCAAGTGCTTGAGGTCCATACTCCGCATATTCTGGCCAGTCATTATCTCTAGTAAAGACCTTTGGTCTAAATGTGACCAAAACCCCATCGCGCAAGACATAGCCCATCGGAAATGGCGTTGGATAGGACACACTCTACGGCGTAGCGGAGTCAACGCAGCACCAATCGCGTTTGAGTGGTAACCGCTTGGCAGGAGAAGACCTGGTTCACCTGTATACACTTGGCGATGCACCGTGGACAGTGAGATGAGGACTGCCAACGTGACCTGGAGTGATGTCAAGGAGCAAGGGCAAGACAAGGTAAAGTGGAGACAACTTGTGAGGGCCCTATGTATCAGCGGTGTGCCCTAGGACTACAACAACAACTTTTTTCATCGATACTCGCCGATAGGAGCGTAATAACTTTAACAAAAGTGTTTCTTTGTATCATTTCCGACTATACGCTCTAGTCATCGTGGTGAAACTTGGTACAGGTTTGTTGACTTTAAGGAGGGGTTTTGTCATAATGCCATGAGCACAGAACAAGTCACTCGTGTGTAGCTGACTTCATAATAATTATGTTACGTGACAGTCAAAAGAGTTGAAGTCGGCGTGGCCTAATATATAAGACATCCGGTGCATTCGTATGTAGCGATGCAACGGTGTTCGAATCCCGCAGGCGCTGCGGGTACCAATTTTTCTAATGAAATACGTACTTAACAAATGTTCACGATTGATTTCCACGGTGAATGAATAACATCGTGTAATAAAGTCAAACCCTGAAAATTATAATTTGTTATTTTCACAAAATATTCTGGTGCTTTGTACTTTACCTATAAACCAGACGTCAATACTACTGCCCTTTTAATTGCCCTACAGTATTGTACAAGTGTTAAGGTTTTAAGTTTTCGTCATTTAACAACAAATTGGACGATCACATGTCTCAGTTGTGACTTGTTGATAGACCAGACCAGGATACGTGGGTAACTTAAACACTGTAGTTTACTACAATACAGATGTAGTTACGTAGGTAGTAGTTTGCCATAATACCAATATACGTAGGTAACTAAAACACTTTACCACAATACAAATGTTCGTATCGACTTAAAGCTTAGTAAGCAACATTCAGTTTTAACATTTAGCTATTTTCAAAGTGTTATCTATCAGCTAGGATACGAACCTTCGAAAAAAATAAAATCCAAACATGTCATTATTAACGTTGAATGAAATAAATAGCTTCACGCTATTTTATATTCACATCCCTAAAACCAACACAACAATGTTGTCGAGGTATAACATGATTTGTTTCTAACCTTAAACTACCGTTTAGTAGTTGTCGCGTAGCAAAAACTATCGCGCAAGTCACATAAGTATGTTTAAATTGTTTTGAATAACCTTTACTGTTCTTTCCCGCGGTAAGCCCAAGAAACGCTGGTTGGATATGGTAAAGGCGGATATGGAGCAGAATAACCTCACCCAGAACGATGCCGAAGACCGTGGCAATTATGAGCTCAAACCTGATCGATGTTGCTAACACTAACCCTAGCAAGAGTAGTGCTTCGCAGAATCTACCACCGGATCGGAAATGCGACCCACTGAGAAGATCCTGCGAGAAACTCTGTGGGATGTGCCTGTGGGACCGGTACTTGAGGTACTTGAAGTCGTCGTGGCCTAAAGGATAAAACGTCCGGTGCATTCGTATGTAGCGATGCACTGGTGTTCGAATCCCGCAGGCGGGTACCAATTTTTCTAATGAAATACGTACTCAACAAATGTTCACGATTGTCTTCCACGGTGAAGGAATAACATCGTGTAATAAAAATCAAACCCGCAAAATTATAATTTGTGTAATCACTGGTGGTAGGACCTCTTGGGAGTCCGCACGGGTAGGTACCACCACCCCGCCTATTTCCGCCGTGAAGCAGTAATGCGTTTCGGTTTGAAGGGTGGGGTAGCCGTTGTAACTATACTGAGACCTTAAAACTTATATCTCAAGATGGGTGGCGCATTTACGTTGTAGATGTCTATGGGCTCCAGTAACCACTTAACATCAGGTGGGCTATGAGCTCGTCCATCAATCTAAGCAATAAAAAAAAAACCTCAAATCTCCGTGGAGGAGCTTAAGTAGGAAAGCGGACCCTGGCAGTTAACCGGGAAAAGAAGGAAAAAGAAGCCTCTGGTGTTGTTGTTTTTTGTCTCTACAAAAAACTGAAGATGTTTTAGGCATTCTGACAGATTGAAAGATTTAGTAAGGCATCATGCCTCGGGCGCTACTCAAAAAGGGGCGCCCGATGGTCCACAAAACAAAAACAAAAAATTGATAATTTTTATCTTCATTTTTATTTGTGGAAAATATACGCTAAAAAGGTTTTGTGCTTCAGGTGCGAGTTAGAATCGCTACCCCACTGGCTCTTCTGTAAAGTTGCAAGAATGTCGCTTAACCCTAAAAAACCTTTCACCCCTCGACATGTTTTATTAATTCCGAACACAATAAGAAATCGACGAACCAGAGTCCCACCCTTCGAACTGGAACTTGTCACTTGAAGGCAATTCGTTTAATTTGGTCTTAAGTGTATCGCCTAGCGAAGATTTCCCACCTGGTGGATGATATTGCCCGGTCTCCCGACGCTCCGAATATTGTTGTTCAAAACCCAGATCATACGACAATTCACAACCACCGACGCCCTAAACACATTATTTCTCGCTTCACTCTCGGAGCTTTTAGGCACTTCTAAAAACCGGTCAGTATTCGCCACGAACTGGTCACTGACACTGAGTTTCTCGCCGGATCTTCTACTGAGAAGATCCGGCGGTGAAATCACAACACACTGGTGTTGTGATTCCAATCCGGTCGGATCTGATCAGACAAAAAAAAAAAACTTGATGAAGAAAGGTCAGACAAAAAAGAATGATGTTCGTTCTCATGTTAATTAAGAAAAAAGATGAGGCTCTATGGAGGTTCTCCGATTGGACAATAATACTACTGATCTTCTGGATATTCATTAATAATTACAGAAACGTCTGGCTGAAAGACACAACAGCCGCGCTATAAAATATAAAAAAAAAATATAATGTCAAATGTCAATCTGCAAACTGTCAAAGTTATCTAACCTAAACGATTTGTTATGATTATATATTTCCTGAATAATCCATTAAACATTAAGAATTACGTGAAATAATATAAACGATCACGATTTAAATAGACAGAAATACGCAGAGCAATGAATATCGCCCGTACGTTATGCGTGAAACAGTTAAACGGTATAAGTAGAACCGTATCCAGGAAGATTGGTTTTACGGCCACAAATTACGAAGCTACCAATGCCGTTCAGCCTAAAATCCAAGAAGAAAAGTTCGACTTCGAGGACCTACAGGTAATCGAACGTACTGAGCAGAGGAAACCCAAAATACCACCATTTATGAAGGATGTCTTCGTGTCCGTATTCCAACGCGACTTACTCGCCTACCCGGAGATTTTGGACAAAGAGGAGACCGAAAGCATGGAGAAGAGAGCCGAAACGCTAGACAAAGTGTTCCAAGACAAAACGAAATCGAAAGAGGAACGTAGGAATGTTTTGAAAAGTACCAAAATGTATGCAGCACCCGTTAATTGGACTAGGAACGGTTTGGCGGCTAATCAAACAGAGAGCATAAGGTAGCAAACACTTCTTCAATCATTTTAATGGCGTAAATCTATTGGGAGTTCAATTAAAGACATAATCCGAGAATCAGTCGACGAAGAAACTGCTTCTAAATATGTATATAACTCAATATTGTCTCAGATGGTACTTAAACCAAGTAGCCTTCAACTATATATAAAACTGTGGCTGCCGTGTAGGGCATCGGCACCCTACGCTGAGCACTGAAGTAATTATGTTGACTTCTGTTACTAAGGCACAGGAATGTCTAGTAGGAAGCAAATCTGAAGATGTTGAGAATGAATCTAATTCTAAGAGATATAAATGACTCAAACATGCATTAAAAACATAAGAAGGCAAAGTTGGTAATCCCGGTGCTTAGTTACTATAAATATCGATATAACTACTTTAGTGCGCCACGTATGGTACTGGCAACTTACACGGCAGTCTAAGGTTTAATTTATGCCAACTACATTGACTATATGTCATTTAACTTTCTTGAAATTATTATTTATTGTTAAAATATAACCTATTAATCAATTAGCTATATATTTCAATTAGCTATATATAAATCAATTAGCTATATATTTCATATTATATCGACGCTTGAAAGGCAAACGTGACTAAGCGACAATAACCGCTTTGTACATAAACGATAGGCAATAACCATATTCGATGCGCAAAAAAAAATTATTTCTAGGTCTATTAAAATCATTTCAATCCTACAGCTACTAGCTAGATTCTACTACAGCTGGATTCGTTAAAATAAATTTTGTTGTCATGTATTTCAACTTTAAATTATTATTAGTCTACTGTAAAGTTCACGCATTGTCGCTTAGTCACGTTTGCCTTTCAAGCGTCGATATGTAAACGGTACATATCTGTTTATTGTATGTATATATCATCTATAATAATGTATTGTCTTTAGTACACCACAACATACCTGCTATATTTTTATATTTTCCAGAATTTCTGTAAATTAAGCGGTTGTCTGAAAGAGATCACTTTGAGGGATAAGACCACCTATTGTACAAATGTATCTGCTTTTTGACTGTTTTTTGAATGTAAATTGTGTTTTGGTGTGCAATAAAGTGTATTGTCTCTCTCTCTCTCTTTATTATAAAGTAAAATATTATAGAACACCTGTTTTAAAGAATTCGCTGATAAATTACAGGTATTTAGAAACCGTATCCCCAGATTTTGAATTGGCTCATGAGCTCAGTGATCACTGGGTCGCGTTGCGTGCCCTTCAGCATGGACTCACTGCAGAACAGTATGCGGCTGTAATTGATGAACTGTCGACAGGAGATGCAACAGTAACTTTATGCATCAAAGAGAGAATTGCTGAAAGATTGGCCCAGCCCGACTTCAGGACGACTGCTACTTTGGATGCTCAAGGTTCAGATATTGATGTTTTGTTTTTATTGCTTAGATGGCTGGATTAGCTCACGGCTTACGTGGTGTTAAGTGGTTACCGGAGCCCATAGACATCTACAACCTTCCGCCACCCGCCTTGAGATATGAGTTCTAAGGTCTCAGTATAGTTACAACGGCTGTCCCACCCTTCAAACCGAAACGCATTACTGCTTCATGACAGAAATAGGCAGGGTGGTGGTACCTACCTGTGCGGACTCACAAGAGGTCCTACCACCAGTAGGGAGGAGGAGATTAGCTGATGGCAGGGTGCAGTATTTACCCGCAAGGGTATGTACCAACTGTCTTCTGTGACGCAGTCTAGCTTTTCAGTTTGAAGACATTTACATTATGATTGAGAAGTTCTGTGTCATGCTTCAGAATGGATGGCCGCAGTAATTATGTCCATAGATTCTGATCGGTATCTAAAACCTATTATGTTTTATTATTTAATAAAGAACTTAAGCACATGTGTTCGGTAACAAATCAGTTCATTGTGTGTCTGACTTTATGCAACCCGCACTTAGCAATCCTAGATATAAAAATAAATAAATGAATTGTCTTTAGTTAGTTACAGTTCTAAAATGTCAATGAATAGGACACCGCTTGTCTGTCATTAAAACTGTGAATTGTTTGAAACTTGACTGGATAATTTGGCCTCCTGAGCTGCTTGAAGACTATTAAGCATAGATGCATGTCTACACAATAATCACTTATTAATATAACGAAAAAAAAAAAAATACATCATCAATTGTAAAAGAATATTCAATTCAATTCAATTAAAATGATTTATTTGCCACATACATGGTACATAAATAAAGGTATTATAAAATTGTAACATTCCAGCATATTCTCTGTTTTTTTTATTGCTTCAGATGGGTGGACGACCTCACAGTCCACCTGGTGTTAAGTGGTTACTGGAGCCCATAGACATCTACAACATAAATGCGCCACCCACCTTGAGATATAAGTTCTAAAGGTCTCAGTATAGTTACAACAGCACAGTTAACTCGTCCTGTATTAATTACAGGGGTCTGGCGTATAACTGGCGAGAAACTATGCACGAGGGGAGATGGCTTTATGCTTGTCCTGTGCAAAGTCGAAGCCGACCACCTGAAAGCTTTCCTGGTCCATCCGGGGGCTACCGGCGTGACCTTCGACGGAAACTTTGTTCATTTCCAGAAAACAATCGGTGAGCTTAGTATAGATAAGCAGTCGGGGAACTTTTTTAATTATTATCCCACAATGTTTTTGTATAAGTTGATATCACCCCATGGTTAAGAACAAAAATAAAACGAAATCGCTTCTTTTTAGCACCTTTCATATTATAGTCCCCGTGATAATTTTGAAAAGAAAACAATAACTAAAAATTAAATTTAAACATCATTTATTCAATTTATCAATGTAATACCTAGTAATACATAACGGTAATAATAGTAATATATGTAATATACAGTTGAGGAAAAAAATCGCCCCCACAGAAAATATAAGTAAATGATAATTTCTTGTTATTATATAATTCATATGATATTTTTATGAGTTTAAAATCACAACGATTCTAAAGAAGTTTCACTTCAATTTCATTTTTACCCCCCAAATTTTTAATTTTACCCCATTTGGGGTAATTTACCCCGGTTCCCCGACTGCTGGCATAGATGTATGTATGGCGTACAGTGCCCGCCGATAATCACATCGACTTTTAGACAGAGACAATTGCGGCTTCGTTGAGCGATATCTCTGTCGCACGAGACACTAAGTCCGGTGTCTATTAAGACCGCACTTGATGACGTCACATAGTGTGCGATCGAGATAGCGCTCTAGGTACTATTTCGAAATAAGCCAGTTTTTTTTACAAAGGTCTTTTTAAAGGTATTTATCGCAGGCCGCTGTACACTTTACCGTAGCCTGATTCATGATATGTCCTCTGTGAACAGAGAAAATCTTCCCTCATTGACGTTTTTTCACGGTATTTGCTATGTGGTTGAGAGATTCTATAATATGTATATATTTATAGAAAAAATTGTTGACATTTTTAAATCTTCTTCCTTATTTTTTGGCTCCGGCACGGTTCGTGCATTAGCGAGCGTCAAGTAATAAGATTTTTATAATTCGCCGTTTTAAGGATTTACAATTTATGAGTAATAAAAAACGAAGGAAACTAATCGCGACATAACATAAGTGATTAAAAACGAATTGAATTTATAAAAAAATTAACATGGCACGAAATGAAATGAAATGAGATATGGGATGAAATATAATCTCAGTAAAATGGTGGTCACTTATTGAGATTTTTTCAGTGGACTTTTTGGAGGATCCCTAGAAGTTACGTCCACCGGCTTTGTTTCATTTTCCCACATTTGTGCACTTTCACAGATACTAAACAGTTAATAACCTACGGTTACTACGTTTTTAAACCTGAAGAAACAGTAAATAAATAAAATAAAACAAATCACACAACTTCACTGTTCGCGTTCCCGCCAAAAAGTCCATTTTTTTAATATTGATAAGTTTTATGTCGTACTTTTCTTCTTCGCCAATAGATGTCGCTATTGGTAGAACACGGCTCGAACGAGCAAGTCAATTACCTTGAAAGATTTCAGTACTTCTAAATTAAGATAAGCTCTGTCAAAGTTTTTAATAAAAGCGATAGTGTAATATCGGCTTCGCAACACGTCATTACGGATCCTCCCGACCCATTAACGGTGATTTTAGGTATTTCAAGCATCGGTCACCGTCCTCGCCGAACCCGTCGCTTGCGACGAAGGGCTCGACGAGTAAATTAACCCACAGACACAGCCCACTGAGTTTCTCGGCGGATCTTCTCAGTGGGTCGCGTTTTCGATCCGGTGGTAGATTCTGCGAAGCACTGTTCTTGCTAGGGTTTGTGTTAGCAACGTCATCAGGCTTGAGACCCGTGAGCTCACCTACTAGTTCGGCGAATCTAGAATAACCCCTTGAGGTTACTAGAATAGGTAGAAAAAAAAGGAAGCCTGTCTATTTTAATATATGTAATCAATCCAGGTACACCCCTCCCGCAAATACCCAACGCTGATCTAGGCAAGATATTCGGTATCTCTCGTCTCCATGCCGCCACGCTGTGCCGCTGCCAACTCAAGTATGCAATCAGCAAGATTGTGGAGTACGTCAAGCCCAGGTCATTCTCCGGTAAGTTTTATAGCATTACGTAAAATTTCACTATTGTGTGCTTCACTTTTTACTGGTGGTAGGACCTCTTATGAGTCCGCGCGGGTAGGTACCACCGCCCTGCCTATTTCTGCCGTGAAGCAGTAATGCGTTTCGGTCTGAAGGGCGGGGCAGCCGTTAACTTGAGCTCGTCCATCCAAGCTATAAAAAAAAACCGCCAAATGAAGCCTGGAGAAGGTCTCAGGTGCTAAAACTCTGGTGTTCTTCTAAAGGTAAACCTCTTGCGGAGTTGTCGACGATACGAGCAATAGTTGGAGAGTCGTTGCTCCATGTGTATGCCAGCGAAAGTACTGAGTACTTCACAGCCGGACTCATAGATGGATACGTTGATCCGGACGCGGAACTAGAGATGGCCATGTGCAGGTCAGTGCGTAGGACCCTCGGCCAGATGTAGGTCGGATCTGTGTCTGTTTGTATACGAGAAGAGCTCGGGATCAGTACAGAGCTGCAGAGGACTGTGTCTGTAGTAGTGTAGTATAGGACTAGAGGCTAGATGTAGGTCGGATCTGTGTCTGTTTGTGTACGAGAAGAGCTCGGGATCAGTACAGAGCTGCAGAGGACTGTGTCTGTAGTAGTGTAGTATAGGACTAGAGGCTAGATGTAGGTCGGATCTGTGTCTGTTTGTGTACGAGAAGAGCTCGGGATCAGTACAGAGCTGCAGAGGACTGTGTCTGTAGTAGTGTAGTATAGGACTAGAGGCTAGATGTAGGTCGGATCTGTGTCTGTTTGTGTACGAGAAGAGCTCGGGATCAGTACAGAGCTGCAGAGGACTGTGTCTGTAGTAGTGTAGTATAGGACTAGAGGCTAGATGTAGGTCGGATCTGTGTCTGTTTGTGTACGAGAAGAGCTCGGGATCAGTACAGAGCTGCAGAGGACTGTGTCTGTAGTAGTGTAGTATAGGACTAGAGGCTAGATGTAGGTCGGATCTGTGTCTGTTTGTGTACGAGAAGAGCTCGGGATCAGTACAGAGCTGCAGAGGACTGTGTCTGTAGTAGTGTAGTATAGGACTAGAGGCTAGATGTAGGTCGGATCTGTGTCTGTTTGTGTACGAGAAGAGCTCGGGATCAGTACAGAGCTGCAGAGGACTGTGTCTGTAGTAGTGTAGTATAGGACTAGAGGCTAGATGTAGGTCGGATCTGTGTCTGTTTGTGTACGAGAAGAGCTCGGGATCAGTACAGAGCTGCAGAGGACTGTGTCTGTAGTAGTGTAGTATAGGACTAGAGGCTAGATGTAGGTCGGATCTGTGTCTGTTTGTGTACGAGAAGAGCTCGGGATCCGTACAGAGCTGCAAGGGACTGTGTCTGTAGTAGTGTAGTATAGGACTAGAGGCTAGATGTAGGTCCGATCTGTGTCTATTTGTGTACGAGAAGAGCTCGGGATCAGTACAGAGCTGCAGAGGACTGTGTCTGTAGTAGTGTAGTATAGGACTAGAGGCTAGATGTAGGTCGGATCTGTGTCTGTTTGTCTACTCCAAAATTATCCTCAACTGTGGGTTTCTTTCTCAGGAATTACATCAACAGTCGTGGTCTATTTTCCCTGATAAATCTCCTGGAAATTCCTGCTCTAGAAGAAGAGGAGGAGTGCAAGAAGATTTTTGATCGGATGAGGATCCTCGCGAGCGGAGGCGAAAGTTTAGATGGAATTAATACTTTTATAGGTAAGGGTTAGGTTAAGTCTCATCCCCTAGATACGGGATCTGGTTCTGGTGGCTGTCAGAGTCCGTAGACGTCATAAGTTGGATGATATTATGGACCTTGAGGTTTGAGGTCGTATTCATGATCTCGCAAGATAATATGCACTCTTGTCTCACTTTTTGTTGTATAGAATATGGTTTTGCGACAGAGATTAGCCGAAAAAAGTCGTCGTGGCCTGAAGGATAAGACGTCCGGTGCATTTGTATGTAGCGATGAACCGGTGTTCAAATCCCGCAGGCGGGTACCAATTTTTCTAATGAAATACGTACTAAACAAATGTTCACGATTGACTTCCATGGTGAAGGAATAACATCGTGTAATAATCATGTAATCAAACCCGCAAAATTATAATTTGCATAATTACTGGAGGTAGGACGTCTTGTGAGTCCGCACGGGTAGGTACCACCACCCTGCCTATTTCTGCCGTGAAGCAGTAATGCGTTTCGGTTTGAAGGGCGGGGCAGCCGTCGTATTGTTACAACTGAGACCTTAGAACTCATATCTCAAGATGAGTGGCGGCATTTACGCTGTAGATGTCTATGGGCTCCGTTAACCACTAAACACCAGGTGCCAACACCTATATGCACTTTTGTGGCGCTTTTTGTTGTGTAGAAAAATCAATCTTTGCATAGCTTTCCCGCCGATGCCGGTCCCAAGCCCGGATGCAAAAGGAGGAGGGTTAGTTTGGAGATGACATAACCAACTCTAAAAAGTCAATGCCTAACATCGGGCGGCGGTTAAGTAATCCGACTCGAAGGCTTTTAGTGACCTTGAGGAATTAAATCCCCTCGAAAAGACTAACGTGGAAGGACTTGGGAACCCACCACGAACCTCCCCCAAGAAAACCTCATGATGTCGACAGATATATTAAAATCATGTCGAAGTATAATGGTCAGGCCCCTAGGCAATGAGGAAACGACGCGAGGAGAGGAGGAGCATAGCTTTCTAACAAACAGGTCAAGAAAAACTTCGCATGGTTGTGCGACAGAGATAAGCCGATATTGTATGTAAGTTTCCAAAATTTTGTGAATCCGTTTTGGAATACATACTTTTTTTTTCAGCCCTAAACGGAATCCACCACGCCGGCAAGATAATGGCGGAAGAGATCAAACAAATAAGGAATCCTTTGATGCATCCCGCTTTCATCATCAAGAAGGCTCTGTCAAATAGACATCAAGTGAGTCTTTTTTTTATTGCTTAGGTGGGTGGACGAGCTCACAGTCCACCTGGTGCTAAGTGGTTACTAGAGCCCATAGACATCTACAACGTAAATGCGCTACCCACCTTGAGAAATGCCTATTTCTGCCGTGAAGCAGTAATGCGTTTCGGTTTGAAGGGTGGGGCAGCCGTTGTAACTATACTGAGACCTTACAACTTATATCTCAAGGTGGGTGGCGCATTTACGTTGTTGATGTCTATGGGCTCCAGTAACCACTTAACATCAGGTGGACTGTGAGCTCGTCCACCCATCTAAGCAATAAAANAGGTCTCGAGTATAGTTACAACGGCTGCCCCACCCTTCAAACCGAAACTCCTCACGGCAGAAATAGGCAGGACGTTGGTACCCACCCGCGCGGACTCACAAGACGCCCTACCACCAGTTGCACAATCCTCTGCCACCGTTTCTTTGAAGTGGTCCGAACTGAACCGATTGAGCTTTGAATTCTCTCCCAGGTCAAGGATGAGCCGAAACTGACTCTCCACTTGTCAGAGCACCTCCACCCGACCCTCAAGCCGGCGTCAGATCAGCTCGAGTACTGCGTCCTCAGGATGAGGTTCGCTTGCGAAACCCTAATGTCCAGGCACGGAATGGAAGTCTCTGTGGCGTACATGTAAGTATTGCTAATGCATATAGACGCTTTGGTCCTTTATTGGTATTACGAGTCCGCACGGGTAGGTACTGTTAAAATAGGTATAGCGTACCTATGAGCTGGCAGTTTGTTCAAGTTTGTTCGGGAACGGGCGAGTGTGCAGACCGTTACAAGAAAACTAACACGCTATAATATTTAATGACAATTTATTTATAAACCAATGCGAAAATGCTTTACATTTATTATGATTATCAATATAATTAAAGATTAGGAAAAGCTCACACACCGAGCCACAAAACCACGGCGAAGGAAGTGACAGAGAGAATTGAAAACCAGTGACAGCTATCTATACTATAATAATATTATAAAGAGGAAAGATTTGTTTGTTTGTTTGTTTCGAATAGGCTCCGAAACTACTGGACCGATTTGAAAAATTCTTTTTCCATTAGAAGCCGACATTGTCCCTGATGAACATAGGCTACTTTTTTTTTTATATTTTTTTTTTTGTTTAATGTGTGTTTTAATGTTTCCGAAGCGAAGCGAGGGCGGGTCGCTAGTTCTCAATAAATTTAACATTATGTAAGGCTCATGCTTTTTAGTTCATACAGCCAATTTATACTTATAATGGAAGGTGGTACTTATAAGGTACCACCGCCCCACCTATATCTGCCGCGATGCAGTAACGCGTACCAGTTTACAGGGTGGGACAACTATAGAACTAAGGACTTAGAAATCGTGACTAATGCTCGCTGGCGGCATTTGCTTTTTTTGTGATTGAAAGATTATTGGTGACCCGGAGGCCTTTCTAGTTTCACCAGAACAGGTGGGCGAGCAAAGGCTCAGCCAGGAAGGGTGGGATTTGCTTCGCGAATGAATCTACTACCGGATCAGAATCGCGACCCGCTGAGAAGATCCGGCGAGAAACTCAGCGGTCTGATGCATAGGGTTAGGTTGTACGTCGACCTCTTTGTAGAGCTCGACGAGTACGATTACCGTTCCTAGTCTTAGATCTGAAAACGTCTTGTGCAATGGTTATTGGATCTGATGGATCCGCGGCATTTACTTTGTTGATGTCCACGGGCCCCAATAATCAATATAATCACTATAATCACTAATAAGCAATGAAAAAGGACATGAGTTCCAAAGTTGCAGCTTCTACCTAGACAGAACCTACCTTCCCTGTCAGAAGCGCCTCCCGTAACAGGACTCATGAACTAAACTGTCTCCTCAATCTTCACCAGGGAACTGAAGAGATTAGCCGAAGCAGCCACGCTGATCTTGGCCATGACCTCGGTTCTGGCGAGGGCTTCAAGGTAATAGACAAATCCACCAACCTTAATATCCATCTAGGTGACGAGGATCGAATTAATTGTGGATCACAAAAGCCTTTGCTGGTGGTAGGACCGCTTGTGAGTCCGCGCGGGTAGGTACTACCACCCTGCTTATTTCTGCCGTGAAGCAGTAATGCGTTGCGGTTTGAAGGGCGGGGCAGCCGTTCTAACTATACCTGAGACCTTAGAACTTATATCTCAAGGTGGGTGGCGCATTTACGTTGTACATGTCTATGGGATCTAGTGACAACTTAACATCAGGTGGGCTGTGAGTTCGTCCACGTATCAATGCAATAAAAAAATAAAACGAAATGAGTTAAGTTTAAAAGCTTCGTGGCGTGGCTTACAGTTCAGAACCGTATAGTTGTTTATTAAGTATAGAATCGCTCAATATGTAAATTCATTCATTCTCATTCCCGTTCATTCAACTCACTCCCAACCCCTCATGTGTAACCCGCTAAGGCTTAGTGCAAGTGATCCATGCCACCAGTAATGGCGACACATCAGTGATAGCCAAACGTCAGCCGTGAACTGTTTGTTGAAAGAGCACAATATTTCACATCATTCAAATGTACCGAACCCTCCACAATTATGCCACGGCCTTTAACTATTACTTCACGGTCGTCAACCAATATGCCACGGCCGTCAAAAATTATGCCACTACAGTTAGGAAATACGCTAAGACTTGACAACAATGCCGGGGCTGTCAACAACTATGCTACTACAGTTAGGAACTACACTCCGACTAATAACAGTTAAGCCGCGGTCGTCAACAATTATGCCTTTACAGCCTGGAACTACACTACGATCATTGACAACTATGCCGGGGCCGTCAACACAGTGCCACCGCCGTCAATATCTATGCCACGACTGTCAACAATATCGCTACGACAATTAACAGTTGCTCGTTAAACTTCAGGGCATACTGCATAGGTCTTCGCAACGCGGAGATCGAAATGAAGCTGGCCACGTGCTTCGTGAGCAAAACGATATCTGAAGTTCGTCAGCTGATACTGGACATAGACAACGGGGAGTTCCTGAACCACGACCGGTTCAAGGTCGAGTTCGGCAGGAAGGTCCTCGACACTAACACCGTGCTGGTGGAGCGGCCCACTTCGAGGGTCTTCTGGTGATGCAAACCAATAAATGAATAAACGCTAGACCTTCGCTTCGTTTGTTTCATTGAATCCCTGCGATTGTTTCGTTGGAGTCGAGGAGTCTGATGGAGGAGGTGGGCTGGTGGCGACTCCGGACGAGCATTCTAGTCTTGTTTACTTTTTATAGTCTGATAGATGTTGTAGGTTTTGTGTGAGTGTGTGCGTGTGTGTGTCTGTGTGTGAGAATGAGTTTGCGTGTGTGTGTTTGTGAATGAGTGTGTGATTGAGTGGGTGTGCGTGAGTCAGTGAGTGAGTGAGTACGTGTGTGTGTGTGAGTTAGTGTGAGTGTGCGTGAGTGAGTGAGTGAGTGCGTGTGTGTGGGAGTAAGCGCGCGTGATTGTGAGTGAGTGAGTGTGCGTGAGTGCGCGTATGTGTGCTTTTTTATTGCCATAGACTGGCCACTGTTGGTAATGTCCAGCAATGTCAGGGATATTCATTTCGCAGTTGAATAGTGCGTGGCAGCAAATGGTGACACTCTAGTTGTAGATAGTATGGATAATCTGCTAAGGTGCCACAGCGGTGGTAACAAGGAAATGATCAGGTTTTCTCGAACAGCTTCTCAGAGAAACTTGTGTAAACTTATTTTGGTATATTTAGAAGTGTTGGCCAAAAGCATCCTTTCTCAAAGTGGGCGATAACGCCCCCTCGTGGGCGCTGCGGGGATAAAGGGGGACGGTAAGAGACCCAGAAAAAAATGGGGGCGTTGTGTAGATGCTTGGGAGGCGATTTGTAATTTCATCTAGGAGGACACTAAGACACCGACTTAGCGCTCTCGCTATAGTGATTTTTAATTAGGTGAAAAAAAGGGGGGCGTTAAACAATGATTTATTCTCAAAGTGGGTCGTACACAAAATAAGTTTGGGAGCCCTTGGCCTAAAGGATAAGACGTCCGGTGCGTTCGTATCGAGCTATGCGACTTGCCGGTTTTGGTGGTAGGACGTCTTAAGTCCGCACTGGTAGGTACCGCCACCCTGCCTATTTCTGCCGTGACTAATGCGTTTCGGTTTGAAGAGCGAGACAGTCGTTATACTGTAAGACCTTAGAATTCTTGTCTCAAGATGGGTGACGGCACTAACTTGATTGATGAGTCCCGATGACCACTTAGCAAAAGTTAAATAACGCCGTTACCACGATTTAGTTTCAAATATCTTCCTTTCCATCTTAAGCCGATCAGCACGAAGTCACGGGTTCAATAATTCGAAGTTTAGTTGTTCAATTATTTATTTTAAATGTTAAAATGTCGCTTCAGAGCCTTCTTGAACGAGAAGTCGTTGTTCCTTAAAGACATCGCCTGTTTCTTTAAGAACTCCGGAACGAACTGAAACAAGCGAAAACGTACTTTTTTTATTGCTTACACCTGGTGTTAAGTGGTTACTGGAGCCCATAGACATCTACAACGTAAATGCGCCACCCGCCTTGAGATATAAGTTCTCAGGTCTCAAGTATAGTTACAACGGGTACCGCACCCTTCAAACCGAAACGCATTACTGCTTCACGGCAGAAATAGGCGGGGTGGTGGTACCTACCCGCGCGGACTCACAAAAGGTCCTACCACCAGTAATTACGCAAATTATAATTTTGCGGGTTTGATTTTTAATACCCGATGTTAGTCCTTCATCGTGAAAATCAATCGTGAACAATTGTTAAGTACGTATTTCATTAAAAAAATTTGTACCCGCCTGCGGGATTCGAACACCGGTGCATTGCTCAACACGAATGCACCGGACGTCTTATCCTTTAGGCCACTACGACTTCAAAATTGACTAATAATTGACAAACCTCTATGTCAAAATCTGGATTCCGTTTGTTCGTGAGCTTGCTGAGCCTCGGATTCTTGGAGCCGGGTCTGCGGTAGTCGTCCTCGTCGGCGACCTCTTCTGCGTCAGCGGTCCCCCCGCCCCCTGGGCCGGACTGCCTCTGAACCACGATACATCTAAATAAACAGTACGGTCCTTTTACAAGTGGCCTCTGAAGTTAATAATTTCTAGTTCAGTAAAAGCTGTTGACTTCACTAAATTTTGAGGTAAGCATGAGTGGCTGGAGACGTGTCAGGTGTGCTGTGATTGGATATTTCAAGGACAAACTTATAATGCATCAAACCATAGTGATGGGACAGATTTAAAATTGTTGATCGATAAATTTGATAGGATGCTCTGGATCATTGATATTTTAATTTTATTATTAGTTATAAAAAAAAAAAAACTGTTATTCGCGCGGTATATGTTCCGTAAATACGGCCCAAATACAGAAACACGTGAATGTGGATTGGGAATTAACATATACAGGATTATAGGTTCCGTACGTTGAAGTCGTCGTGGCCTAAAGGATAAGACGTCCGGTGCATTACCCGGGTACCGATTTTTCTAATGAAATACGTACTTAACTAAATATTCACGATTTACTTCACGGTGAAGGAATAGCGTCGTGTAATAAAATTCAAACCCAAAATTATAATTTGCGTAATTACTGGTTGTAGGACCTCTTGTGAGTCCGCACGGGTAGGTACCACCGCCCTGCCTATTTCAGCCGTGAAGCAATAATGCGTTTCGGTTTGAAGGGTGGGGCAGCCGTTGTAACTATACTGAGACCTTAGAACTTATATCTCAAGGTGGGTGGCGCATTGTAGATGTCTATGGGCTCGCTGTAATTTACATTTATATTAAGATTTAAATCGGCGTGCGAATCTTGTGGAATAACGTCATGGGACACCTGTGTGTTCGGGAATTCCGATCGCGCCCTACGACACACGAATGCGACCCGATACGCCAATGTTGCACGCTACAGCTTCAAACAATAATATGAAGTGCTTCTTCTCAGTGCATGCACTCTTGGCAGAGTGGTCGTGGTCATCACTTTGGGTGGTGGTGCGCTTCACCAGACGTTGCCATTCCTCGCGTACCGCGGCCCTTCTTGTGCACTCGTTAACGGGACCGTTTAGAGCTGCCTTTATTTGGCCGGTCCGTCGTAACGGTGATCTGCCGCGCGGTCTTGTACCCTCTATCATGCCCTGCACCACAAGGCGCTCAACTGAGTCGTCACCCCGCCGCGACACATGCCCGAAGAAAGTGAGAATGCGGCCCTGAACGATGGAGGATAGTCGCTCAAATGCTACGTTCTCTAAAATTAATTACAAAAACGTTTTTACCTTTTTTGTCTTGACGACTTTTCATCGACGGCCACTGAAAAGTTAAATGTAGTTGATTATTTAAATAGCAGAGATACCTAACTGGAGCGAGCTGACTTCAACTAATCGTGGCCTAAAGGATAAGACGTCCGGTGCATTCGTATCGAGCGATGTAACGATGTTCGAATCTCGCGGGCGGGTACCAATTTTTCTAATGGAATACGTACTTAACAAATGTTCACGATTGACTACCACGGTGAAGGAATAACGTCGTGTAATAAAAATCAAATCAGAAGAAAAACAAAATTGCAAGTTTTATTCCTACTTAACCTGATAATTAATTACCTACGCCGTCTGGTTGTAGTGTTGACCGCGGTAACCCCCTTGCCTCATCCGGGTTCTGACCTCGGAGGGGATTGTACGCTGGGGTAAAGAGTGCAGGGGAGTCGTTTAGTTGGTAGGTTATTAGTTACCTAGAGGGTTATGCCAGCGTAACCTAAGTATGTGAGCTCACGGGGCTCAAACCTGAGAACGTTGCTAACACTAGCTCTAGCAAGAGCAGTGCTTCGCAGAATCTACCACCGGATCGGAAACACGACTCACTAAGAAAACAAAGCGAGAAACTCAGTGAGCTGAATTTGCATAATCACTGGTGGTAGGACTTCTTGTGAGTCCGCACGGGTCGAACCACTTAATACCGGGGGAGGGGAGGGGGGTAACAATTAAAAATAGAGCACTCCATCCTTAGTTTGGTTTTCTTAAAGTGCTTTTTTGATTTTCGCAGCTTTTAATGTTTCCAAACTCCGTCTTTATATAAATGTATATAAAACTGAACGTCTTGTGGGCTCAGAATTGATTTGCTCATCGATACTAATAAATGAACTCACCCGCGACTACGAAGAATAAAAAGCAGCACGCCGCAAAACGCACAAACATCTTGTTCGATAAACAAACGCTACTACTGTCTATTCAACTTTTTATATATATTTCAAGAATCGCTTCGTCCGTTGCAGCTTACGGACTTATTAGCGAAGATGAAGCGATAAGCGATTTACTAAAAGCGTTTTTATTGTGGTCGCAAAAGATTATTTGGGGTCAGAACCGCCTACACATCAGACTTACATTTACTGGTGGTAGGACGTCTTGTGAGTCCACCAGTAATTACGCAAACTATAATTTTGCGGGTTGGATTTTTATTGCACGATGTTATTCCTCCACGGTGGAAGTCAATCGCGAACATTTGTTAAGTACGTATTTCATTTGAAAAATTGGTACCCGCCTGCGGGATTCGAACACCGGTGCATCGCTACATACGAATGCACCGGACGTCTTATCCTTTAGGCCACGACGACTTTAGGAAAAATTGGTTTATCAATGTATTTCAACTCATTGGATTATCGTTTCTAACTCGCTGCCGCTTCTCGCTCAGTTCGTCAATAAACAAGCGATACTATTAAATCATTTATTTCACTATGCGGGCATAATATGCCCATATACTTGTTTCGCAAAATAGGGTTTTTATAATGACTTGTCACAAAACTCTGTTCTGAATCTATATATTAATACGTGAAGAAAAAACTTTGTACACCTTTTTACGAAAATTGCGCGGACGGAGGAGTATGAAAATTTCCACACTTATAGTTTATATACAGAAGGATTGCAGAATGCTAATATTTTTTTAAAATTATACATAAAAATACATGAAATCAATAAAAAACAATACACACACTACCATGTATTTGACACACACGCACGCATATATATTATACTTATACTCTTTTGTTTATTGTTAAAGTCTATGGTCAAATTGAGAATAGATTAATATTGTTTGTCTTCAATATTATTTATCTGTAGTGAAGCCTTGGCAAAATTTGTTATTATAGAGGTCTATGATGGTCTTCGACAATAGACCCTTAATAATGTTCAAGCTTATAATTTAAATTAATTATAGTCGATTTTTGACAACCGGGCGTCCACTAATATTGTTAAAATGCGTATTTTTTATTTGCTCCACGGCTCAGGGTCCATCTGCTGTCCACGGACATCAGCATCGTCGTCCATCTCTAGACGTAAGGCCATAGTTTCAATCGAAGGGCTAAGGATAAGGCGACGCGTCACTGCTATTAGACCTTCGCAGCTCTGGCACTAGGAGCTAGATATATATAGCACTAGATCTTAGGGATCCTCCTGGTTACCATGCTCGGGAAACCCAAGCCATATATCAGATCGTCAAGTTCCTCGCTGGATTTTCTCAGCGGGTCGGGGAATAATATCCCTTGAACTGTTAAGTCACCTTTGGAGGCGCTCGGGTAGCTATCAGCAGCATTTGAAGTCGTCGTGGCCTAAAGGATAAGACGTCCGTTGCATTCGTGTTGAGCGATGCACCGATGTTCGAATCCCAGGCGGGTACCAATTTTTCTGCTGAAATACGTACTCAATAAATGTTCACGATTGACTTCCATGGTGAAGAAATAACATCGTGTAATAAAAAGCAAACCCGCAAAATTATAATTTGCGTAATCACTGGTGGTTCGTGTAATCGTTCACTGACTACAGGGTCGCGTGAGTTCTCTTATCGATTGAAGGTCTATTCACATCATCATCATCATCATCATCATCAGCTTACAGCAGTCCACTGCTATAGGATATATATCATAATAATAATAATAATTTTATATAGTGTTTTAAAAAAAATGTATTTCTAATATCTTTTTTTTTAATTTTATGTAATTAATAATTTTAAATAAATATAAATAAATAATAATAATGATATTTATTCAAGCCTCTTGAAATACAAAAACGTACGAGAATTCTTAACACTAGTATAATATTTTTTTTACTGGTGGTAGGACCTCTTATGAGTCCGTACGGGTAGGTACCACCACCCCGCCTGTTTCTGCCGTGAAGCAGAATGCGTTTCGGTTTGAAGGGCGGGGCAGCCGTTGTAACTATACTTGAGACCTTAGAACTTATATCTCAGGGTGGGTGGCGCATTTACGTTGTAGATGTCTATGGGCTCCAGTCTTGATAAAACAAGTAATCTTTCTTAAAAAGCAGAAACGCAGAAAAAGCAGATCCTCACGTCCAATAAGACTTAATAATGCGGAACATACTTCATACTAATTCGTCTATACTCAACGGACTGTGCAAACATGGCGTCATCACTATGAGATAAGATTCAGAGCCACCTAATATTTCTCTCTCTTTCTACCTAACTTTAGAAACGCCATATTGGTTTATTTATTCCTAGCGGCTTATATTCGAAAAGTCAAAGTCAAAGTCATCGGTGGCCGCTTAACATCATTAGGGCAATGTCTATAATACAAAAACGTTAATTCGTTCAGACGGACATTAATTGCTAACCTTGAAAATTGATTAGGGAAATTCATTCTTAACGCCTGGATTATAACGACCAGTTTAGCTTGAGCTCTCCGATGTAATTACAGCTAAATGCGTATTAAAAGGTAATGAAGTAAGTAAGTAAGTACATCACGAACGAGAGAGGTATTACTGGTGGTAGAACCTCTTGTTAGTCTGCACGGGTAGGTACCACCACCCTGCCTATTTCTGCCGTGAGGAGTTTCGGTTTGAAGGGTGGGGCAGCCGTTGTAACTATACTGAGACCTTAGAACTCATCTTAAGGTGGGTGGAGCATTTACGTTGTACATGTATATGGGCTCCAGTAACCACTTATCACCAGGTGTGCTGTGAGCTCGTTCACTCATCTATGCAATAAAAAAAGCAATTCACTTCTTCCGCTTCGCTTCAGGCGATCAGTTCTCTGTTTCGCTTCGAGTTGTTTCGATTACTAATTGCCTTCGTGCCGCCTCTGCAACGCTTTTATAGCCGACACCACATCCCTAGAATTATGGAGAACGTTCTTGACAAGTCGAGTAGTTTCGATATGTGTTCCCGCTATTTGATAATAGATGGCGTTGCTCGCTATTTGATAACGTCGTATTCATCGATGAGCCCCGACTGCACGCACGAAAAAGTGTCACGTTCCGCCCGAGCCAGAGCGTGCGAGCGAGCGCGGAACAAGCGACAGAGAGGCACGATCGCACCACGCGTTAGCTTGTGACACCTTAATCTCTCTTCTCGCGTGACGTCAGAGCTAGCGGTTCGAATAGTTCCGCTACTGACGTTACACGTAAAACTAACGTCCGTAAACCGACCTTACAGCCAACCAATTTTTTTTTGCCTTTTCAAATTAATATATAAATATAAAATTATGTTGACACTAGAAGAGCTACCTAGTTCTACTTATTTATGTAAAAATTAACAAACCTTTTAATAACTCATCCTGTATCTATATAATAATATCTATGTCATGGAATCTTGCAACATCATTTTCGTAGTCTTCAAAAAACGTCCGGTCAACTTGACAATTCGCACACGCGTCAAGGACAAGACAAGGACCGATAAAATAACTATATTTATTTAAGTGAAGGTTTTTTTCTATAGCCTTTGTAGACTTACTGGTGGTAGGACCTCTTGTGAGTTCGCACGGGTAGGTACCACCAACCAGCCTACTTCTGCCGTGAAGCAGTAATGCGTTTCGGTTTGAAGGGTGGGGCAGCCGTTGTAACTATACTGGAACCTTAGAACTCATATCTCAAGGTGGGTGGCGCATTTACGTTGTGGATGTCTATTGGCTCCAGTAATCACTTAACACCAGGTGGGCTGTAAGCTCGTCCACCCATCTAAGAAATAAAAAAAGACAAAAGAGCATACGGTCCACCTGATGGTGGATGTTCGTCAGCAATGCCAGGAGCAGAGCCAAGCCGCTGCCTACCGTTTAATACTCTCTACAAGCCTCGTTTGAAGAAGGACATATCATAGCGCTCGGGAAACACCGTGGAGGGGAGCTCATTCCAAAGCCAGATGGTACGTGGTAGAAAATATCTCTGGAAACGCACTGTGGATGAACGCAGTGGCTCCAGGTAGTATGCCGAGGCAGTTGTGAGGCGAGTGCATGCCTGGAAGCCTTGGGGGATATGACATCGCCGACAAGACACAGGAGAGTCTGCTGAGATGGTATGGTCGCTTAAAAAAGAAGCCAACAAATTATGTCGGAATATCGGCGCTGTAACTCGACCTCCCGGATGGGAGACCTGGAGGAAGACCGAAGATAACGTGGGAAGATGTAGTGCTGGAGGCCAAGAGGGAATACAATGTTACTGACGATCATGTCCAAGACAGAGCGAAGCGGAGGAGAAAAATACCCCACAACCATCTGGGGTGAATAGCTAGGAATAGAGAAAGAGAAAGAAAGATTTAATGTTAATTTTAGGATGATTAATATGAGAAGATTCATTGCCGGATCTTCTCAGCGGGTTGCGATTACGATCCGGTAAGATTCATTCGCGAAACGGCTGCTCTTGAGTTGTTAGGTCTCCTTCGGAGGCGCTCGGGCAGCTGTTAGCAAATCCCACCCCTCCTGGCTGAGCCTTTGCTCGCCCACTTGTCCTGGTGAAACTGGAAGGCCACCAGGCCACCCATAAGCCCTCAATCATAAAAAAAGAATATTCATTTTTTCATTTTTACTTCAAATTGTTTTTTTAAACTACCTATCCCATTTATTAAAGTTGCTTTAATAAAATTTTATCGTGCTTATAAGAGTCACTCTGGCTGGCTGTTAGCGGTACTGTGAACTTTCCCTGCAGTGCCAATGTGTACCAAGATTCACCACGATTAAGGAGGCGTGAGACCGCATCCTCTTCTGCTGCTCCTCATGTCTGAGAGTCCACCTCCATTCGTGACTTCCGCCATCGTGATATAATGCCATCTCATTCTGTCTTCAGTTACTCGGAGAGCATCCTAGACTTTATATTGTTACGCCGGTAAGAGTAACGCTATCTATCGCCGAATAATCGAATGAATATCGAAGGATCTAGTAGTACCTAGAACGCTCGAGAAGTACAACGCCATCTATT